CTCACAGCACTTTCACTGATCTGTACTTGTGGGACGTAAGAGAACCCACACTACTGTTTGAAAAGAGTAGGAGACGTAGACCCCGGTGGTGTGGCCAACCTTTACGGGTTATGGGATTGGGTAGGGATGGCACCTTGCAAGGGACCTATGAGTCCCGTTTGTGCCTACTACCTCTGGGCAGGCCTGTGTCCAGAAAAGCTTGTAAAAAAAAAAAAACGAAAAGAAATGTCTTGACGCAGCACCCACACTAAAATATGAACCCTTAAACAGCTCCATCACCGTACACAACATTTGAAACATGAAGATATTTAAATGTAACGCTTCTAAACAGCTGTAGCCGTAATTAAAAGACGAAGAAATTGTGAAGAATCAATATGGCGTTCTCAAAATGCCCTTGTTTGACCTTTAGCAATGTCACGTTTATTTAGATACCAAAATCTCATTGGTTCCTAAGCATCAACCGATAGTACCTTCAACCTTATTGGCCCCTGCAACAAACATACGAACAGACAAAGCCACAAAGATACAAACGCTTTTTTTTCAAAATAGCTCAACAAATTGATTAACAAAAGACTAAAGAGTGAATTCATTAGTTACGATTAATGATCTTAAGTCTTTCCGCCTACACTATGATTTACTTGACTTGTTGTAATCAACCTATGGTCCGAGGTTACCGTAAATTCCGAAAATAAGCCTCAGGGCTTATATTTTTCAAATGCCCCTTTTGAGGGGCTTATTTTTTTAGGGGCTTATATTCGGAAGGGCTTATCTACGAAGGGAAATTTGCGTTTCAAAATCGATTGGGCTAGCCTTATAGTTGGAAGTAAATTTACCGTTTTTGCTTTGTCCCCCCCCCCCGGACTTATATTTAGAGGGGCGGTTTAACGGAGGGTTTTTTTGGCGTTACCGGTTAGGGGGGGCGGGCTTATATTTGGAGGGGGTTATTTTCGGAATATTACGGTATTTTATACTGTCGGCTATGTTTCACTTGTTTTGTTCGAGGAGGCCTTATTTCTCATAAGCTTTCTAGTTTTTTAGATCTCCCCGGCCACAATTCTTTTTTTCTAGTAACGAATATATATAAAATAAAATACGTAAACAAATAAATAATAAATAAATACAATAAAAATGTCATTTCCTATTGGTTTCCGAGCTAGTTTAATAAGTTTGGGACATCATCACTGCGACCCCATATCCTTCATGTCTTGGTCCCAGGTTGTCGAGAACTTTCTTTAAAAGTCTTCTCTTGATAGACCCGGGCCAAACACATGCGTGACACCAACCTCGTTCCCAGGGTTCTATGGAGCGAGAGAGAACCTGGGAACGACGTTGGCGGGACACCGGTGATCGGCAAGGCAAGGATTCAAATAAAATGATACCATTGCTTTAATTTGTCTTAACTATGATTGTAATTTGTAATTTGTTTACCCACGGAGCAATCTCTCCCCCGGAGCCTGCGTTACCCTAATCCAGGGGACCGGGAAACGGACGCTCTGGAAAAATCCAAAACCGGAACTACAAAATCCTGGTTCCGGTTTAATACCGCCTGCGTGAAGTTGTCTACCCATTTGACCAAGAGAAGTTTCCGAGGGAATTTTGCCTTACTCACACATTGTTGCAATTTACTCTTTCGAAGCAGTCCTTTTCTTCACATGATCTTGACCGGTGTATTTACTGAAGAAAGTAACTCGAAAGGACTGTTCAAGGAGACCGAAAAAGAAAAAAATTAAATACCGCGACTAAAACTTAGTTATGACGACACACATTCTTTTGTACTCAGAATGAGCAAAGCTGTATGCAAATTTGAAAAGTTCAGTAACATGCATGCCGAGTAATTCTCTTGAAGAATGGCATTAAAATGACTTTCAAAAATAAGGCAAATTTTTGAACAAAATAACAATGTAGCGTGGTTTCGTGACTTATCGAGATAAACTTTTTTCTTAACGGTTTTAAGTCATATAAGATTGGTGTGTACACAAATGATCTGTCTCACGCTCACAGTTTTTTTCATTTGCAAAGTTATTTGCAATAAGAGATTTTTCGGATTCTTCTTAGTGATCCTTGGTGCTGACCAGAAGGATCGCAGCGTCTGGGAACGAGATTGCCCAAGGAGCACTCACGCGTTCTTAAGAACTTGCTGAAACATGTACGTGTGTTCCAGATCGAATTGGAATCTGGAAGTGTTGGTTTTTTAAGAGAGAGGAAAACTGGAGTACCTGGAGAAAAACCTCTCGGAGCAAGGGAGAGAATCAACAAAACCAAATAATACCCACATATGGCGCCGACGCCGGGGTTCGAACCAGGGCCACATTGGTGGAAGGCGAATGCTCTCACCACTGCGCCACTCTTGCTCTCCTAAAGGCCGTAATAATACAAAATGAAGGGCAAACACCACTAGCTAAGGTAGCGTGATTGCCGCAAAGAACCATGACGCAGACATCGAAGATTTCACTTTTTTCGGACAAGGGTGTGACATGTTATGTAGCACAGTATTACCACATTATTAATGCTGCCCACAAGGAACATTTTAAGACAAACTATTGCGTAGACCTGGTAGAAAAACACTAAAATTTAACATGTGTGCCTTGTTGTCTTTCCCTATTTACAACATTTTCGTTTCTTTGCTGTTGACGGCTGAGGGCTGCTCATTGAATTGGATTCTGTTTCCACACTTCTCTGCAGAAAAAACAAATCATGAAATTATAATTATGCTAAGGACGTACAAAACACAAAATTCATTTTTCGAATATTCCCCACTCTAAGTGCGCTTACAGAAGTCAGAACTGGCCGCACGGACAGGTCATTGTGAATGACAAATAAGCTTTTCTCTAAAGTTTTGGCTCAAAAAGAAAACCATCAATTGTTGTTCGACCCATACGACGACGACGACGACGGCAATGGGAACAACATAATAGCAATAGGTTTAGATTAGCAAAACAAACCTTTGCACTTGCATCACGCTTTTTTGCACATTTCTCGGCCGTCCTTGCAAGACCACAACATGAAAATGCCTAACTTCACGTTTTGTGGAGCAAGTGAACACAAAACAACGATTTTCTTCTCTTTCTTTTTTTCAAAGTCAGATACAGCTTTTAGAATTCAACTCCAGAAAAATTCGCTAACATCTTACAAATTGCATGACATGGAATAAGAGCAATGAATTTTGAAACGGCGTAAATTCACTTTTTACGGAACGTTTTCGCCACCGTCCTCTTCGTACTTTGCTTAAGGTCCCAATACAATACCGACAACACAACGCGAATGTTGTTGAAACTCGTTAAATATGATGCTAAGTCGGACAATAGTACACATATTTTAAATAATTATGCTTGAATGCAGTATAGTTTGTATAATTAACACTTTCCTACTGTTTTTACTACTGCCCAATAGAATTGGTCTTTGGGAGTGAGGCTCGATTAGTGCATAGTCAACTTGCAGTGCATTGCAGAGATTCACTACGAGCGTGCCTTTGTTTGAACAGGGTTAAAAAAAGAGATTTTACCACATACCGTAAAATTCCGAAAATAAGCCCCGGGGCTTATATTTTTCAAAGGCCCTTTTTGAGGGGCTTATTTTTGGAGGGGCTTATATTCGGAGGGGCTTACCTACGGAGGGAAATTTGCGTTTCAAAATCGAATGGGCTACCCTTTTATTTGGGAGTAAATTTACCGTTTTTGCTTTGTTTTACTTTGTATTTGAGGGCAATTTTCCAAGTACAAGCCCACGGGGGGCTTATATTTGAAGGGGCGATTTAACGGCGGGTTTTTTGCGTTACCGGTTTGGGGGGCTTATATTTGGAGGGGCTTATTTTCGGAATTTTACGGTATCCCACATAAATTATGAGTTTGAGTAATTTTAAAAATCGTCTGTCTGGAAGTTTTTGAGTTCAAACGATTTAATTATCTATTTTCGAGTCCCCCATAACACACTCTGTTTGCCCCCTAAGTTTTGCATGAACTGTTGTTTCCAAATGCTCCCAAGAGCAAGCAAGAATAAGTGTTTTATGTAAAGTCAATGTAAGCCCGCAAGAAAATAATAAAAAATACATAAAATGTTATGATTGCGCCTGCACTTATGCATGTGTCTAGGTCGTTTGTAATTATAATACTATGTTTTACTCAATAATGTTGCAAGCGCTTACCTTATTAGATTTAGACTGCTTTTTTGGTTTTATGTCAAGGTTTTCAGTTTCAAATTTCTTTAAATGAGATGTAAAAAGAACCTGCAAACAAAACAGATTGAGCCAGCATGAATATAATTATTCTGCAAAACAGGGGTGGCATTTGCTTGTTTCTACCAAAATGTTTGAGTTTGGAAGAATTGACAAGAATAGTTATTATTTTGCTAGTAGAGCGCACACGCAAAAGTAACTCCATGGGTAAGACAACTTATCAATGTGGAAATGTTAGTCACGACGACAGCATTTGCACGTATGCCTACCCCCTGTACAAACCCTGGTGTTTCTGGTAAGAAAGTGAGGCAAATTCCAAGCAAAATGTGTTTGCCATGAGAGGCAGTTGGCCTTGCAATTGAAAATAACTTGACTTGGCTTGAATTTTTTTTTCTTTACGAACTGTTAGGAGTGAAGCAAAGTGACATAAATCATCGTTACGGCCCTTGGGAGTTGAATGAGCAAGTTTTATCTTAAAGGCATCAAAATAGAAGATTTCAAGTTCTAGGCAACTTAGAGGAAAAATAATGCTGCAACTGAGCCAAAATTAATTTTGCAGCTGGTCAAAAACGATGAAGGTATGCAATGGCCTTGGACTTTAATTTAAAAACAAAACAAACAAACAAGCAAACAAACAAAAAACAAGACAAAACAAAAACACTGGACAAATCCCCATGAAAGTTGGAAAAAAGAACTGATCAAGCAGAGAGATTTTCAAGGCATTAATACCTAAAACAGACTGCACCACCTCACATTTTAAGCTTGATAAATCATTGCTGCTTGTTTATTCACATATACAAAAGGAAAAAACAAACAAACAAGCAAAACAAAAGATTACCGACTGTGCCCATCCTGCATACTTTCCAAACAGAAAACGATAGTGATCCCCTAATGATAAAAAAAGTCCATTAGGAGCTGCAAACTGCATGTACTGTATCAAATAATAATTAATAACTTGGAAATTATTAAAATGACAAAACCCTAGAACACATGTATTTCTAATTGACTAGAATGTACCACAACTATTTTAGATAAGACATCAAGACACAGGAAAAATGCACAAGCCATCAGCTAATAGCCTGCAAATACAGCTGTCTATTATTGTACACCACTGTGACCTGTCCTTTGCGGTGGATTCACTATGGTCCAACAAGAGAAATTCCCAAAAGCTAAGCAAAACACTTGAAAACTAAGGTTGTTACTTCCACTGTTCAAAGTTAATACCTTACTATTAGGCTGTTAGTCTAGGGGCTCCAGATTACATGAGTCAGGCTTGCTCACTTTGTCAAGATTGCAGCATGTTAATTAAATGCAACAAAGACGATTACATGGCAACTGAGCCAGCCACGTTAGCTGGGATCCCAAGGTATCAAGATGGCGTAAAGTGACATAGCAAGCCAGCCCCTCAGACTGGGCCTTCCTGGCTCATGTAATCAGCCCTTTACAAAGCATTATGAAATGTAACTAAGTGTTTGAAAACTGAAACTGGTATCACTATCACACCTTTACAGATTATAAGTTTACTTAGGCACAAGCCATTTGCAATGAAAAGAGGCTAGTTACAATAACCACTGAACTGCCTACTAGCCACAACTACCCATGCTGATTCATGACCCTTGTACCACTTGTGACATCATCGTACTAAGCGTACTAACGTAATAAGACCAAAAAAATGATGATAGACATAGAGCATGGCCGTACTAAGCGTACCAATGTACTAACACCGAATAAAATACCAACATAAATAGAACATGGCCGCATTAAGTGTACTAACGCACAAAGACCAAATAAAATACCAACATATATAGAACATGGCCATATTAAGCGTACCAACGTATAAAGGCTGCATAAAATGCCAACTTTTAATATTTTTAGGCCGTATTTAGTGCATCGATATGTTTTAAAGGCTGGAAAATGCTAACATACGTTGCAAACATATGGCCGCGCTAACAATCCAGTGTTCTGTGGCACTTTGTAATACCTATTACATTTTGTAATAAAACTGTCGCACTTTTTAATAACACCTCTCGCACTTTGTAATAAACTTGAAAATTATGGTGCAGATTGGTGCAGTTTGGAGCATGTTGGTGCAGTTGGTGCAGTTGGTGCAACTTGTTGCAGATTGGTGCATGTTTCATGCAACTCAGTGTACATTGGGGCAGTTTGGTAAAACTTGGTGCAGATTGAAGTAGTTTCATCTATGCTGGTGCAGATTGATGTAGTTTGGTGCAGATTGGTACAGTTTGCTGCACATTGGTGCAGTTTGGTCCATGTTTGTGCAGTTTGGTGCAACTTGGTGCAGATTGGTACAGTTTGGTGCTACTTGATCCAGTTAGGAGACCTTTTGGCCATGTTGAGGCAGACTGATGCAGCTTGGTTCACGTTGGAGCAACTTGATGCAGATTGGTACATGTTGGTGCACCTTGGTGTATATTGGTGCAGTTTGGTGCAAATTAGTGCACAATGGTGCAGTTTGGTGCCAATTGGTGCAGTTTGCGCTATGTTGGGGCAGATTGGTGCAGTTTGGTGCAACTTGGGGCAAACTGGTGCACATTGGTGCAGTCTGGTGCAGATTGCTTCAGATTGGTAACGTTTGGTGCAACTTGGTGAAGACTGGTGCAGCTTCGTTCATGTTGGTGCAGTTTGGAGCAACTTGATGCAGATTGCGGCATGTTGGTGCACCTTGATGTATATTGGTGCAGTCTGGTACAGTCTGGAGCAGATTGGTACAACTTGCTGTAGTTTGGAGCAGTTTGGGCCATGTTGGGGCAAATTGGTGCAGTTTGGTACAACTTAGTGCAGATTGGGGCATAGCTGGTGCAGTTTGGTGCAAGATGGTTCAGATTGAAGCAGTTTAGTGCAGTTTGGCCCATAGTATGTTGATGTTAGTAAGGCTGTATTCTATGTATGATGGTATTTTATTCAGTCTTAGAAGATTGGTACGATTAGTACAGCCATGCTCTATGAATGTTGGTATGTTTTTTGGTCTTAATACGTTAGTACGCTTAGTACAGCCATGCTCTGTGTATGTTGGTATTTTATTCAATCTTAGTTTGTGCTACCCTTAGTATGACCATGTTCTATGTGTGTTGGTATTTTACTTGGTCTTGGTACATTGCTTCCCTTAGTGCGGCCATGTTCTATGTATGTTGGTATGTTATTCGGTCTTAGTACGGCCATGTGCTTTGTATGTTAGTACAGTTAGTACAGCTGTGTTCTATGTTTTTTGGCATTCTATTCGGTCTTAGTGCGTTAGTATCCATAGTACAGCTATGTTCTATTCCGCTGTGTTATGGTTGGTACGCTTATATTAAGTATGGCCATGTTTCATTTTCATCGGTATGCATGAATGACTTTATTCGGCTTTGTCAGTCATGTTTTACCTCTATCAATTAGTGCTTTCATACGGAATAACGTTATTTAAGAAATATGTTTCACTGTAAACACAGAGCACAGAAGACAACAAAGACAACTGATAAATAAAAACATGCAGTGACTTACGGGGAAAAAACAGGCCCTCTTCATGATTAAAGAGACACAGCTGTAAGACCGCACTAACCTGGACACTGCTTTTGGCAGTTTGAAAAGCATTTACTTCAACCCGAAATCAAATGTACGCATCAGATACATCTAGAAATCCGCTTCAATCTTGCCTAGTGTTTCATTCGATCCTCGATCTTTTACTGAGAGATTCTTTTTGGGCAAACGTTTACTCGTCCTATTACATTATTTCATCATATTTGGTTAAAAACAGTATCCAAAGGAACATGAACAGAGGGGGTGAGAAACACGTAAGCGCTGGGCGGGAGAAATCACATTCATTTACCAAAATAACAAGAGAAATGAAGAAAAAACGGTGAGCAAATTATCTTTTTATATATTTGGAATATCGATGTAAAGGGTTACATGTATTTGGAAAATCAAGCTTTCTCGACCTTGAACCTTCGACAATGATTCAGACCTCTTAGTACTGATATTCGAATTCCGCAGTATTTGTCGATACTTGGCTTTCCCTGGATAAACCCATGGTGAATTCTCAATGGTATATAAAAATGAGTGTTCTGATATGGCTTAGGGTCTATAATCATGATTTCAGCTTGTAAATAGTTCAACTCTTCAAGGTTCGTTTAGAGTATTCCGGATACACTTCTCACTTTCTGTTTCACGCGCTTATTGTGACATGCAAATCAGCTAAGAAATGGTATCTAACGTGCATATGCATCAGCTGACTGTGTCCCTTTAACTTACGGGAGTAGTAAGTAAAGACATCAGAATACAGTATACACAAAATCCGTTGAATTCAATAAACTAACAAAGATCTCACTAAATTCCAAGTACACTTATCAGGTGTACTAAACAAAAAAAAATAGAAAGAGGTGCCTAGAACACACAGCATATGAAAAGAAAGGGCTCAAAATAATAGATCACATGATATGTTCCTTGTCATATTCCCCTCTTCATGCTCCTTGTGTCATACATGTACACTTATCACCACATTGCCTGCACCTTAAGCTACGTGTGACCTGCCGGGCATTATGGGAAGGATACAACACAGAAGACTTTGTAAATCCTGTGAAATGCGCGTGCATGGCCCCAAGAATGTTGGAAGAGCTATAGAAATGGATCCAACATTGTTGCACTACACTTCGGCGATCACGGAACAAAAGAAACGTTGGGAGTTGTTGGCTCAAACTTTGACTGGTTTCAAACTTTGCACAACAACACCATCAACATGTAACATTTAACAATAAATTTGCATCTGTTTAAATGGGGCTTAAACATAGGTTTAATACCTTCTCCACTATTGATGACCATTGTGACAAAAAAAGTAAATAAATAAAAAGTAATTATTCAAAATCATGCAGTGAAGGCCTTACATTGTAAATAGTGCAATACTTGAAACTTGCCTAAAAGTCAGAAATTGACCTCACCTATTTCTTTACACATCTTTGTAGTGAGTGACTTGGTTTTCTGTAGATGTGGCATGTAATGTTTAGTAGTCAGTTGCCAGACATGTGTGTCTACTGGCACTGCTTCAGTCTTGTCAAGTGACATTAGGCACACACAGTCAGCGACCTTAGCTCCAACACCTGGCAGCTCACAAAGAGCTAAAAAACAAAGAAAAGTTACTGACGACTGACCCATTCAAGGCTTATTTTCTTTTTATGTCTCCAACCGAGTTTATCTCTGGTATTTTTTTGGTATCTGCACATTTCAGTCGACTGGACTGTTATGGGATTTTACCATAATCCAGTCCCAAATACCCTCACAGATACACTGGACCAGCCAATTAAAGAACTAGACCTGAGGAGGAAATTTGAGCTTCAAAGGTGGGCACATGTTTTTGGAAAAGAGCCCTCAGTATTTGCTGCAAATTTTCCTTCATACAGTCAACATCTTTGATTTTGAAAGCAGTGGAAGACTGAGAAGAGTGGGTAGTGTAGTTGAGTTGGTGAACATAACATAAAAGGATGAAGTTGGGGATAGGGTGAACGGAGAAGAATATATGCCTGCACATATTTGGTGTGTATCTGATTGCTGTTTTATTATATAACAGTTTGATGAATGCCTGCCCAGTAAACTTTAAGCGTGACAAAAGAATTCAGTGAAAATAGAATTATGAATGGCTTCACATATTTCGATTAATTTTTGCTGTTGGAAAGAAATATCTGTGTTCATCTTAGTAACATATGTCTTGTAAGGACTTAGCAGCAAGCAAAAATATATTCTTCCAAAAGCATAATTTATTCTGGCTCAAGAAAATGACCTTCTTTGTTTGTGTTAAGGAAATTTTGAGTCAGAGTAAAAGCTTATGGTTAAAAGGACTTTTCAGATCCAGTCGCAAAGCAAAAGAGACAAAAATAAAGCTGCCCAAGAAAAGTAATAACTAAAATAGTGAGAGTGGGATGCAACAAGAATACACAAGAAATTGAGATAAGTGGCAGCATTTGCAATGTTAGGCATGTCTCCACTGCATCCTTTCCAGCCTCCTGTGACTCATGCCACAACCAAAGTAAAATGTTAATGCTTGCATATCCCCCCAAATTAAAAGCACCTGCAAAACAGGGTAGGAAAACTGGTAGGGGGGATGATTTTTGTAGGTCTTCAAGGCAGGCATTTCCTCTCTCCTTGTACATATCCTTCTCCTGGTAACAGGTCAAGTCGCCTAAAAGTCATCTCGCCCAAAGGTATCTCACCCAAAACCAGAGAGAGCTATGTGGCTTAAAATTTTACTTAAGCTTGCCCAAAATGCTGAGTTATGTCACCCAAAAGTTTAGTAAAGAGTGTATGTTGAATATATCTTGTTCAAAGGAGCATGATCTTGTTCTTCGCGATTAATGAGATGAAACAGGTGGGATAAATGTTATCATATCTTGTTCTTTAAGTGATGATGACACGAAACAAGCACATGGATAGATGAGTAACATATCTTGTTCTTTAAGCCTTGATGAAATGAAACAGGCATGATAAATGCGTGATACAACTTGTTCTTTAAGATTTTGGTGAGACAAAAAAGTGTGAAAGGTGTTAGGACTTTGTACCGCATTATAAATGTTTGGATTTTGGGCGTCATAACTTTAAACGAGATGACTTTCGGGTAACTCGACTGTAAACCCCTCCTCCCTTGCAGTCAACACTGCTAAAGAATCCTCCTAAAAAATTAGGAAGAGATTGATGTGACTCCTCTAGAAAGATTGGAGCACAATATTAATGTGTGCTGTATTAGGTATGACTTACCTGCATGGGCCTCTTCATAAGAGACACTTCTTAATTTTTCCAACCAGCCACTATCATGATGTTTAAGAATAAAACAAGCACTTTGACTAATAAACTTTGCTCGATATCCAAAGCCCATTTTTCGTAAATTTTCTTCAACTTTGGCACCAGTCAAAGCTTTTAAACAAGGAAAAGTATAATATGTCACTCCATGCAATTCTCCCAATTTCTGGCCATACGCCTGGCACAGCTTTTCAACCATTCCACTAATCCGTGGGATATTGTTGTTTGATGAGCAAATAAAAGAAAATAAATTTTCCACCGGATCTTGCCTTAAAACCCTGACGCCTCGGAATCCGTCTGAAACTTTAGCAAAGTGTGGGTCACTTGTTTTCCACTGGTCAAAAAGGATCTCTACATCTACGTCGTCCACTTGAAAGTAATCTCTCAAAATAGACTCGTAAAGTTTCGATCCCTTATCCTTTTCACTTTCCGAAGAGATCTGAACTTCTTCTAAGACCCGTTTTCCGCGTGATGAGTGTGGTCCGTTTGACGACTTATAAACACGGTACAAAATTTCACCTTGTTCTAACTGTTTTAGAATCCAAACGAAGCCGCAGATAACACTGGTCCACTCGCCAGGTGCTGTTTCTTTCCATCTGAATGACTGTCCACTTTGTAAAGTGAGGTCTAAACGTACTCCTGGTTTGTTGACAAGTAGCTTTCTCCACACAGTCGCCATAATTTTCACTTAAAACAGTTGATCATGTTCATGTTCAACACTGCCGCCATATTGGAAACACGACCGCATCACGAAATGTATCTTGGGAACGAATCTTTTGTTCTCGTGGAGACGAGGATGAGCGACAAAGGCGACGGCAACGCGAGAACCGCCATGATTACTGAAACAACAACTTTGCACGTACATCACTCTTTGTTGTGCATTTCTTCGCCGTCGCTGCACGACTACAACGTGAAAGTACCCAATTTCACGTTGTGTGGAGGAAGTGAACACAAGTCGACTTTCTTTTGTTTTCCTGAACTTTTGAAACTTTGATAAAGTCTTTTGGCATTCAACTCCAGAAAAATTGCCATTTGACCAACTGAACCAGTTGGAATAAGTGCAATAAAGGAGCCATAAATGGTATTATCTTATAGACTTTCAAGAAATTCCTTTCTCCGTTTTGGCTCTGCATCAAAATAATTGATTGCAAAAGGGTAAAAATCTGCCATAATCCTTTTGCTGTAAACGTAGCTTTCTCCACATAGCCGACATAATTTTTATTTATAAGAGTTGATCATTGGTTGAGAAATTGTGGTTATTTACTGACATTCGATCCCCTAGTCCCACAGAATTGTATGTGCAAAGGGAGTGTGACACCTACATATGGTTTATCGTCCTTATCCTTTTGCTGCCGTGATGGTATATACCCTTTGCACATTACATGTAAAGATTAGAATTAGAATTAGAATCCGAGAAGACTAGAAATTCTAACCCTTTGCAGATTGTAACTGTAATATTCGCAGCAACGCTTTGAGGATGTGTTGTTATTTACATAACAAAGGGGATCAAGTCTGCCTTGTACCCAGACTTCTCTCTCTCTCTCTCGATGAAAATGTGCGCGCAAAGGAAGGCGGGAAGGAGACAACGGGCGAGACGGCCCTTCGCCTGCCGTCTCTACCCTTCCCATGGTCCCTTGCAGTTCATCACCAGACACTCGCGTTTCGCGCTCGCCTCTACCATGCGAAACATGAAGCGCCTGAGGAGGAGGCTGGATCAAGTTGTTAAAATCGCAGAAGACTCTGACGAAAAATCGTGAAATTTGTAAATTTTGCAATTGCCCGTAAAACTGTAAAATCCGCAGCGCTGCTTTTCGCAAGCTCTTCGCGAAAAATCGTTAATTTTGTAAATTTCGTAGCAGAGTTCAATCCTGGACATAACGGAATTCTTGAGATGTGTTCGTACTGATGTAATTTTGTCACTGCCATCAGGTGTACCAGGTTAATTTCTTCCTGCTTTTTCTTTGCCATCATGGTACCTTTATATTAGGCCCGAGTTTTGTAAGGATCGAAAACCCAATCCTGATTGATTTGTTTCCACTACATGGAATGTGAGCTCTTGGTCAACATTTGACTTGGATTTCACAGGCAATTTTACAGTTCCTAATACTGTGAGATTATCTTCTGAGTAGCAGGGGAGGGGGGCATTCCCTTGAATCTTCTTGAGTTCCTTTAGTGGCATTATATTAACTTATGAACCAGTGTCCACTTTTAGTCGCATGAGCTGTCCTTGTACTGATAAAGTCACATAGCAATCGTCGTTCTGAATTTTGACTTCTGAATTGACTGATCCTTCAAACAATGGGGACTCGCAATTGTACTGTTCGTCTTCCGCCTGCCGTTAGCCCGTGGACGTTTTTTCACTGACCGGCACATGCTCCTGACACGGATGCTTGCAATTGCGGCATGTCTTGCCATACACCGGCCATTCTCGTACACCATGTCTTATTCCAAAATTTCTACAATGAAATATCTTGCTTGAAGAGGGTCTATCTTCATTGGCTGAGTGCATTCTTTTGAGTGAAGGGTGTTTGTTTTTCTTCTCCATTCTAATTAATTCCATCATGTTCCATGTACAGATGAGTGGCTTGTCGACCTTGTCATGTCCTTTAATTGTCTTTCTGTTACCTCTGCAGATCGAACTACGTCTATAGCCTTTTCCAGGGCGAGGTCTGAAATCCTGAGCAATCTCTCTCTTGTCCGTAGCGTCATTGATACCAAGCACGTCTTTGATAAGCGAGTTTTTCAAGGTGACGAATTCACATGTTTCACTTATCTTCCTCAGCACGGTAACATATTGATCAATAATTTCATCACTTTCTTGGGCTCTTGAAAAGAACTTGTATCTCTTGTCATTCATGTTTTTCCTCGGTTGACGGTCAGTTCCTCAAATTTCTCTACGACTTTGTCTATCTTTTTGTAATCACCTTCTGCATCCCATGTCAGAGTCACGCAGAGTGTTAAAAACATCGACGGCATCGTTCAGTGATCGTTCCCAAAGTAGCCTAACTACTCTGGTGGCACTTTCCTTCGTATTTATACCAGTTGAAATTTCATAATTTGTGTACTTTTGTTTGAACTTTCTCCAGTTTACTGAAACGTTCGGTTTCCACTTCTTAAATCGAGTGGTTCCGGGGGCGGGAGGCCTCAATGTAGCGCTATTTCATGTACAGTATCAAGATCGTACTGAGGAGTATTTGCGGTGTTTCCTCGCGTTAAATGTTCGTTATGTGCTTGAGGTGTATCTCCGTCTGCTGCCGGTGTATTTTCGTTTTCTTCAGGAACGTTTTCTCCTTGTAGTTCGTCGAGACCTCCTCCTTCACCCACACTGTATTGACGGTTTCTTGGGACATGTGCTATTCCCGGTAGCAGCTTTTGATATAGTCGTACTTTGCGTTCTGTCTTCACTCTGCGTTAAGAGAATTTATAGTCTGAAATGTTACACGTCTTCACCCCCTAACCCGTGGGTCCCCACACGGGTTAGGGGGTAGAGATGTATGACATTTCAGACTAGAGAATTTACTTTCCCTTCTTCACTTCTGACGCCGAGTAAAAATCTTTACAAGAGACCACGATGGAGCAGGATTAACACAGTTTAATTAACAACTTCTCTGGTTCTTCAACATGGCCGATTCTCCAAGATCTAGTTCAATATGCACGCATGACTATTATAAAATACCGCTGATCATTACACAGATGTCTTTGCAAAGGCAGCACTGTCTCCTAAGAATCTCCTCAGTTATTTAACGACCCTGACTTTTGGCCCCACCGCGGTTTGAACCAGCGGCCTCCCGCTCGGCAGACCAGCGTTCATCCACTTGAGCTAACCAGGCGGCAGAGGCGGTGTTGCAATTTTTTTGGTGATAAACCACAATTTAACTGGACTACAAAAGTGAAAAGTGCGGAAGTAGGCAGAGAAAAAAACCCAAACCAAAACAAAAAAAACCTGTGCGTGTGTGTGTGTGTGGTGGAGGGGAGGGGTAAGGCAGAGGGGGCCAGAAAACGCCCCACTTGAGATAAATGTGCTGGTTGAGAAAGCTTTTATATGGTCGTGTGACAATTGAGCTGCTTGTAAAGGTGATGTTACACGAGACGATTTGCAAAGACGATTTTTAGCGCAACACAGCGTTGCGGCATTGTTTCGAATGGTTACAACATTGTTCCAGCATTGTAACTCTGTGTTGCGATAAAAATCATCGTTGCGAATCGTCCCGTGTAACATCACCTTAAGAGTTGTTGGAGTTGTGCTGTTTATGGAAGTTAAGCTACTTGTGGGAACGGAGTTACGTGCAAACTGACGCAACAAATCCCAACAATAATGTTGGGACTTGTCGGCCAACAATGTCGCATCCGTTTGCACTGGGCTTAAAGTTTGACCGGTTTCAAACTTTGCACAACAACACGCAACAGCATGCGACAGGGTGTGCAAACGGACACAACATGTAACATCCAACTATGTTGGGAGTTGTTGCCCAACAGTGTTGAGTCCGTTTGTATATAGCTTGAGGCAGCTTAGAGCTTCGTCACGTGTCCCTGCCCCACCTAAGAGTTGTGCTGCTTTTGAAGTTGTGCAGCGTAAAAAAAATTAACACTTTTTCTTATGGAAAAATCATTCAAATGTCCGTTGAAGTGTTTCCGTTGAAGACCAGCATAGCAGCTTCATGTTTGCTCTCAAAGAAAACACAAGGTCCCTTTTTTGCGTCTGAAAACCTGCTGCTTGTAAGAGTTGCACCCCAACTCGAAATATATCCCTGAACACTGTTATTATTAAGAAACGCGCCACATTTGGTGGGAAAGGCACCGATAGAAGAAACGAGGACAGAAAAACGAGAGGGGGCTGGGAAGAAAGCTAGGGAAATTCTTAAGGGATTTATTCGTTTATGCAGCTAACGTATTCAAGATTTACAACTAGTGGTGTGGTCAGTCACCCTTTTCCTTGAAGGAGAAGAAAAGACCAGAAACAGACAAAATCTTGAGACACGGTAATGATACCCTGCCTTCTAAAGTAACATGTTCAGTGATGGCTCTGGATGATTCGTTACTCTTTGATTCAGTGTTAGCGGACTGCAAAACAGTAGTTTTTCTTGAGGACGTGAGCTGAAAGGCGACAGCATTTTTTGCGTCTTTCCCCAGGTACACACTTTTTTTCACCCTCGCTCCAGGTCCAAGTTGTTCAAAAGGTGGATAGCGCTATCCGATGGATAAGTGTCTATCCAGTGGATAACGCAATTGGTTTCCCAAGTACTTATCCGCTGGATAGTGGTTTATCAGGCCACGGTTGTTCAAAAGATGGATAGCGCTATCCACCGGATAAATCACTATCCAGCGGATAAGTATTAGGGAAACCAATAGACCTTTTTACCGATACGGCGGCCATATATATTTCAGGGGCACCCAACGAGAATATAGTTCAAAACCACTTAAACATAGCATTGTTAAACGTATTTTAGTATTTAAACGGTAGATATAGGCATATTTTTATCCCCTAAAAATTTTTCATCTGTTCGGATTTCCTAGCTGAAAGTCTAGTGATCCGAAAATTATAGGGATCAAAACTTTCCTTTTCGAAAATTTCAGCCAGAAAAAAGGCTTCCGAAAATTCTAGGTGACCTTTTTAGGGTAAAAATCCGTTAAAAATAGGCAAATATACCATTTTTTGGATGTTCGAAAATCCTAGGGGAGGCAGGCAAGCAAGAAATTTTACAACAAATGTTTCGAAAATTCTAGATCTCAAATCGTCTTCCGAACAGATATTCTTCCGAAAAATGTCGTTGGGTGCCCCTGATATTTGTGTTGTTTCGGAAACACATCTGAAACCAGACATTCCCGATGCTATTGTGAATATACCAAATTACTCGATTCTCAGACGAGACAGGAACTGGGCTGGTACTGATAAAAGGAGTAAAGGAGGAGTTGCAATCTACATAAGGAACAATTTACATGTAGTCTCCAGATAGTCGGGCATGGTGGAAAGGAGTTGATGAATTGTCGCAGCGGCGTCGTGCTTCCTGCAAAGTAAACCTGGATAACAGCTGTCTGATGGACTTGAATGATTACTTCGCTAGGCTCTGCTCAGATGATATGTACATAGAACCAACCCCTGTCACAATCAGCAGTGGGATGGAGATCCCGGTAATTTCCGAACGGCAGGTCTGGAATTTACTTAGCGTTCTCAAAAGAACTGCGACTGGACCCGACCAGATTCCTTACTGGGTTTGGAAAGAGCATGCTGAGATTTTCACGCCTCTTATCACCAAAATCTGGAATCTCTCAATCTCTACTCAGTGTTTGCCATCATCGTGGAAGCGTGCGATCATCACCCCCCTCCCCAAAGTGGATGTTCCTAAAGCACATGGTGATTATCGCGGCATTAATATAACTCCTGTTATAGCGAGGGCTTTTGAGAAAATTGTGTACCACTGCTATGCCCGCGAGACAATTGAAAGCCACCTCAGCACCTCACAGTTCGCCTACAGAAAAGGTGGAAACTGTACCGATGCTCTCTTGTCAATTCAACATAGGACCAACAGCTACCTGGATAACCCGGATTGTAAAGCAGTTCGCCTTTTTTGCTATGGACTTCAGCAAAGCTTTTGACTCTGTGAAACATGAACTTCTTGCTAGTAAATTAAAAAAAGCTCCCACTGAATCCATATATTACCAATTGGTACTTGAACTTTTTAAAGGATAGAAAACAAAGGGTATGTTGTAACAACTTTGAGTGTGACTGGAAACCGGTCAACCAAGGGACAACTCAAGGTAGCGTTAGCGGTCGTTACCTTTTAATATCTTCCTCAATGATCTTAACATCACTTTAGGTAATCATGACGCGCTATTTAAGTACGCTGATGACTCGACAATTATTGCTCCTGTATGGAAGGAGGTAGACTACTCCGATCAGTTAGTGTCACAGTTTTTAGATTGGACGAATACAAATGGAATGTCTTGCAACCCAAGCAAATGTAAAGAGTTGACGATCAAAAAGAGAGGCAACCACGATCTCTATTCACCCATTGGGATGATACCAAGCTGTAAAGAAGTTGAGATTTTGGGCGTCACCTTCCAATGTGACAGCAAATTTTCAGTGCACGTGAAGAACAAACTTATTAAAGCTAACAAATCCCTACATATCCTTAGAACGCAGCGCAAAGAAAGGTACAATCAGTCAGAAATAGACCTTCTCTTTAATACTATAGTTCTACCTAATATTAATTACGCATTATCTGTCTACGCCGCGTCCGAGTCCGATCTTACACCCGTACAATGTTTCTTAGACCGCTGTTTTAAAAGGAAATATACGTCTAAGCCTGTAAGTGTTTATGATTTCTTAGAGAGGCAAGACCGTAAAATTTTCAAAAAAGTTTTTAATGCCAAAGGACATCCACTTTTATCTATTATGCCTCGTGTTAAACCCTCCAGCTACAATCTTAGAAAAGAAACTAGTTTTAAACCTAAGATTAACACTATGCGCTTTAAAAACTCTTTTATTAATCGTTTAGTTTTTAAATATGAATTAGCTATGTAATATACTAGATATATATACCGGTATATATTTTTTATTTCTTACTTTTTAACTTTTTAAATTTCTTACACTTACTTGTAACAAAAGATATGTATTTTTATCTCTTGATGAATAAAGACTTTATTTATTTATTTATTTATATTGAATTAATTCGATTTAAGGAGTATTATAGGATGCCCAGGGGGCATGAGCACATTTCGTTTGTATTTTCGAGCTCTTTTCGGGACATTTTTTCTTAAAGTTTTCTTAGAATAAGATTGTAATGGGAAAAAAGATCCTTGTGCCGTGTTTGGATGTAATAATGATCGCTTTTTTCTAGTTTAGTGTGACAAATATGGTCTTTCACTGTATATTTCTCGGGAAAAAGGCGATCATTATTACATCCAAACACGGCACAAGGATCTTTTTTCCCATTACAATCTTATTCTAAGAAAACTTTAAGAAAATATGTCCCGAAAAGCACTCGAAAATACAAACAAAATGTGCTCATGCCCCTTGGCATCCTATAATACTCCTTAAATCGAATTAATTCAATATGGCCGCCGTATCGGTAAAAAGGTCTATTGCGCTATCCAGTGGATAGTGCTATCCACCTTTTGAACAACTGGGCTCTGGTGGATAGGGCTACCCAGCTTTTGTTCAACCGCTCCCGCGTTCATGACCTACGCAAAAATACGGGCTGTTGCAGTCTACTTTACCGGGTAAGAAATCAGAGAGACCAAAGCTTTAATAAGTTTATTAATCAGGTTTCGAACCAATCCTTGGTGGCTATTCTAATTTTGACATCTTTTTCGGCATAAACTTGTAGACCTGTTTCTATGGGATATATTTGAACCAGATGCAGTCTTGGTGCATTAAAGGCGCTTTACGACGGAAACAGCTGCTGAAGTGGATCTTCCCAAGATTGGGTGGGGAAACCAAAACTTAGTAATTGATAATTGGAATTCTTCCTAGAAGTGTGATAACTTAAAGATTTCCGAAATCTGACTTGTTTTCTCTGAAATGCATGGTACCGTCCGTCACTACTGTTTTTCTTGATAAATTACTTTGATAAGCTCATCAATTTGCAGGTCAACTCTTGATGGATAAACAACCTTAAGCTGTCCATCACTATTCACTACTCTGACTTGCTCAATAAGTAGCACTTGTTTTCCTTCTGCTGCACAGTCCTCAGTAGGAATGGAGCGCAATCCAGCTTCAAGGAGTTTGCTGATCAGTTTCTCCATGACTGACTTGCAGGTTGCTAAATCAGTGGGTGATGTAACTTCCAACATCACATCCAACTTCTCGGCTCTGATCTGAAAATTCATTTTGAGCATATATATCATATCGACCATATTTCTAATGGCCTTTTATAAAATTCTATTTTCAATAACTGAACAACTTGGAATAATCAGTAGAAAAGTTTCATAAGTGCCACGTCAGTTTTTAGTGAAGTTTTCCTTGGTGTCACTCCTCAGGTCCTAAATGTCTTCTTAAGGAAACAAATTCATTTTCTTGTTTATTTACACTCATTCAGACTATTAATCTTCATTAGGATTAATAGCTCTTTTAATTCTAGCAGTTAACTCACCTTACTTCTCTCACTGTTAGTGACAGGAGGGAAGGATATCACACCTTTAGTAGCATCTCTTACAACTGTATATAATGTTGCACCCTCTACAAGGCTCAGATACCTATCAAGACAAAATCAATATCAAATGATGGACATCCAGATGTTTTGTTAATCTTCAAATCCAACACGTTCTTAGTTGCAGGACTGTCAACCCCCCACGTCTTCAAATATTGAGAATTGCTAAGTAAGGGATGATAGATGACGTCATAACGCACGGCACAATCATGACGTTATTTGTGCAAAAAAATACTCATGGACTCCGATCGTCACGAATATTTGCGATGACACAAAACGCGCGAAAAAGATGCTGTTGTCATCGTAACATTTCACCTGATTGGTTTACTTCCCACTAATCACAATATTTTTTATATTACAATGCCATACCAGAGTTTCTGAGGAAACGTTCGATGTTAACAGTAAAATAGCTCAAACAACGCCAGCTACTTGAAATTTCATTGTCGGAAAGTCCGGTCTAAAAGAAATGGCAAACTTCGGCGACTATCCTGGATATTTCAGACTCTAATCTGGAGACTGGGAGATACGGTCGGGTCCAAAATCTGGAGTCTCCTGGATTATCCGGGAGAGTTGACAGCACTGTGGTTGTGATCGCAAAGGTATTGAGATATTGTAATTTCATATTGCAATAATTTGTTTTCCAGGTGAGGTTTTCTCATTATGTCATTTGTTACAATTTTACCTTCATTGCAGCCTGTGTGCAGACATCTGTTGTTTCCTAAAAAAAGGTTTTCTGTGAGATGTCTGCATGTAGGATACTTGTAAACTTATCATAGTAGTTACATACTTGTACAAACCAGACTTGAACGGATTTCTTTTAGTCTTTTGCTTTTGTTTTAAGGCTTCTGTTCTGAGATCTGTTATCAGCTGTTCAGCAGATATTTCCTTGTGTTTTCCAAGTGGCAGTAGCTCAATGTCACCTGGAGCAACAGCTTCATACTCCAAAGGAAATACCAATGATGAAAGGTCATGTGTAGCAATTGTAGCTAGAGTTCGCTGATCACACACACTTTCATGCAGCTTGGTCTGATAAGAGGAGATTAAGGAGATAACACATATTATTACCATAAGGGGTTGGTCGTTAATTATTAACTGTGAGGAGACGGGGGGGGGGGGGCATCTTGAGAAAGCTTAGAAGATTTTCAAACTGAGCCCCTATAACAACAACAACAAAATTTATTAGCAATTCCATGAGTAGATTGCATTGCCGATTACAATATTAATTATGTTAAGGTAAAGAAAAAAAAAAGAAAATAACATTTATCATTGCAAATAATAATAAAAATAATGGCTATAATTACACGGAAAATGCTTACTATATTGTAGCTATGTTTAATGATCTACTTTCACGTTCTTCGAAGGCCAGAAAAATAAAATGGCCAAGTTTCTTGCTGACAAAGGGATCTACATTATTGAAGGAAAAAAGTATCATATCGTTTGCACTCAATGAGTGAAAATTAGGATTGACTTAAGTATAGAATCAAGGAGATATTGTCTTTCATTAAGGTTGTGCAGTTTAGCATGAAGTGTTGCTCGTCTTCGATTTCATTTATAGAACAGTGCTGACAAAATCTGAGATGTTTAGGAATTTTGGGCGTGCAGTATCTCCCGTATTCCATCATTAATATATGATTGTTTGTTCTACAAAAATGTTGCCACTGTGCATCACGGTGATTTGTGTAAGGTCCAAGTAATGAGATTTCTTGTTGTCTCGTTTGAAAAGAGTAAAATTTTTGTTTCCTATTTGGTTGAATGAGAAAAGATTGATGTGTTTTAGCTATCTTAAGAATATTTTGTGTCAATTTTGTGTTGTCATTGTTCCTTCTTTGCAAAACTGTGAGGGTATTTGGTATGAGGAAGAGATAAAGGAATGATTTCCTGTATTTGCTAATTTTTTGATATGATTAGGCAATGCCTAAATGTTACATATTTTGAAAGTGACCCCCATCCCAAATATTCCAGGTACAATTTAGGGACTTTAAGATCCAACGATGCAACAGCAAAGAGAATGTCGCTTAAAAAGTGAATTTGCATTCTATCAGTCTTTACTGCAATTATTCCTACCCACTTACTTTGTCAAATGTGGGCGAACCCTCCTGGAGTTGAATTCCTAGGGACCATATCCAAGTTCAGAAAGAGAAATAAAATTTCGTTGTTGCTAGTTTACGTACTCCATAAACCGCGAAATTAGGCATTTTCACATTGTATAGTACTGCAAAAATCGGCAAAGAAATGTACAAACAAGCGTGATGCATGTGCAAAGTTCTTGTTTTGCTTATAAAGCCTATTGTTTTTTTGATGTTCTTGTTGCTGTCCATGTCGTTGGATCTGAAGTCCCTGTTCCACTGTCTTTAAAAGAACGGTGTTTACTATTTACAGCTGTTACATTTCAAAAAATTTATTCAAATGACCCCCTAAAACCAATCAAGATCTTGTAAATGACCCCCAGCAAAATGGCCGGGCCCCCGTCACAGGTAATAAACAACCAGCCCCTAATATTTTTTGTGACCTTTAGCTTAATATTCACTAGAAATGATTGGCCAACAGTATCTTCAGAAGCTAGACATTGCAATAGTATGTTTCGATATCCAAATACAGTGAAGTTTGCCAAAACTTGAATTTTTAATCAAGCTTGTTCTTGATGACAGAAGATCAGATGAAAGCCTGTCTCATGTTTGATATACATGTGTTACCCTGATTTCAACTCAGAATTCAACAATATTTCTAACTTTCACACTTTTTTGACACTGAAAAATAATGAAAAATATATACTGCAATCTGAAAGTACTGCACTATTATCTACTACATGCAAATTTGTATCTAAATGGTCAAACTTCATTCATTCCTCCACCAACTCAAAAGTTAAAGACACCTTCGACTCCATCATTAACTATGGGAGTGAAAGGGTTGATTTCTTCAAAAAAAGGTAACTCAATGCATTTCACATGGCATGTGGCCGGTTGGGATAACTGCGGGACTTAGCCTTCTTTGCCATTTACTTTGCCTCCATAAACCAGCTTTGTCTGGCTTAGGGGATGGTAGTGGAAGAGGAAAAGGGAATGGGAACTCCACATAACCAGTATGATTCAAAATTTTGTGTTACTTTGGTTTTTTTTTTTCACTTAACAGACCTTTAATTCAGGAAAACTTGTGGGGAAGACAAAAAGGGGTTTTTTGAAAATGCTAGTTAACACTGAAATCATTTCCAGTTTGCATTGATTTTTCAAATTTCTGACAGCTCACACTGGCCAGCTTCAGGGAGAGCTGACAGTTCCCCACTACTCCTACTGGCTTCTCCACCTTTGACCCTGATCCAACCCAGTTTTATAAAGTGGGCCCCAGAGAGATTCAGAAGCTAGTGCTCAGACTACTCTTCAGTCTCTACCTATCAGAGGATATTAATTTTTGTATTTTTAATGCAATCATCTATGCACAGCAAGGAAATATAATCAGAAGTGAGAAAATCAGACAAACAAAGATCAAAATAAGTTCAACGGACAAAAGAAAATTGGTTTGAAGGCAAAATTTCTGGAGGAAACTTTTAACAAAACAATGTTGTTAGTTTTCCAATACCAGTAAATTAGATGAAATTATTACGAATAGTATGTTTATGAACACTCCTACCAGGTTTTTGTGGTAGGTTAGCAGTCCAAATCTATTGGTAAACTTGCTTGTATAACCCAGCAAATTGCATTTAAGTTACATTTTAAATTTCCTAGTTTGAGCCACAGCTTGGTATTTTTAAATGAAATGGTAATAATAATAGTGGTCACCTTGTTACTTGCAAGTTGCCAAACATTACATATTAAAATTGAAACGACTAGAGCAAACATGTAATCAACCTTACCTATTGTGATAGTTTTTGTGGCCTCAAATGGCCTGTCTACCCCCTCCCCTGTGACAAATCCTCCCTCTGCCCCAAAAGCTCTCAGTGAAGATAAAATTATTTGTAATAAGCCAGTACAGGCAAAAAAGTCATTTAGGTTACCCTGACCCCTTCACTTGCATTAGTTGTTGATCAGAATCAAATCATTGTTTTTGCTACAGACCTGAAGATTGATAAACTTCCTGAAGGTGGTCATGTCAGAGAGATCCAAATTTCGTATTATTGCACATACAATATAGGGTCTGATTTCCTGAACAGTTGCTTTTGCGACCACTTGGAAGTCTTCACTGTGTATGACAGTAATGATTGGTCCCATGTGAGCTCCTGCACCCTGCTGTCCTTCAGCTCCACTATCTCCTTCACTGGGTCTTTTATTTCTTCCCTTCTTTCCACCTTTTTTACCAGCTGCCTTCCCCTTTTCATTTCCTGCAGCAACATAATCTAAAACTGCTTTTGTGTGGCATTGTTTAATGAGTTTAGCAAGCCTGTTGTCCTTGATGGAGTTGTCTTGTAAGTGAAGATCCTAAAGAATGAACAAATTTCACTGTCTTGATGAACATTACTACCTTTTAATTATTACATGAAACAAGACAAAGACCAACATAAATTTTAAAACCAAATAAATAACACCATTAGGATATTAACTGAAGAGCACAGATATGACAGGGTGACTACTGAGGTCATTTTGACTATTGCAATAGTAACAAGATAGTTTACTTTAAATAGTATTGCAGCGGTATGATAATCATTGTAGTTATACAATGTAGTACTGGGGGTACCCTTCCAATACTACTGAGATAGTGACACCGACAAAGAATTAGAAAATATTAACCTGAAAAGGAAAATTCTACAAGCCACCACTTAATGCAGACAACTCAAACAAGATGTGATTGATTTCATTGTTGTTGTTGTTGCCTTGGCAGTCCTGAACCTGATATCCCTTTTTGACCTCAGAACAAAAAACAAACTGAACAATATAGGAAAGGATGTGTCCCTTTTAGTAAGAAATATGGACTGCAAGATGAAAGCTATCGTAACACTTTGATTAACGATATAACCGAATTTGTCTTAAACACATTGCTTTTGTAACACTTGCATTGCATCAATAGTTATATGTATTGTTACACTTCTGTCTACTTCAATGATCACATCAATTTTGGAGGGTGCTGAATCTTTGTCACCATAGTAATAAATAACAATTATTCACCGAAGTGGAGGTGGCTAGTCCTGGTAAATATCCACGACTAGCCACCGACACTGAGGTGAATAATTGTTTTAGTATATACTAAAACAGTCAGATAATTGAGCACAAAAATGACAATTTTTAACTCAAATACTGTTGCCAACGATTACAATTTTGGTGCGTAATGACCGGGCGGCCGTGGCCGTCGCTTTTTCTTGCCGACAATTAAAACATTTGAAGGCATTTGTTTAGCTCTTGCAGGGAAATTTCTTCAAAAGGAATTGTGAATTCTTTTTGTATTTTAAAACCATTCTATAAAAAAAGATTATTAAATTTAGTTTTAAGCTTATTTATGAACAACTCAACTAAATAAAGTAAGCAAGACTTAAACTTAATTTGCATTTGTAAACAAAAAACTTTTTCACCGGTTTTATCGATAAATTCGGGTCAAAAACACAAAGCTTTACCTGTTAAAACTTCAAATCTGAACTTCGTCACATTCTTCGTGTATTTCGGAAACAGTTTGCTTGATTAGTTGTGAAATTTCTTTGTTTGTTTACGGCAGCAAACCGGGAAGGCATTTTGCTCGCAACTTACGCGAGTTTGGCGTCACTCGCTCGGAGGAACTGGAGGTGAATCAGTGAATAGTGCAGGATATTCACTGATTGAGTAGCCAATCAGAGCGCGCAAAAAACACTATCCACCGTTTTAGTATGTTTTAGTACGTTTTAGTACTAAACTTTACTACCCTTGTTTACACTTACTTGTTCAACGGCAGTAACAAAATTTACTTACCTACAGGTTAAACTTTTTATCGGGTAAACATCAAGCTATAACTTGATAAATGTCACCAAAGACAAAGGTTTTTTTTACTAAGGTTAATGTCTTAATTAGGTGGTAATTGAGCAAAAGTCAGAATGACAGTTAATACAGGTCAACCTCTCTATAACGGCCACCTTGGGAACAGAAGAAAGCCCGGGGGGCGGGGGGGAGGTACTGCCATATATGGGTTTCCATTTAAACTGATCAATTGGCTGAAGATTTTAGTCTAGACTAGGGAAACTAGGAATTGCCACGCAAGAATATAAAAAATTCAAATTGGTTTTGTTTTTGGCTGGACTGTGCTAGTGACCTCAGTTGTTTCTGGAAAACAGCTACTCTAGGATAGGGGGGTATTTCGGGAGTTTAGTCTAGTTTTGTGTGGCAAAATTCATGAACTAGCTCTGGTACAGGCTAAGGGTTCCAGGGTTCCAGCGGCACATCCCAACCAAAAAGTCCTAAAGTTTTTTCATACTTGATTGGCGCCAATTTTACCGACCCAAAAACGGGTCAATCTGCTTGGACCAATCAGAGTAGCTCCCAAGGGCCCTTGGGGATAAAGCTATTACTCACAAGTACTAAGCACATTGAAATGTGACTCGCAGTTCAAATTCCAACATGGGGTCGATTGCAAAGTGGAAGGTGAACACGACTAATAAGCTTGCGATAACGTGATACGTGACCTTATAGTTTTACTCTAACGAGGATATCTCCCAGCGATTTTGCTCATTTATATGAAATCCCGTTCGTCTGGCTCGTTGTATATTTCTCAGTAGTGGTTGATCTTGAATTAAGTGCCATTTGCTCATTAAAATGTTTTTAAGGTTCTGCAAAGCAGAGTGGTACGTGGTACCCTGGGTGCCAGAGACTTTTCTAGCGCGGTTTCCGGTTTCTGTCAAGTCTTTATAGTGACCCGCGCGAAAAGCCTCTGGAGCAGAGCGCTATTGCTTTGATGGCGCCGATCCAATCGTTAACACGGTTAAATCAGTTGGTCCAGATTTTGGACAAGACGGCTGATTGGCTACCAACGACCACCTGAGGGACTTTGAATCTAACAGACGCTACAATTGGTTGACACGAATAGACCAGCACGTGAAAGAATATTTCGAACTTTGCCGTTGACATGACTTAAGTGTACTAGCGAGAAGTGTTGCTGTTGTGTTGTGTGTTGGCTTTGGAAAGTTTTGAAAGAGCATGATAAGCAATGTACTAGAAGGACAAGTTAAAAGCTCTGAGCAAACAAGAGGAGTATTTAATTTTATTCAACGCAATTAAGCTTTTATCACCAATTCAGCTTTTGTAGCAAATACGGTTTAAGCTTTACTAGTTTCCTATTTCAAACGATTACAACATAATTTGAAATAGTTTGTGTTGATGGGTTAGGAACAAAACATGTATTTTTAGTATAAAAGGGGGGTCAGAAGGCAACACACGACTTTTACCTCATGCCAAAATGCTGCTTGTTCCAATGAATTTTTTTCCGTGATTGGTAGATTATGCTCTGGAGAAAAACGTTTTGACTAAGCAAATTTGATTTTTGCCGCTTATTTCATTGTGAGAGGTCGTGACACGCATATTGATTTTCTGCGGTTATTGTGTCTGGTCGGCACATGATTTGCCTTCTGATGCAAGAGCATTTTCTTTGACCTCTTTTGAAATGCTAAGGTCTTCTAAATAAGGGTTTTAGGTTGTTTTATTTCTCAAAGTGCCTCCTGGATCTGAATAATTATAAGCGATTTTCTCTTTGTCCGTGAAAGTGACGGTTTCCTGCAATGTTTTGTCACGCTGGGCCCAGCTCGTTAGCGTTTTTAACAGGGTGTTAAATTTTCACGGATAGTGATTTTCAGATCCAAATCTTGAAGAATAGATTGCAGCTTAAACTGAAGCTACATCAACTATGGAGAACTGCGATGTGACCCAGTGATGATTGCTCTTAAAGCAATGAATTTTAAACTCGAATTTGTTTTGCTAAGGATAATGTGGGTCTTTGGACTCTTCTTCACGTGCCGGCCCACACGATCACAGTTGGACACTTTCAATCTGATTGGCGTAAATGTAATCCGATAAAAAAGCACAAAGGTCAACGGGAACGGTAAAAAGCACCGCTCCGTGCCAGAGGTTTTTCTCGCGGCTTCGCCGCTCGTGGCTTCGGCCTACGGCCGAAGATGTGTCGGCCTTCGGCCAAACACCGAAAATTCCCGCCGCACGCGAGAAAAACCTCTGGTACCCAGGGTAGGTACGTGGTGACGAAAGGCAGAATTTTCTTTCGCACTTCATTGTTCTTTTGTAAAACTGACTTCCGTTCGGTAAATTTAACCTCAGAGGTGATTTTTTCTATGAGATTGTAAGGGTAACCTCTAGCGCAAAGGCGTTTTTTGAAGTTGTAGATGTTCTCATAGAAGGATTTAGCTGAGCAGTTAGTTCTCAGAAGTCTTAGGGCTTCGCCCTTTATGAGACCTTTTCTGACTCCGTGATGGTTACAGGAAGAGAAATGCGTGTATTGAAAAGTTTATGTAGGTTTAAAATGTGTGCGGATGTCAAGGATTCCTTGGTTGTGAAATCTCCTTTCCCAGTATTGACTCGAGATTGAAACAAGTTTTTGTTTTTTTTTCCGGCCGCCCAAGGTTAGCCTGTGTACAGACGTCCCCCCTCCCTCAGGCTACCCGAGGTCTTCGAGTCAACTTTGGCCTAAAATCATTGTTTGAGACAACTTTCGCACAAAGTAAACAAATTTGCTCCTTCGATGAGATACACACACACGTTCAATAGATTTACTCGGAGTGGAATCAGCACATTCCGCCATTGAAGTCAAAGACTCGCAAATGAAACCTGAAACCCCAAATGCGAGTCACGCCACTCCCCATTTTTGGCGCGAAATGCAAGTGGAACCCTTCAAGCAAGACAAGTTGACCTCTCGCCACTTCGTCGCTCGCGATCGGCCACTTTGCGGCCAAATAAGGCTCACTCCGCTCGCCAAGAGGTTGACCCGTAGCAAGTCTACCCAACTACCCGGGGCCACAAAATTGTATCACACATATGTGGAAACCCAAACAGATACTTACCTTTAGCTTATGACACAATGACAGCTCAACTGGAATCAACTCTATCTTATTGAGGTTTAAGGAGAGCACCTTTAAACCCACCAGTTTACCTACATCAGCACTGATAGTAGTAATAGAATTATTAGATGCATAAATTTCGGCAAGATGTTCCAACTCATATATTCCTTCAGGAAGCTCAGGCAGTAGGTTGAAACTTACGTCGAGTCTTGATAAACTTTTAAGGTTCTTTAAGCTTGGTAAAGCAGTGAGATTGTTACAATTTAAATTTAATGTTTGGAGAAATGTAAGTTCCTCCATTTCTGAAGGAAGTAGCTGTAATTCATTTCCAGACAAGTCCAGATTCTTTAAATCTTTCAACGACCCAATTGTAGATGGCAGTTCTTGGATTCTGTTTCTGTGTAAATCCAAAGTTTTGAGGTTAACCAGATTCCCTAATTCCTTGGGAAGGGCGGACAATTTCGTGTTTGAAATTTGAAGGAAGTTGAGAGAAGTTAAGTTGAAAATGTGCCTGTCTAATCCACCTTTTTCAATTCTCTCAGATACTTCTGTACCATTCACGACTAACTCGTATCTATGCTCGTCTGCTGCTTGTTTTACCTCTGGCCAATTCATTTCCACGGGGTTAGACTGAAAATTGGACGATAAACTATGGTAAACATCACACAATTGCCGCGCACATGCTTGCCACTACAGTAGCCACTGGTATTTGCTTAGGACATTTAATGGGGGCATACATGAAAAACTACCCTTTCAGTGAGCTAGCCACCTCATGTAAGACTACGTTCATTGTCTCCGTTCATTGTCCCACTTCCTCGTTGTATCACAGGTAGCCCAAGCTCGAAATATGAGCATCGGCGAGCATCGGCATTGTTGCGTAACATTCAGAATATAAGGATTTGTATGGGAAAAAAACCTATCGTTTCTGTAACTTACGAAAATGAAAGGATTTCAATAAAAAACAGCTTCCCTTACTTAAAATGTGTGTCACGTCTCTCCTGTGTGGTCCACGGGCCAATTTATGGCCGTTTTATGGGTTTTCATGTAAACGGTCAGGGGCACCCAACGAGAATATAGTTCAAAACTACTTAAACATCGCATTGTTAAGCGTGTTTTAGTATTTAAACGGTGAATATGGGCATATTTTTATCCCCTATAAATTTTTCATCTGCTCGGATTTCCTAGCTGAAAGTCTGAAAGTCTGAAAATCATAGGGATCAAAACTTACCTGTTCGAAAACTTCAGCCAGAAAAAAGGCTCCCGGAAATGCTAGGTGACCTTTTTAGTGTAAAAATCCGTTGAAAATGGGTATTTTTAACATTTTTTAGATGTTCGAAAATCCTAGAAGAGGCAGGCAAGCAAGTAACTTTACAACAAATGTTCCGAAAATTCTAGATCTCAAATCGTCTTCCGAACAGATATTTTTCCGAAAATTGTCGTTGGGTGCCCCTGAACGGTTTTCTCTGTTTACATAAAAACCCATAAAACGGCCATAAATCGGCCCGTGGACCACAAAGGAGAGACGTAACACACATTTTAAGTAAGGTAGGCTGTTTTTTATTGAAATCCTTTCATTTTCGTAGGTTACAGAAACGATAGGTTTTTTTCCCATACAAATCCTTATATTTTGAATGTTACGCAACAATTATGCCGATGCTCGCCGATACTCATATTTCGAGCTTGGGTTACCTGTGTTATATCAACATCACAAAAGAATAGTATGTAAGTGAAATCTCCAGCATCTTGTTGAACACCTCCTTGCAATGTCCACCAAATTTTTCTCTGCTTCCACACCCACCCTGCAAACCCAGAGACACTGACAAGAGACTCAAAATACACCTCTACCTCTACACAACAGCCATGAAAATAAAAGCTCTATTCTTTCTAAGTAAAAGTAAAAAGCTTTATTAATGTGTCAATGTATTTAGTTTTCACAACTAATTGGGGACACAAAAATTAAAATTATTTACAAATAAGAAATAATAATAATAATGTATATACAATTAAAATATGTACCATGTATAAATTGTATAATAAAAAAATAGGTATATAAAAGGTAGTCTCTAAGAATTGCAAAGGTTACAGCAGCTATTGTCGTTGTTTAAGAGAGGCGTTAGGTCTTTTTTCCTAATGTTCTTTTTGAAAGATTCAATATTCGAGGAGCTTTTTAGTTTATTATCTTGTTTCGACCATATATGAGGTCCTTGATATCTATTAAGAGAATGCTTTCCATAGTTAAGTGTTAAAAGTTGGAATATCAAAATCACTGTTTCTTAGTCAATAACTAGTGCTTTTCCGCTTAAATAGTTCGTTAATAATACTCTGTGCAAGGCCATATTTTACTTTTTACATTAATATAGCAATATCTTGTAGTCTTCGATTTAGTTGTGAAGGTAGCTCTGCGCGAACCAAAAGGTTTTCGCATGATTCTGAATGGGAGTTAAATACTGCTCTAAGTGCGCGTTTTTGAATCCGCTCTATTTTTCTGCTGTCAGAAGATCTACAGTTATGCCATAAAATTTATGCCATACCAGATGGCAATATGTTAAGTGAGGCAGGATGGATGATTTGTAGATTATCAGTTTTGCTTTGCATGGTATCAAATTTCGCAGTCTCAATAAGACACCAACTTTTTGCGGACTGGCTTTTATGTGAAATTAAGCTTGTCATTTGTTTCAACTCCAAGTAATTTGATTTGCGAAGTGTTGGTAACGATCTGATCTTCAATCTGCAGGGCCTCAGTCTGTTTATCTGAGTCAATGTTTCTTGGATTGATAGTAAGACACTGAAACTTCTCTGTGTTGGCAAGTAGAAAGTTATCCCCGTACCATGACATGGCTACTTTCCTTGATATTGTAGCCTGGAAGATGCGATGTTGTAGTCCGATCCGAACCTGTTACATATAGCTGATGGTCGTCAGCATACATGAGAAGGTTTGTGTCTTTAACCAACATGATCATGTCATTCTGGAATAAGTGCCATAATAATGGACCAAATGAAGATCCCTGAGGACAACCACGTGACATTTTAGACCATTCACCACTTCTAATAGTGCCTAGTTTTACGCGACTGTATCTGTCATTCAGAAACGATCGAATTAGATCCAATGATTGATTAGTGAACCCATATGCTTTGAGCTTCTTGATGACTAAATTGTGACATAGGAGTCAAACGCCTTACTCATGTCTGTAGATAGAATGATCACTAATTCCTTTCTGTCGATAGTGTCGTTTCACAACTGTGATTCTTTCTGTATGCCGTCAATCTTGGAGATAGAGTATGGTCAAAATAATGGTTATTTGTTTGCTAAGCAGTGATTCAAAAACCTTGTCAATAATCGATAGCGTCGTGATAGGTCGATAATTTTCTACATTATGCTTGTCCCCTTTCTTGTGAATAGGAGTGAGTTCTCCCTTTTTCCATATAGCTGGCCAGTTACCATTTCTGATGGTGCGATACCCTCTGCAACTTTCTTCATTAATTTAGGCATTAGTCCAGTGTCACTACAAGATTTTCTAGGATTGAGGTTTTCAAACAAATCTTGTACGTCTTTTGTATTTATATGTTTGAATTGAAATTAAGAGTTACCATAGATGGTTTCGATCATTTGAACACTACTGTGGTTGTTAAATTCATTTTCAGTTAAACTGATCACATGGCTAAGCGAAATCCTAAGGAGTTTAAGCCCCCCAAGCCCCCAATGGGAATGACTTTGGACATTATATGAAGTCTTACATGAATACATACTATCAAAATTCGCAATCATCGTTTTGATGCCAGAAATAATCTTTGTCAGTGACTAAATACAAGCAAAAATGCCCCAGAAACCGTACTATGAATAAGAAAAATTCAACTTTTGAGCTAAAAAGGTAAAAAGGCAGAGTAAAGCTCGGAAGATGATTTTATCCGGGAGATATGGTGACCCGTATAGGAGAGCGGGAGACTCCCAGATAATTCGGGAGAGTTGGCATGTATGCATTAATCCAAAAGATATGTTCAAATATGCATTACTGTATGATGCTGATTTGTTACTTGGCAAGGTTTCTTTATTTTCTTTATTGACGGAAAATGGCTTTAACATAAAATCTACTTTTACAGATATAAATAAAAGAATCAGTGTCATTATGCTATTACACTTTAGAAAATAATATTATTGTGTAATACTATTCTTTGATCGACTATGACCTACTATAACTCTTTAAGATGGAATATGAATTCTTTACGTTTGCCTACTGCAAAATGATTAGATAGTATGAGAAATTTTGCAACTAGAATGCTACAATCATAGCAAATTAGAGCAAATTATTTTGTTTAGGATGAAAAAGTCTTAAGCGGCTCATGCATCTGAAAGGTAATGTTGTTTTCACAAGGGGTGTCTAGGACAAAAGAAAAGGTCCCTTCTTAGCCTGTTCCACTATCTGAACGCCTGGAACAGGCTAGTCCCTTCTATGAAAAGACACCGAAACTTTTAACTCACATTAGAACTGTCCTAGCAAATGTGAGTACAAAATTATATGATTTATATACAACACAATTAACAGTAATGAACAAACAGGATTAGCAAGTTTAAAATCCATGGACATGCAGCTGCTCCTTCTTTGCCAAGTCAATAGATGTGAGAAACTCAGAAATATTGTTACGCTGGTCTCCCTGGAGCTGAATCACCTCTCCATACTCTTCATTTTCAACTACTGTCCCGTTACAGTTAAATTGCTAGACGAAAAACAAAAACAGCAACAATTATTTCTGAACTTATGCTGCTAACATATTTATCTTCCTTCACCTGAAGATGCAGATAATATTTAGTGAAACAAAATGACTATGTTAACTGCAAAAGTAACATGATGCCCAACAGTGTCTCACTTATTGATTCCTCCATGTATCATATCAAGCAAAACTTTTGAGGTCAAAGATTATTTTGTTTAGCCTCTGTTCTTGGAATACTACAAACAATGACTGGTCAACATGACTGATGAGTGAAACTTTTTGGCCAATCAAGGCACCATTCTGTTTAAACACTGCCCTTTGACCGGCTGTTATTTTAAGGCCTGTGCAGGGTCACCATAACCAGCCAGTGACCATGCCCCAGGTTTTGAAGTAGATGGCCAACTCTGGAAAAGTAGGCAGCTGTGACAATCGACAGGCTGTAAGGCCCCTGAAGGTCTGGGGGAATGCTTCCCTAGAAAATTTTGAAATCTAGAAGCTTGGAAATGCCATTTTCAATGTTCTAGCATCAATTTCAGAGGTAAATTGTGATTTATTAACAATGGCATAATAATATTGTACAGCTGATTACATTAATTTTCATGAAAAGTAGTCAAGGAATATTATGAAAGTTATGGAAAATAATTTTGAAAGAGCTTGACATGATAGAAACAAATGTGAAAGAATTTTTGGAAAAGTTCAATAATTGCTTTAGGAGATATAGCATCTTGAAATGTACTTATATGTATGTTTCTAAAAATAGTAACAAAATGGCGGGAAATTCAAAAATCAAAGCGCAATAACTCTTTAACCAATTGAGTTTTTGAAAAATAATTTTCACATTCTATTCTATCACAAAATGCTTTTTTAGCATTATTTATTTTGTCATATCTTGAAATTTTAATTTTGCTGTCAATCTTGTGATGTCATTTTCCCACCAAAAACTGTTAAAATCGAAAAACAAAAAACAGGATGTTTTGGAATACAAAGTTCTACCATCCTACAGAGTTTGAGATCAAATGAATAAAAAGTGCAAAAGTAGTTCCTAGGTTGCAGCTTTTTGAGTCCTATGGGCCCACCTTGCTACACAATGTGCCTGCCTTGAACTACGATTTTGTTTTGCAAGCACGTGGTTTTTGTACAGACTATTCATTGGGTTATTCCAGAAAAAATCCACACTCCCACGACAGAAGGCATGCTGGAAAATCTCACGGGAGGGGGGGGGGGGTAACAGCTCTGGAAATCCAGACGGGAGGGGGGCTCTGAACCTAAAAATACATCCTCGGGGGTAACTTTATCGATTTCATGGATGTTTCAATTGCTTCAATCACTACGTTTTCAAAACATTGCTTTGCCTTTTCAAATTTTATTATTCTTTCAAACTACAGACCTCTTACACATTTATTTTAAGTTTCCATCCATAGGCTCACCCTCGATACTTTTGTAGAAGCGATGAGCAAAAACTTGAAGATATCAAGAAAAATCACATACTTCATAAAAATGCGCTCAATTCAAGGAAAGCAAACAATGATTTTACCTTGAATTAAACATTTTTCCAAGGTCAATGCTATTTCAGGGTGATTTACCAGTAAAACGCCTTACAAGTAAGCATGGTTGTTCGTGACTGTTCGGCGGCCATTTTGAAAGGCAAGTGTTGTGGCAAGTCTATAGTGCGTCATGTAATACCCCACTAAGTGTCCTTTTTCTTTCTTTCGCAGTCATTTTTTATCGACAAAGAAGAGAACCATTTATTTGAGAACATAGTTAGTTTTGAGCTTCATGGTAGTATATATTGCTGTATATTTTGCCTGTTCTGGAAAAAAGAAAAGTTCACTCAAATATGGGCTTATTTGCAAAAAGTCTAAGCCTGTTTAAGAAGATGTGAAAATGGAATCTTAACTTTCACAACAAACAGTGAATTCACGGAAAATTGAGACTTGTTTAATGAAAAGATCATCTAAGTGCTTAAAAGGATTCTTCTACATTGAGGGTAAATTAAAATTATGGTGTCTAACAATTTTATGGAAATCCAGATGGGTGGGGGGGTCTTTGAACTTGGAAATCCGAAGGGGATGGGGGCTCAAGCAGTTTTAGAAATCCAGGTGGGAGGGGGGGTCAAAAATCGTGCCTTCCGTCATGGTGGTGTGGATTTTTTCTGGAATAACCCATTGCCAGTAAGCTCAAATCCTCTCAAAGGACCATTTTTATTTTTGATCATGCAACAGTGAGAGTATAAAAACAGACGACTGTTCACTAGCTACAAATTTAAGTTGTTAGCTTCATGTGCTGTGAATGGGGAAGTAATAATCAAACATGATCAAATAGGCAAGTTCAGACCTGCAAACCCCTAGCCTCCCCACGGACATTTTTAGGGCTTAGTCACGCATTCCTCCCCCTGCTAAAACAAGCAGCCACTTCCGTTTGCTTATGTTTATAGAAACTAATCAGTATTGTCTCAATGTCACAAGTACAAACGATCATATGCTGTGAAAGAATGTAATATGACACCTGTGCAGTAGTTTCTGCAATAAGCTTCTCACCAAAACATTCATCATATTCTGTGTTCGATAAAGAAAGGGTTCATGTTTGGAAACATTGACATTTAAGGGCTTATGAAAAGCGCATATTAACAATGGTGTGGAAGAATCTTTGTTTTCATGCAGGTCCCATGATGTAAATATGAATGGCGGATCTGTGCAAGTTTTTGACTGTCCAAAAAGTTGTCCAAACCCATGTGAGGGGCCGTCGACATATTTTACTTTTTCCCTTAGACTCGCCCCTTCCCCCTAAAATTTCGCTGCCCCAAAAGTCACTGCATTCTAGAAGGAATACTGAAATGCACTTAGACGTCAACGGTAGGAGCCACTGGTGAACTTTATTTTTAAGCCAGGTAGAAACTTCATACTTTAGGATAGAGCTTAAAAGATCACAATGTAACATGTGACCCTCCACAGGAAAACGCACACTAAGGGCTTGGTCACCCGTTTGTTGGAAACATCAACCCATTCAACAGCTTTGTCACCCATTTGTCAGACACATCAAACTGTTCAAAAGACTTGGTCACCCATTCATTAAAGACATTAGGCTGTTCAAACAACTTAGTCGTCGGTATTATGGCATCCCTTCAAGAGACCTCAGTTATTTTCTGTCGAATGACATGGACCATCCTTTCAGAGAGACGATGAACAATATCTGTTATAAAAAATTCACTTGTTCGAGCAGTTGTTTTTTTCAATCCAGTGGATAGTGCTATCCAATGCTTAAACAACCAGGGCAAGGCCTGATAGCTGAATTTGTGTAATCCAGATAAAATAGACCTTTTTACCAATGCAGTGGCCATATTGAATTAATTAGATTTAAAGAGTATTATGGTATGCCCAGGGGGCATGAGCACGACGCTATATACTTACTCAGTATTTATGCGCACTTTTCAGGGCAATGTTTCTTAATGGTTTTGTATAATAAGATTGTACAACTGGCCTTCCAAATTTGAAATAATTAGAGCAAGCTTCAGTAGTATTTTTGTTCACCTTACATCCGCTTCCATTTCAGTAGTCTCGCTCAAGTAGCCAAGTGTCTTGGGTCCTTGCAAAACCAGAAGTGTATTTGTGGTTTTCCTCCGAATATACCGGTATTTCTCGAAAACGGCAGTCATTATTACATGCAAACATGGCACAACAATCTATTTTCCCCAAATCTTATTCCACAAAAACTTTAAGAAAAATTGCCTAGGAAAGTGCACATAAATACCGAGCAAGTATAGAGCGTCTAAGGTAAGGTAAGGTAACAGGCATAGCATCTTCATGCACGTGGTCAGTATCTATGCAAATTTATTGGAACAAAACAAAGCATTTACACAAGAAAAGAGTTCAACTCCCAGAGGATTAGTTTGGGACACCAACATGGCTGCCCTTCCATTGTTTTACAACACCAATACAGCCTCCGTGATGTCATGTGAAAATGGTCTACATGCCCCCTGGACATCCCATGATACTCCTTAAATCTAATTAATTCAATATGGCTGCCATTTGGGTAAAAAAGGTCTATTTATTGCATCACCCGTTACAGATTAAAAAAAATTTCGAAGCTAAATTTAAGCATAACATTGCGCATGTTTTAGTCTAATGGATTTTAAAATTGGACAAAGTTTGAGTTTCTCTAAACTCAAATTATAAAGAAGATGAGCGCTATTTTACAAGATGTAAAGCACAGATTTACGGTTGGAATACCAACCTTTTTGAAAGCTTTCACAAGCTTTTTCTTGTCATAGCCATCATGAATTCCCTGCACTGTAGTTAAAGTCTTTCTTCCATTTCGCTGTTGTATGCGGATGTGAATAGGCGTATCTTGTAATGATGTTTCGCGCAGTCCCTTATTAGCATCCGAAAAAGGATCTATGATTGCGAAAGAGAGCAAAGTGAAAAGGTCTCAACGCCACAAAACAATCATCGCTCACAACAGATTATAAACTGAAAAAAAAAACGCTCCTCTAACAAGACATTACCATAAGTTTGAAGGTTCTGAATCGACATGCGAACTTCTTAATATAAACTGTGTGAGAATCTGGGGTGATGAGGCTTGGATGGGGTAAATTTCAACACAATTCTACCCGATCGACTATCGTTATCGATTTCCAGAGGAGAGCGAAAGAAACGGAACGACGCAACTGAAAAGTGATGTCATGGTAGTTTTGCCTAGTCCCTAGGGCTCATTATTCCGCGCGGCTAAAGGGTTCCGGGTCACGTGGTCAAAGCGAAGCTACAGATCTTGGACAAAATAAAATGGAACAGCAAACCCCCATCCCCCCCAAATCAAGGATGAAGCCGCGCGAAGGGCAAAAACGCGCCATTTTCCCATCCTTGATTTGGGAGCGAGTGGGGGTCTAGGTTTTCCATTTATTTTGTCCAAGATTGTAGCCTGCGAACGGCAGACAGTTCTTCTGCTGGCAGAATAAGGCATTTTCGAGCAGAACAGTCAGCTGAACAGTTGTAAGAAAAGTTTAACTTAAATAAAAAACAAATGGAAAATACTTTGTGATTAATTGCATTATTTCATAGCTACAACACACTCACATTTTCTCACATTAAAAGTTAGATGACTTCAGAAAATACCGTAACATACCATAATGCTCTTTGCCTGTCATCCCAAAATTTTGCATAAGCATTGTCTTCAGTTTCTCTTGGCAGTTAAAATGGCCCCAAGAGAAACTGAAAACAATGCTTATGCAAAATTTTGGTATGTTATGGTATTTTCTGGAGTGGTCAATTTTGCTAGGCATGATGAACTTCTAATTAGTTTTTAGGGGTTAGGCCCAGGCTCCCTTCTTTGCAAAAACAAATACGGCTGGAAGGGCCGAAAATTTCTTCGGATACCGAGCAGAGTAAGGGTGTCCGAGCAAAATTTTGACCAGAATAAGCGATTTTTGCGAGCACTGCCGGCAGGCTGAATAAGCCATTTTACGAGCAGAAATTATTCAAGCCTAAAACCAGCGCTCAAGATAAGGATTACGAACCGTTCCCGCGAAATCATTTGTTGTCACGTGACTAAATCATGTTTGATTGCTGTTGAAGACTGTGAGATACAGACGGAAGCAATAAGGCTGAAATCTGAGACTTGAGACTAGAATTTTTTCAAGGTGATAGAATATATTCGGCTTTTGCACATCTCTCATGAAACACTTTGTTTGCCCACAGGTGGCCCAAGCTCACTACAGGAACGCGGACGTGACTCTTGCTTGCGAGCCGCGTTGTGTTACAAACGGAAAACGGTTACTTACAAAGGCTTGTATGGAATGTACACGGTTTTTCTTAAAAGAGAGAACGAATGTTATATTCTTAAATAAAATCGCTTACCATATTGCCTTGTTGAATTCTTTGTTGTTTGCCAGCGTCTCATCCGTTTTGAAGCGTATTTCGGCGAGTTAGCGCTACTTTAGTGTTCCACTGCTAAGAGAAAGCGCTAAACTCGCCGAAAACGCCTCAAAACGCAGGGGCACCCAACGAGAATATAGTTCAAAACCAATTAAACATAGCATTGTTAAACGTATTTTAGTATTTAAACGGTAGATATAGGCATATTTTTATCCCCTAAAAATTTTTCATCTGTTCGGATTTCCTAGCTGAAAGTCTAATGATCCGAAAATTATAGATTCCAGCCAGAAAAAAGGCTCCCGAAAATTCTAGGTGACCTTTTTAGGGTAAAAATCCGTTAAAAATAGGCAATTATACCATTATTTAGATGATCGAAAAACCTAGGAGAGGCAGGCGAGCAAGAAATTTTACAACAAATGTTCCGAAAATTGTAGATCTCAAATCGTCTTCCGAACAGATATTTTCCAAAACATTGTCGTTGGGTGCCCCTGAAAACGGCCTGAAACGCGGGCAAACAATAAAGAATACAACAAGGCAATAAGGTAAGTCGATTTTATTTAAAAACATAACATTTTTTCTCTTTTTTAAGAAAAACGTTTACACCAAGCCTTTGTAAATAACTTTTTGTGACACAACAGAAGCAAGAATCACGTCCATGTTCCTGTAGTGAGCTTGGGCCACTTGTGGTTTGCCCCCAAAACTTTAGCCGTCCCAAGAGCACTCGCCTCCCACTATTAAATGTGGCCTGGGTTTAAATCCCGGCGTCAACGCCATATGTGGGTTGAGCTTGTTGTTGGTTCTCTCCTTTGCTCCGAGGGGTTTTTCTCGGGTACTACGGTTTTCCCCTCTCCTCAAAAACTAACACTTCCAAATTCCAATTCGATCTGGAACGCACGGATACTTTTCAACGAGATCAAGTGCTTTGTGGGTAAACAAATTACAACTTACAAATTACATTTATCCTTAATTTTCGATTTTCGTCAGTGCTAGTGGCGCAGACTGGAATTTTTGAGCAGGGAGGGAAGTGACGTCACTATGTCATTGGTCATGTGATTTGCATACACGAAGTCGAATTTGGTTCTTCACACCCTCACATTATCTCATGGTCGTGAAAACGTGCAAAATTTCAATAAGCTAGCTTTTTAATGCCTAAAGGAAATCGAGGCATATCATATTTAGAAAATAATTTTAACGAGGTACGAGGCTTCTAATCAAAGGTTCATACTGGTTCACTCCAGGTTGATTCAAAGAAAAGGATAAAAGTTTGTGTGGCGTGACTGCAGGCTCAAATGACTGCAGATTCGAGCAATCTTCAAGCCATGTAAGGCACAAACATGTTTAGTTCAGCTCCTGAGTCTACAGTGCTAGAAAAATGCACGATGCCTTTGAACATGCTGTTATATTGGAGAAGCTTCCACTCCAAATAGAGTGCATTGCTACCTTTGGTAAGGAATGAACGAGTTAAAATGAATATACAGTTTTTGTTTCGTTCATTTTTTCCAGTCTAAAATGCTAATAAGCTATACTCTTACATAAATAGAAGTTACCCACTGAATCAATTTATTTCAGGTTAGTTTTATATGAAATATCTCTTCTGATCTGCAGTCTTTTTATTTAATACCAGTTTATTAGTCATTATATTATTTTGGTAATCATGTTAGATTTGGCTCAGTCCATCAAGTATCCGTCACCACAGAGAATACTAAACCTGTTTAAGTCCGTCTTCAAAACAGTGCTGAAATTCTTTATCTGGGCCTCCACATGTGCACCAGGATTTGAGAACGCACCACGAGTGGCTTGTTAAAAAAGCCATTGTCAACATTGCGACACTGTAAGGACCTTGAGTTAGTGTCCTTATTAGCAAGAGTTTTTTTTTTGTTTGGAATTTAGCTGCTGTCTGTATTATCTGGGTGTACATTATAGCAGGATGTCCACAAGGCGAGTGTTGACAGTATTTGCCAATAAGTATGAAAGGAAATTCGTAACGTTCTTCTAGAACTTTGTCGAGTCTGTTGGGGTTACGGAACAAGGATCTCAGCACTGCTTCAGAGATGTTTACTATTGGAGGTTACATTAAATCTACAGTGTAAACTATCCATCAAGGGACAGATAGGCTCATTAAATTAGTGGGAACTGAGTATTTATAGCACTAATGCTAGTGGGGCCAAGCAAATGCATGAAACAGATAGTTTAAAGAATAATAATAATAATAATAATAATAATAACAATAATAATAATAATAATAATAGTTATTCAGCCAGGGTTATCTCTGCAGCATAAAATGCTGCTATCAATGAGGGCCCTGGAAAAAATAAAATAAAATAATATATATATATATATAACTAGCCTAAATTACAGTAACTGAAAATACACTAAAAGTTAAAAATACAAGAAGATTAAAAAATTGTCTTAAAAAGCTAAAATACAGCAATTAAAATGCATTTAAAAGCTAAACTAATACAAAAACTTAACAAGTAACTGAAAATTTTTTGACCTATATAATTCCAAAATACGAGTTTTAAAAATCACAGCTGACTCAGAATCCTTCATTTCACTTGCGACATTATTAAAAAGTACTAGATCCATTAAAATAAAAAGACTTCCTTGCTGTCTCAGTTCTGACTTTGGGAGCAGCTAGTTGTGCCCAAGTATGACAGGGTTAAGAATGCCAACTGGCGGGAGGCAAACCAGTTAGCTATTTATAAGCATGGCCGAGGATTTGAACTCGGGACTACCATGAACAAATCCAGCAAGCGGTCAGGGCGGGACTTGAACTAGGGCCCTCTGAATTACAAGTCTAACGCTCTAACCACTCGGCCACTCTGCCTTCTCAAGGTTTTATTGTCTGGTAAGTATGTTAATGAAGTGGTCCAAATCTGAGTTTTATGTTCCTCTCTACTACATGTATAAAGCAACACTCTTTAGATCACAGGTGGCCCAAGTGTAATATCCCCTCAGCAATGTCTTACCCAAGAAGAGGACTCTTTTCCAAACATTTTGCTCAAAGTTTAACGTTAGTGGCAGGGTCACCAGTTTTACCAATTTAAGCAATGGCAACGGCGACAGCTACAAGAACAGCAAAAAACAATAGGTTTATAATAGCAAAACAATTAGTTTGTACGTGCATCAATTTTTTATACATTTCTTAGCCGTTGCTACACAGCTGTGGCCTGAAACATCCTAATTTCACATTTTGTGGAGTTTGTGAACACACAACAAGAGTTTTCTTTTTCTAAACATAAACACTGTCCTTTTGAATTCAACTCCAGAAGAATTCCCCCAACATTTGACAAATTGAGTGGGATGGAATAAGATTGATGAAGTTTGAAACAGTATGATTATGCGAATTCACCTTTTAAGTGATGTTTTTGCCGCTGTTCCTGTTGTTCATTTATTTATAAGTAAACTCCCTTATATCATTTTGTCAGTAAAGTCCCTACACTTTTGATCTCCATGCTATGATAGGGTCAACTGCACATTCCCTTAAATAGTAAATTTTTTTAATCCTGCTTGCTTATACATTGTTTCAAAAAATATATAAAATTCCATTTAATTTCATGTATTTTTTAGGTGACAATCTTCTTGTGGGAACAAGACAGGGTCACTTGCTTCTATATGGAGTCAAAGATGGCGCAGGTGAAGAATAATGCATTATATTTGTAAATCATAGGCTTTAGACTGTGGTGAGATGTGAAATTAACAACTTCACTGCTTTTGCTCCTTACTATCACCCCACGGGGGTACTCTGCATTTCAAGTGACAGAGATGTTTGAATGGGGGCAAAAATCAAAACCCAAAAAATTCCCTTTGGCTTCAAACAAAACCCAAAAAGATCCCTGGACCAAAATTTATCCCTCCAAAAATCCCATGCTGAATTTCTGAGCCATAAAAAATTTCAGAAAGCATTAAATGGAATAGCATGAAAAATAGTGACATAAGTTTTGAGTGACCAAAAAATCCGCTACTTGAATTAAGAGCTCTACCCAATAACTTACTTGCCAAAATTTTCTCACCCCCAAAAAATCCCAAAATCAAAAATTTGAAACCCAAAAAAATCCTTTGATTATCCCTGTCATGTGAAATCTAGAGTTAAATACTTGTACTGTCACACACTGGCCTTTTGAGGGAATCCCCATTTGATCTTAAACAATATTTTGAGATCCTTTTATTCCCTTTTATAAACACCTGACTTTTGCCTTCTCTTTTAGAGAAAAAAGAATTAATATTGATATTTAGTTGAGCTTGCTTTAGCAGAGCGAGACTCAAAAAATGCAAGCGTTTCTTTTTCCATCCACAAATTCTATTGCTTGAAGAATACTCAACCTCCGATAAAGTAGGACTAGAAAAACTTTGAGCGAGAAAATCCTGTTTCATGTAGACAGTGTAGAATTAATCCCATCATCATTTCTTACATAATCTCTAAGCAAGCTTGACTTAGCTCTGTTTAAAAGCGTCCTTGTTGATTTAGCAGTGTCAAGTGTGCAAAGACCTAAAAGCTAAATACCGTAAATCCTCTATTAAGAAGCCCCCCCTCGAATAAGCCTCCCTCTATGATAAGCTCCCCTCCCCCCCACCTCTTTTCAGGGGAAGAAAGTTTATTTTAAGGCCTACCCTCTCTTTTAAACTCCCCCTCCCCTCCGTTCTTATTCTTCTCTACCAAATTAATAACAGATGGACTGATCCACTATGGTTTATCTGATATTCTGCATATGCTGGGAGTTCAGATTTGTTTTGATCTTTGGTTGCAAGACCTCTAACGTCACATGCTTTAGCATTTCCACTTTGTGTCTTAGTTCTTTATGAAGAATTGATACCATCTTCTGGTTCTTTGAAAAATCAGTGTGGTGCTCCATTTTGGTAAATTAATTAAGCCCCACCTTAAAAAGTGCTTGAAATAAATAAGCCCCCTCAAGGACTTAATAGAGGATTTATGGTAATTAGATAAATTGGTATTTAGTGGTCATCATTTTTTGGAGTTAGTAACCAGTAACCATTTTGGTTATTGGGGACAATTTTACTTTACTTTTGTGAGGGCATTATTTTAAATTATTCTGTTTACTTCACAAATAGGTGATAATAGATTTGAAGTTGAGTTGCGAAGCTCCAATAAGTTGTTTTCAAAGAGGCCAATCTTACAGGTATAAATGTACTTTATGTTTTTCTTCTGGTGACGGTACATGTACTTTAATTCTCTGTTTACTGAATCTACCTTTAAGATGGTAATACTGTTACTATACTGTACACTCAAAACCTTCGTTATGGGCAACTGTTTAATACCAAATATTAGTTTTCTTTGTCCCTGGGGAAAGCCCTCACATTTTCATTAAATTCAACCAGCTTAATACGGACACCTGTTAATTTGCATTGTAGACAACAGACACTTGTTTCTTGCCCAATCAAAAAATTCTTATAGAAAGTCAACCTCACTAATGTGGACACTTCTGTGTCAAATGTGTGCCATAATAAACCTTCCTTTTTGAAGTTACAAAAAACTTCAGTTGATCAAGCATGTCGATGTTGCTAGCGCTAAAGTACACTAAGGAGGATATTTTTTTAGATCAATTTTGGACAATAATGGCATCAAACAAGTTATGCAGAGACTGGTTATTGATTAAGAAATGTATAAATGAGCAATTTTTGAGTGTTTCCATAGACATCGAAAGATGGCATTTGTGACAGTTAGATAGGTATTTGCTAGTGTCCTGTGTTACTTGTTTAGTATTTTGCCCAGAGTAGTGATAAAAATCAGTAGCAATCAAGTGATTTTTATTGATTGATAGTGGAAGTCGGTGAAAATCGATAAACAAAATTGTCAAATTGGTATTATCGACTTTCATGATTGTAACTATTTTTAACGTAAGTCTGCCTTTGTTGATTTTTGGCATAAGTTAGATAGTACAGCTGAGAAAACACATCCACAAGTAAAACTGATCAACAAACTTGAAAATGAGAAATGTGGAAACTACAGTGTATGACACACACAATTTTCCCTCAAAAACCCTTTATTTTGTACAAAATAACAGAAACAGTTCCGTTTAATAATTTCAGCTACAAGGCAAGCATCATGCCAAGAGAAATTAATAAAACCTTAGATAAAGATTTCCTAGCCTGAATTTCAGGCTAAACGATTTCCTTAGATAGGTTTTCACTATTTTCTGTTATCAATCGATAAAAATCACTTAATTGCTGACAATTTTTTTTTATTTCGATACCAACGATATTTTAAGAGGGTGGTAGATCTAAGTCGTGAAAAACTGGGCGCCTACAAACCTGGCCAATAATTATTAGTCACCAGAAAAAGATTTTAAACCTGGTTTTAACGAAAAGATAAGATTTTTTAATGATTCTTTTTTAAAAAGTTATAATAATATTGTTTGATCCTTTGACTCTCAATTGCAACTCAATTGCCAACAAATTCACTGTTTGCTTGATTCAGTTTTCATTGCATCGGATGAACAGATTTATCTTCTCATATAAATTCATGAAATCACTAAAAATCAAGATAAGTCGATGACCAAAACGAGTGTGTCATCAATTTCCATCGATTGATCAATACAATCGATATCAGTCAAATCAGATTTACTGGTTTTTATTGATTTATCGATTCATCAATCGATACAGATTTTTATTGATTGACTACTCTGGGTATTTTGTTCATTACAAATAAAAGTTCTATTTTTTACTTAAATAACCTGACCCATGTAATGCAGATAATATAGCCCCCTTAGTGTCCGTAGTTGACTGTTTGCAATTTTTATGTTGCAGTTAGCTGTTGTCGAACAACTAAATTTGCTGATTAGTTTATCAGGTGGGTAACCCTGTGCCATGAGCAGTCATTTCATTTTTATTTTATTTTCCATGTGGACAGGCAGACTAGAGCAAACCTATGACCCCATCAATGCCCATCATTTCAGTCAAAACGTGCATTCGTTCTCTTCACAAAGGCAAGATGGGAAGCTGCAAAGATGTAGAGCAAAAATTGAAATTTCAAATTGGCACTCTTAATCCCCTCTAATTGTCAATGAATACTTTTCATTGAACTAATTCAGGGTTTGCATAGTCTTGAAAAGTCCTTGAATTCCATTTTTCCTTGAAAAGTCCTTAAATTTCTATGCAAGTCCTTGAAAAGTTGTTAAAGTTTCTTCAACTTTGAATGTAGGGGCCTGGAAAGTGTTTTTTGATGCTTTTTGGTTGTCCAAGACAGAATATGAATCATAGCTCAGAGAATTAAAAGGTTATTTGTAACACAAAGTGCGCAATGTTTTATGCAATAATTATAGCGGAACTCCATGCGCGCGTGTGCGGAGTGCCATAGCTATTAAGTAAATCTACCCATCCTAGAAAAAATGTAATCATGTGACCGTACACTGCCCACACGGCTGACCGTCCATCCGCATCACAGGCTTACCAATGTAAAATAACGCATACAACAGGTATGGCAACCCAAATGCAACTAGAGGTTATTTTGGCAGGAAATTGCTTAGCCACCCGCATCTTGTAAAGCAGAGACAACTATAAAGAGTCAATAAAGACGAAAACGGAAAGCGGAAATTGTTTCTGTACCCGTGTTGTCTAAAGTATTAAGCTTAGATTAATAAATTGTCATGTCCACAAATTTCGAACATAGAGCAAGAGAAAGACAGCAGGCCAGTGAAGCTCAACGAGAAAAAAAAACCAAGGAGACATTAGGGCCATTTATACGAGGAAAAATAAGACGCGTCTTACATAAGACGCAAACTTTCCGTATAAACGGCACATTTCGTCTAAAATAAGACGCGGCTTAGCTAAGACGCATCTTATTAGATAAGACATGCTCGTATAAATGGTACAGTTTGCGTCTTATTTTTCCTCACTTAAATGGCCCTATTGTTTTGTTGGAAGAACAACATGAAAACTTTGTAGCAGCCGTGACAAAATGAGAAATGCTAGCAGCCACCAATGCAAGGTGAAAATGAGTGGCAGTGAAGAAAAGTGAACAAGAACACGTATTAGATTTCCGCCAAAAAATGTGTAACTAAAAAGTTTCTGGAAATTTCACGTTGTAGCCGTGCAAAACAATGGCAAAGAAATGTACAAAAAAGTATACTGCACATGCAAAGTTGCTTTTTTTGCTAGTTAGATCTATTGTTGTTTTTCACCGTTTTCCGGCGTTGACCTAGCTTGCTGCTTAGCATTACAAGATTTTATATTTTGTTTGAGCAAACTTTAAATATTATCAAGAGCTCCGCTGTTAGCCCTGGCTAAATCTATAGTATTATATTGATTAACTATCAATTTAAGACAAGGGAACTGAAAAATGTAGAGAAGATGGTGAAGCAAATAGTTCATATTTTCATTGTTGCATTTTTGTAGAATCTTTGAAATTATATTCCTACTAGGTGGTCCTTGAAAATCTAATGGGGTCCTTGAAAAGTCCTTGAAAAATGGTTGCAATTTTTTCTGATTAATGCTCTTTATCAAGGGCCAGCACTAAAAACGCCAGCATCGTAATCCCCCTATGTTGTCTTATCTACTTTGTCAACTTAGCTGATAAAAACAATTTTTTGCTCTCATTTCAAACTAAATGTCTAACAAGGAATTCTTCTCATCAATCAACATTGACATGCCACTGTACTTAAAGCCTGAATTCCGTCCAGTAATTCACAATCAAACTCGTCCCTTTCAAGCAAATGCAGATGTACAGTAGTATCCTTATTTCTTGAATGGTTCAGTTTTTTAAATTTTTGGTAATTATTTTGAAGTAAAACTGCTGGGGTGTCACTGTAATTTTACAGTGTTCAAATTTCCTGATTTTTCGTGACAATTTGTTTTTCCCAATGTGGATTGAAAAATGGGGATGACACTAAGTAGAAATTTGCTGTTTTTCTTTGTGATAATGAATACATCAAAACATAAAACAATACATCAAAATACATCATAAATATTACTTCAAAACGTGCTCAATACCAAGCAATAATTGATTGATTGTTTATTAAAACTGCATTTATTCGTATTGATCATAGCAGCTCTCCTGGTTTCCCTGTTAAGGCAACAGAAATAATGTCCCCTCCCACACAATAAAATGCATGCCACTGAATGTTTCATGAGTTATGCTAAAAGAAGGAAGATAGAAACATAGGGTAAATTTTGCACAAATGCACATAGCTTACCAACGACTTACCTTTTTGCAGCTTAGACTGCCCAGTTATACATGAAATGTGAATTTGTACTCTTCATTACACTTTATCCCAAAGTTGACTGACACTGTTTTTGTCTCCAGATGCTGTGATAAGTGTTCATAACTTGGAAACATTTGCTCTCAAGTTTACTTTGCACAAAACAAAAGGAGCCACAGTTTTTGCTGTCAGTATTAAGGTTTGTTTTGATTGTATAAATATTATATTATTTTAATGACCAACTTTGATGTTGTTCAACATATATCATTAAGGTATGTAATCAAAGCGACCCCTTTGCGTAAGCGGCCACCTCCTGTAAAGCAACCACTTTGTAAATGACTGTTTTGTTCCTCAGTTAAATACTGTTTCAAAAACTCTCTGTCACAAGCGAGCACTACTAAATTTCTTAAATGACTGAAATATTCTTTTGTTTTCTGTTTCTGGTGAGCGACCACCAGCCATGATCACCTATGATTGTAACAAAACCATTCTCGAATGGCACAAAAGTTGTGACCAAGCATGCTGACAGATTATAGCGTTTGATGTAGAAAAAAGGCTGTAATTAGATCTGTGGATAAAAACGTGGATTAGCCATTATCACACAGATGGATAATCCATCTTCAAAGTCTGTCAAAATTGACAGATAAACAGATAGTTAAAGTCAGACATTATTTGTCCAAAATAAAAATCGTTCCATTTTCACATTAAGACAGATTGTTTGTCTTACACACATTATCCAATGGATAACCTGTCGGAGACAGATAATCTGTCTCTAGTGTGGAAATGGCTATTGTTACATTGATGCAAAATGTTATGTAAAAAGGTTTAACAGTTCTGAGCACTACACTATGTAAAACTTTATGCATTTGCCAGTCATCTATTTGACTATTGAATTTTAACTTGTAAGGTCAATAGATAAACTGTTAATCATGTAATTACATTAATCAGTTCTGTTTGACCTTATTTTCATGATTTTTCTTGACCACCCTTCATTATAAGCGACTTTGTTAAGCATCAAGAGTACCAGTGTTGGCTTATGAGAGTTGACTGTATTCTACCAGATGTGACTATCCAATGACATCAATGAAATCAATGAGTAATCAATAAGTAATCGATGGGTAATCAGTTGATTAGTCATTTAGTCATTCTTTAGCGTCATTCATATTATTTGTATTTCTTTATTTTATTTAAATAGGAGAGAAAACAGTCATCAGTATTTGGTATGTTGTTCTCTTGTTGCTACATAGCTTCTCTTGACTATAAGTTGTTTTGTTCCCATTTTTGTATTTGAGGGGACCAAGTTTTTGTGGTGTTTAGAGGTTAACTTGCTGAAATTCAAACCTCCAGGGCATGGTTGCCAAGCACAGCCAGAGGTTTCTGAAATTCCTGACTTTTTGCCTGACAAATGTAAAATTTCCCTGACTAACTGAATTAACAGTTGCACAAATAATCCCTGATAATGGACTCAACTCTCCCCTCACAGCCATATCCTTCACCCTTGTATTTATGCTTTTGGCAAGTCACATGCAGTGTACATGAATTCATACACTAAGGCCATTTATACAAGGGAAAATAAGACGCAAACTGTACCATTTATACGAGCATGTGTAATCTAAAACGAAAACAGCTCGTATAAATGGTTCTCATCTTATTTCTGCTCTTGACTTGGTTTTATGTGAATGTTGCCCATAGCAACGGCAATCCAACATTGTGTACTTACTCTGCATTTCTGTCTTATATAAGACGTGAAGGTCATTTATGCAAAGTTTTTCTTGTCTTAGCTAAGACACATCTCATCTAAGGTGTTAAGGGCTGTTGTTAAAATAAGATGCGTCTTAGCTAAAGTCGCATCTTATTTTAGACAAAACGTGCCATTTATACAGAAAGTTTGCGTCTGATTTAAGACACGTCTTATTTTTTTTCTCATATAAATGGCCTTACTGTAGTTCCTTAACTTAACATGTAAAAAGTATTGACTTTCTTGAAAACCCAACATCAACTATTCGTTCAATTTCATGAATGATATTCTACCAAATTGAATACAATATGATTCATGTCTGTTAAATGTACAAAAGATTTCTAAATGTTAGAAAACAATAAAAGTAGAGGGAAAAGAATAAATATGTACATGTGCTCCTAAAATTTCGCTTTTCCCTGACTTCTTTCAAAGACTAAAATTTTCCTTGACTCGAAGTGAAATTTTCTGAATTTTCCCCGACCTTGAAGAATTTTTTCCCTGACCATTTTCTCACCTGTGGCAACCATGCATAGGCTTTTCTTTGTAAAATTTGGAAACATATGCATTTTCTAATTCACTGTGGCCTGTTGAAGATGAAATGGCTGGTTAAACCAAACTGAATTTGTATTATTTAAGCAGTAAAATTAGGAGAAAGGTTAATGCATTATGATATCAATAATCATGATACTGCCAAATTATCATGGGAAAACATTCAAATGCCCTTCAAAACTACCCTTTTTAGTCGAGCTTGCATAGCAGCAAGACTCAGCGATTTTTTTTCTTCACATTTAGTCTACAAAAGGGGTTCATGGTCACAGATGACACTCATAGTGTATCTCCTTGTGTGATAATTCATTGTTTGTTTGAGTCGTTGATACAGTTAAACATTTTTCATGTTAGCTTGGCATAATCAAGATCTCATCTTTTGTTCTTAGATCCTTCTCCACCTCTTGAATTGAAGTTATGTGTAGCAGTGAAAAGAAAGTTACAAGTAAGAGTTACATTTTCTTGTAATGTCAACAGGGGATTGTGTACTGTACTGTGGACATCCCTGTAGAGCAGATACCTGTAGTGCAGGCACTTAGTTACAATGTATGTTCCATCAAATGAGGGGTCTTATTTACTAGATATCCTAACAATTATTATATATTGAGGAAAAAGAAATTTTAACCAGTTTTGACATGGGTTCTTTTGTAAACATTTATTGGACAATGATTAAACTGTATGCAATTTTCTTAATTCCTAGCTTTTTAACTGGAGAAATGGAGAGTTTCAAGAAGGTGAAGACCTATTATTACCAGATGTTGCCAGATCTGTTGTATGGACAAAAGAATCTCTCTGTGTTGGTTTCAAAAGAGAATACTCACTTATAAAGGTATTATGTGTATGACTGTGTAATCTAATAGTGACACGTGAAATTAGGCAATAATTTCATGTGCTAATTTGTCCTTATTATCAGTCATTAAATTTGTACAAAATGCAAGTGAAATTACTCCCAAATTTCATGAGTATACCATTTTGATTACCTATTAATTTCATGGGCGACAAATCACGCTAAAAAAAATTAATCGTTGGTTTTTGACATGTCTATTGTATCGCTCTCCATTCACTGAAAAGTTAAGAGCTTAAATTTTGTCTTAAATTTATAATTTTCACAATTTTCAACGAAATGCCTGACAGAATCCTTCTTGATGTGTTCTTTCTTGTGTTTAGGTTTTCTAAAACATCTTTGTTCTTAATATTTCAAAACCTTGTTGCCATCTTGGCTCTGAGATGTACAGAAGTTGCCAATTGGTAATTTTGTAATTTCACATGTGAAATATTTTACAAATTAACACTGAAATTGTGCCAAAATTAAGGAGCAATTTGTCACCCATGATGTTAGTGGTTTAATTCCTGGATAATTATATTTAACAATTAATGAATGAGGCTGAGTATCTTATGAAGAATTATGGAGGTCGAGGAGGGTGTTATCCGTCGAGGCTGTAGGTCAAGGCAGATAACACCTTCCGAGATCTCCATCATTTTTCATATGATACGAAAGCCGAATTCAATAATTGTTTTATTATTCATTCAAAATAATTCCTTGTTTAAAAACATGGCTAAAACATGCTTACCTCCATCGATCCATCGATGTTAAGTTCATCTTCGATAGTGCACATTTAGGTTTGTCCAGCTCCGCAAATATTCTCCAAATAGCAGATGTTGCCCTTCGAGTTGTCTTCTTGCTGTTCTTGCCACGTTTTTTGCTATTTTTCGCCTAGTTCTTACTCTTGAAACGAGTGAAATGTCCGCCATTTTTCAAGTTCACAACAAAAACAACTCAACCTCGTGCCCAGGTCTTCCCGGTTAACGGTGCCTTAACCTGCAAAAATGCTGCATTTTTTAGGTCATTTCCTCGTTAAACGCAAAATTCTTCCAAATTTGGTCATCATTAACTGGTTATGGTGAATTAAACTTGTGCTTTCAGCCAATCCGAATTGGGAAGATATTTTGAATGAATAATAATAGCCATTATAGAATTCATTCAACAGTAGAAAATCAAAAATAGTGATCTATGCACAGGGAAGGAAAGGGTGCAATTATTAGGAAAGTGTGGGAGTCATCACATAAACATGGTAGTCATGCTGGCCCAAAATGTGAGGTGGGTTTTGTTATTTGTCCATAGCACTTAAAAAACTGTTTTGGGAATAGCAGTTAACAGCTTCTCCTTCCCCTCTGTGTGAAAGAGGATTTGATACAATAATTTTATGTTTAAGGAAGACTTAATGGAAAATAAAATGTTGTGCAGTTAAGTGTTTCTGGTTACTTAATTGTGTCTTCATATCGCAACTTTACATGTATCATTTTTAAATAAGAAATACAAACAGACTTACAGGTTGTAGCTTTCCATGTATTTTTTTTGTAGTTATTGCATGCATGTGTGGATATACATGTATATTTGACTCCCAATAACTCAAACCTTATACGGAAACGAAAATTACTTTGAGTTAACAGGAGGTTTGAGTTATCAAGGGTCCAACACTAAAATGTATGAAGGAAATCCTGGGGAAATCGACTTTGGTTTGAGTTAGCGAAGGTTTGAGTTATCAGGATTCAACCGTATCCTCAAGGTTTTGCAGTTCAAGTATGCAAAATTATAACACGTTTTTTATTTATTCATTTACTTTTTAATGTAGACTAACACAGGTACGCAGACTGAACTGTTTTCAACTGGACGACATTTGGAACCTACAATTGCTACTTTACCAAGTGGAGAACTTATCTTATGTCGTGATGACATGAGTATCATTACTGACAGCGAGGGGAAAAAAACACAGAAACAAACATTGACTTGGTCAGACACACCAACAGCATTAGGTAAGATCAGACCTGGTAATGTTATAATTCAATAGTAAGGGCTGTTTAATATACATTTTACAATAACTGAGCAATTTCTTGCTCACTGATTGGTTTTAGAGGCAAACTCTATGGTGGAAAAGAGTCTATAGGCCATGAAAATTTTGTCATGGTGGTACAATTTGTATCTCTTTGTTGTGTGTGATTTCCGATTTTTTGGGGATAATAATTTACTTCCATGATTGCTCCAAATCAGAATACTATGTCTTTTAAAACTTTTTTTCAGACTATGTGGAGCCATATGTCATTGGTCTACTTCCTCGCTATGTTGAAATACGAACAATCAGTCCACGTGCCCTCATTCAAAGCATTGAACTTTCTAAACCAAGGTATATTACTCAAGGCAAGCACATGTATGTGGCATCCACAAGCCATGTCTGGAGACTTATTCCTGTCTCCATACCTATGCAGATACAGCAACTATTACAGGACAAGCAGTTTAGTCTTGCTCTTATGTTGGCAGTAAGTAGACAATGCTTTTTAAACTATGTTTTGTTGTTGTCACAAAATGTTTAAGCCCTCATCATTACATCTTGAGTGTGTCACTCACCCTGATGTTAATAATATTTTATTAATTTTCATACAAAAAATTGCAAGCAAGGCAAACCTTTGTTTGTGAAAAATACTAAAAGATATAAAAAGAGTTTTTGACTGAGATCTAGGGTATCAGAATTCTTTACCAGGGAAGTGTACATTAATTTTATACCAGTTTTTTCAGTCTAATCACTTCAGAGTTTGAACTTGATTTGTTCTTATAACTCTCACATGTAAACAACAGAAAGAAATGTGATCATGTGTGGTCACGATTTAAGTTGTGACCTAAATAACAGTTTAGTACCCAAAACACCTACCTGTTTCAGGTTGTTTGAACTTAAAAAAAAAAAAGAAAACAAATTATATTTGAGATACAGGATGATGTACTTTATAAACTGTTCTAAAAATGCCGTCTAGAATATTGAATGATACAGTCAAACCTGGCCCACTTTATGGACACCCTCTTAATTTGGACAACTCATTATTACAAACAGTTTACTTTGTCCCTGGGGAAAGAAAGCCCCTACATTTTCTCTAAATTCAACCTGCTTAATATGGATTCCCTGTTAATTTTGTCATTTTCTATGTCCCTCTCAGTGTCTGTATTAAGAGAGTTTGACTGTAGTATTGTTGATTTCTCCTTGATATATAAACCAACCTTTTTACGTATTTAAAAAGGCTGGATTCTTCCTCTTCAAATGAGAAAGTTTAGCCCTTGCTCATGTTGCTATTTTTTGGATTTCCCTCCTCTCTAAAACGTTAGCCCTACCCTCCCTTCCATTAAAAATGTAAACCTTTCCTAATCTGACTAAAAGTGAAAAATTGATGGAAAATGAAAGTTAGTATTGTTAAATAAATTTGATATCATTTGCTTCTGGTAGCATAAAGATCAATGCATCGTTTGTTTTCTGAACAGGATATGGTTGTTGAACCTGAGGAAGAGAAAGCAAAACGTAAGGAGAGTATTCAGAACCTGTTTGCCTTTGATATGTTCTGTCAGAAGCGATTTGATGACTCTTTACAGCTCTTTGCCCAGTTGGAGACAGGTTAGTAAAATAAAACTGATTGATTGATGTTCTCATTATCTGTCAGAAGCAATATTGTAAGTTGTACAATGCTAGGGTGGTAGACATTGGAGATAGAGGGTACAGGTGTAATAAAGGGGTAAAAGGAAGTTTTGATATTGAGACAGATTTCTTAACTGTGCATGTAAGTGCCTCTTTCAAGGCAGCCATGATGAATAATTTAGAATGACTGAATTTTACTCTACATTTGCTGTATTTCTCTTGAAGGGTTTGTTTGTTGGTATTTCCAATTAAATTATTGTCCAATTTTGCATTAGATCATATATTTGAATGCTATTTTGCACCTAATAAATAAAAAATATTATATTATTATATTATATCCAATTTTCATTACACTGAATAGGATCATGCAAGATTCCCTTGATCATGAGTGAAAAATAAATTCAAATTCTAGCAAGAATATTTACTACTTACAGCAGGTTGAGAGTATAATAATTACTGTTACATTGTGGTTTCTATTAATTTAGCACTAATTTACTGTAAATACAATGTGAGATATTCAATTTTGTTAATATCTCCTCGATGTTGATTTCTTTGCTACAGATCCTACTCATGTGATTGGACTTTTTCCGGATCTCCTTCCAAGTGAATTTCGTAAACAACTTGAATACCCAGCACCTCCCCCACCACTAACACCGGGGGAACTAGAGAAAGGCTGTCTCGCACTTGTGGAGTATCTCACTCAGGTGAGAACTTGGTAAATAAGAGACAAAGTCAGTTCTTGAGGATACTCTTTTACTAATAATTTTTATTACATTAACCCGTTACATCTCAAAATTGACCAAGATCAATATTAACTTTCTCCTAACAATACAGTACACGATCAAGAGAAAAGGTTAGGAGAATGAATAAAATGGTTGACCAGAGAGAAAATGCTTTGATTGTTTATCAAATTCTTAATGTGTGAAGATCAGTGCAGGGAATTTGTATGTGGATATTGGGGCATAAAGGGTTAAGGTAAATTAAATACCAGTAGTTGTAACACTAGCACTCACATTGTTATTATCTTTACCTCATATGCTTTAATATGCTTTAATCTCATAGACTTTCTCATAGACTTTTCTCATAAGACTCAGATCATCCCATACTTAAAGTAAGATGGTCATGATTTAGTGCTTACGATAACCAGCCACCATCCTGGTTTCAAATAATTTATATTGTGTAGTTCCAGAAAATATCCAGACCCCCACCACGGAGGGAATTTCACTTAGGACCCCCCCACCTCCCTGGATTTTCCATTTTTGCAGGGAACTGATGACCCCCCACCCCTTCGGAATTTCCACAAATGTGACAAAGACCCCCCAACCCCTCTGGAAAAGTTCATTTTCACGAAGAAAGACTATTAAAGTAGAAGAATGAGGCAACTTATGGTTAGTATCCAACTGTTTCCATCAGAAGCTTGTATGCTTCTGTATCCATTTATTTGAGTGATCTCGCAACATTAAAACACACTACACCACCACAAAGTACTGATCTGTAATTTTTGCTCATCTCTTACTGTAAATGAAACAGAGAAAGTTAACAAGTCGGTTATATTTGTGAATTCACCTTAATCAGGGCAAGCTTCGATTTGTTATTCGTCTCATGGGCGTAATGTTGATAGAATTAACGCCATTTCGTGCGGGAATGCAGAACAAGTCAAACTTACGACCACAAAATTAATGCAAAACAAAGAGGAGAATAAAAACTCTGAATTCTGAAATGATAACAATGAATACCCCCTGCATCTTGAAGATACTTGAAGGGAAACCAAGTTCAATTTACTGTTTTTCGATCGACTGATTCGACGTGATGCGCGATCGCCGTAATAAATGTTTGGTGAAATCGACACCATTTCAGCGAGAATTCGATCAAGAACATGCCACACGTTCAACCACAAAATTAAGAGAAAATGAAAAGGAGAATAAAAAATCTTCATTCTAAAATGGTTACAATGTATAGCTTGTGCTTCGTGAGGCAGAATTGCCACTCTTCTGATCTATCGATCGACTCACGCAACGTGTTGTGTTGCGTGATGTGTTGCATGCGTTGATGTTTTGGGGAAGACTGGTAACGAGTAATGGCGGCCGAATATACGAGCATGCGATAAAACGAGTTGTAGTCGGTCTAATTCCTTTGAAATTACGCCCAAAACGCTTTTGGAAGAAAGGAAACCTGGTTAAGTTTAAAAGGAACAATCTTAAGTGATATATTTCAAGTTATTTATGTCCTAAAAATGATCTACCAGGTCGGTAAGAAGCAATGTTCGATCTCAGGTCGAAAACAAAATGATATTGCCCCCCTGGAAAGTGATTTTATGGTCCAACCCCTCTCCCTTCTGGAATTTCCTGGGCCTCTGACCCCCCCACCCCCCTGGAATTTCCAATTCCCTCCGTGGTGGGGGTCTGGATATTTTCTGGAACCACACATTGAGGGATGTATAGCATTAGGTAGTCTGCTACACATTTATTTTTAGTGTTGTCACGCAACACTCTCTGCAGCAGACTAAGCATTAGTGAGAATGATGGAAAAAATAATTGATAGGTAGACTGCAGTATCATTTTGCTTCTTGTTGAGTTCAGTGGGTGTGGCCAAATTCTTTTGCCTTCAGTAGTTACCCGGTAAGACGGTTAATCTTCTGTCAGATGTAGGAGAGTATGATAGCATTAACAACTTCATTACTGTACAGTTGCAAGATTTATTAAAAAAAGACGAAGCACAGTTTAATGATGCTTATAGAAATAGCCACAACGATAATGGGTCTGTCAAGTTAACTTGTAACCCAAAGAATACCTCTGTTGATGTAGCCATGAAAGCCCAGGGGTGTACTCCCTTATATGGACTATGCGGGGATTTGCCTGCGTGCAGACGTCTCCTATTTCCTTTGTTCCGCGTGCAACAAAGGAAATAGGAGACGTCTGCGCGCAGGCAATGCGGGGATGTGCTGCTGGACAGGGGTATGGTCTTTGTCTTTGTCCTAAAACAGGGTATATAATTTGGCATGAGTTTGCCCTAAACAGGGTAAAATTTTGTGTGTCTGTCCTGATTATACACAGGGTATTTGAACAATGATCAATTTGATTTGCTTAATGGAATTTGTTTCTACTTGAAGTATACAAAAGCAATGACTATAATGTGAATTTGCTCCATTTCAATTGCCAATAAATGGCTTTAAAACAAGACTGCGTGCATTTTGTTCTACGTCCTAAACAGTAAGATAGAATTGAGGGTGTTGTCCCAAACAGGGCGTATATTAATTTTTAGGATTTTTTGTCCTAAACAGGGTCAGGGTTTTAAACTTCTTGGCAGCTCACCTATACCCAAATATCGGTCTAGTACCCACCCCCCCCCCCCGCGCCACCGCCCCAGGGGGCATGAAAGGCACAATACACGAGAGAAATTTTGATACTTGTATTGTAGTGATAAAATTCTCCTAAATGATATAATTCCCACAGACTATTCAAGTGTTTTGTAACTTTCTCCTCAGAAAAGAAATGATCTGATAAAAAGACTTGACAAGGCTGAAAGTTTGATGAAAGGAAGAAGCAAAGATACCGCCGAGAAAAGTAGTGAAGGTAATAAAAAAAATTATTGCTGGGCTAGTAACTTATCAGATCCACAAAATAACATTATTTCTTGCAATTTTTAAACTGGAAATTTATTTCTTTATGTTGATTTCTTCGTATTGCATTAAGGATCCTTATTGTGCATGATTTCACATGAGATTACCGTACATACATTATTTAAAAATTGCAGTTTTTGCATTAATGCTGGAGCTTTCCAGCATTGGAGGATCCAGGGAAGCCCCCCCCCCCTTTATTTTTAGACCAAACTGAGGCCTGAAGGGCCCAAAAAGTTTTTTGGCGAACACTTTTTGTCACTCCTTTCACACATAACATTTCCTGGTATATTTTCTTCTTTTACTGTTCCTATTTACTATTAGTGGTTAGAATATAATTTTTGGTGTCTAGAGGCCTAGTAAACTAATGTTATCTAGTTGGCCCCTAGTTCCTATGAATATTTACATACACAGTAATTAAATTCACTACACTAATTTAATCAACAATAAGGTAAATTCTTGTAAGTAGTAGATCTAGAATAAGTACGCACAAAACTAAATAAACTAAAGGAGAGGAAGAGAAAAAAAAAAAGAAGAAAAAGGAGTGAAAGTGAGTTAAAGTCGTGGATAATAGATAACAATAACCAAGCATATAGTTTATAAAGCCTTAAAGAAATATATAAGTCTGTGCAATTATTGTGATTACAAAAAATGGTTTAGAAACGTTTTGCGGCCCTAAAACCTTTTTTCTTGCTTGAATGCTTCTCAGAGGCAAAAGTAATTTTGAACATGATCTTATAGAATCAATGCAACTTATATTAATCACAGAGGAGAAAGTGATGAAACATGTCAATTCTGCCTGACTGATAAACATCTGTTCTGTCGTAAGATGTAAACAGTATCTTAAGCCTTTCTGAAACTACGATGTAGCTGTATCTTATCTATTCTTAAGATGTATGTTTGTTGCTTCTGTAGACTGTCATGTGGTTATTTTAGTTTCATTTTATCTTCAGCTGATATAAAAGCTCAGAAGAACATCATGCACAGAAGGCAAATTATTGACACTACACTTCTAAAATGCTACCTTCAGGTTAGTGAAAGGAACGCAAGAGGCTTAAAACTTTCCATTTCTTGTTGCTTTCAAAAATCTTCCTTCCTTCCTAATCATCCCTTCATCTTCTTTACTCCTCATGCCTGGTCTTCGCAAAATATCACCTCGCAATGGTCTTTTTACCAATTATCTTATCTTATTTCCTGCATGGCCCTAAACATTTTTACCGCCTTTTCCTCTCGGTAGTTTCCCCCATGCTGCCCAACAATTAAGGTGGCTCCGTAATTAATACTAGAGCATTTTGCTGTGACAAATTTTCCGTCATAACTTTTTGGTTCTTCACGCGATGGCTGCGAAACTTTGCAAAGAACAACATATATCATTCGACAATAATACGAAATATTCCGATTTCATTGATGGTAAATATTTCTTGACAAATTAGCGTTTAAAAGGACCCTACTGTTCAAAGAAAATCGCGTCTAGTAAAACAATTTGCTGATATTTTTTACTGAAATTTCTGGTATCGGCTTTAATTGATATAATAAATATGCCACAGGAATTTTAGAAAAATCGTTGGAGCAGAAGTCCGTGACTAAAAGTCGCTCAAAATTCAGCTGTGAAATTGTTTTGGAATTTCAAAAATAAATTACTATCAGGAAGAAGGAGACACCAGTTTGAATTTTCGGGAAAAGTAAATTCAACGTTTGCTAATTCTTAAAACAAAAGCCGATTGCCTATCGTGCTATTCTATAAAAGGTACTTTTTAGTTTTAGAAGCACTATAAATTGCTCCAAACCTTGCTCTGAAGTAGAATTACTTGTTCTTCGACATTTTTAAAATATCCCTTTGCAGTTTTGGCTCAATCTCCTGCTGCATACGTTTTGATGTGTTGCAATGCATTTTCAACGACTTTTACTGCTGTTCGTTGCTTTCAACTCAGGAAAAAAGTATTGAGATTGGACGCTACCTCGTATCAGAACACAGATAGAACTGTCCAGCACCTTTGTTTATGACTACAAAATGAGCACGAGCGGCATTTCTGCGAGGAATTCGCACCTCACCCAGGGGGGGACGAACGACAATGATGACCATGCCTGTGAACCGAATAACATCACAGTGCAAAATAAAATTATGGCAAAAATACTGCCCGCGAATAATTTACAACTCTGAAGTTTTTGTCACTTCTTCCTTCAATGAATGGGTATTTTCTTCTTGATTATTATGTTTTGCTCTGCAATACATGTTTATACAGATCGGTTCACAGACATGGGCATCATTGTCATTCGTCCCCCCTGGCTGAGGTGCGAATTCCTCGCAGAGCTGCCGCTCGTGCTCATTTTCTGTTCATAAACAAAGGTGCTGGACAGTTCTATCTGAGCTTCGATACAAGGTAGCTTACAATCCCAATACCTTTTTCGTGAATTGGAAACAACGTACAGCAGGAAAAGCCGTTGAGGATGCATTGCAATACATCATAATGTATGTTGCAGGAGTTTGAACCAAAACTGCAAAGGGATATTTTAAAAATGTCGAGGAACAAGTCATTCGACGTCAGAGCAAGGTTTGGAGCAATTTATACTGCTTCTAAAACTGAAAAGTACCTTTTAAAGAATAGCACGATATGCAATCGGCTTTTGTTTTCAGAAATAGCAAACACTCAATTTACTTGTCCCGAAAATTCAAACTGGTGTCTCCTTCTTCCTGATAGTAATTTATTTTTCACAGCTGAATTTTGAGCGACTTTTAGTTACAGACTTCTGCTCCAACGATTTTTCTGAAATTCCTGTGGCATTTTTATTATATCAATTAAAGCCGATACCAGAAATTTCAATAAAAAATATCAGCAAAATTTTTTACTAGACGCGATTTTCTTTGAACATTAGGTTCCTTTTAAGCGCTAATTTCTCAAGAAATATTTGCCATCAATGAAATCGGAATATTCCGTATTATCGCCGAATGATATCTGTTGTTCTTTGCAAAGTTTCGCAGCCATCGCGTTAAAATCGAAAAAGTTATGACGGAAAATTTGTCACAGCTAAATGCTCTTGTATTAATTACGGAGCCACCTTAAATGGTGCAGTCTTTTAAATTTTGAAATTTTCAAACTGTCTTAAGAAATCTCTCCTTTCCGCGTTACAGGCCTCGTATCTTGCCTCCTTCTTGTGATTATATATTTTTAATTGCTTTCCTATTTCTCAGAGTAATACTACATCTGTTTCGTTAACGATATAAAATTTACTTGGGTGGCAAGCTATGTCGCTTCCGTACAAAGTTTTAAACCTTATCAATGCTTATAGCCTGTGCTCACTCATCATGCATCATGCTGCATTGGTCCGCAAATTGGGTTCCTTGCTAATTGAGCATTCTGTATCTACACGTTTTTGTTAAGTGGTCACATGATTAACTAGTGCTATAATTATGTGGACATTGAACACAGTGTTTTCATGCTGTTTTATATTTATGAGTGTAGTGCATACCGGGTCTGTAATTTTATTTGTTGCATTCCAATACCTGTAGGTTTTCAGTAGGCTATGTTGATTGTTTTGCTGCAGACAAATGATGCTCTTGTTGCTCCGCTACTGAGACTGAAGGAAAACTACTGTCATGTTGAAGAGTGTGAAAGAGTTCTAATGAAAAGCAAAAAGTATAATGAATTGGTGATTCTTTACCAGACAAAAGGTCTTCACAAGAAAGGTATCTTCTGACTCTGGTGTGGGGGTACTGGACTCTGCAACTAGAATAATGTAGAGGCTACTGAAATAATCACCTAAGTGATGCTTTTGGATTTTTTTTCATTTCGCGTAAATTGCTGATTTTTTGCAAATAGTCTTTTATTTAAGCCAAAGATATTTCTCCGTTTTATTTTTTTCATGACTTTGTACTCCCTTTTCAAAAGAAAAAGGGTAAAAAACAAGGCGGCTTCTTTTGCAAAAAGAAATAAATAAATTATGACTCAGAGTCAGCACATTCTTTGTAATTCTTGATGGAATTTAAGTTTGGAAGTGTTGGTTTTTTAGTAGAAAAAGGTAAAGCCGCACACGAGCCAAAGGCCCAAACGGCCGGATGTTATCCTAGTTCCTTAGCATGAAGCATGCCTATTAGTGTTGCTACTCCTTCTGAACGGGATACTAGTCCATCGCTGGGTTACCCCCAGCAATAGGTCGCCAGTACCCATTTATACACCTGGGTGAAGAGAGACAAAGTGGAGTACAATTAATTGTCTAAGAAAACAAGGAGACGGGCGAGGCTTCAACCCCGGACTTCCGGAGTTCGTAGTGTTATCCGCTCGGCCACAGACGCCTCCTTTTTGAGGGGAGGGTTTAACTGGAGTACCCACAGTAAAGCCTGTCAGAACAAGGGCGAGAATCAAACAACAAACACAACTCACATATGGTGCGGCTTCTGGGAATTGAACCTGGGCTGGCCACATGAGTGATGGGAGCGGACATGCGCAATCACCACTGCACCATTCTTGCTCGCCATCATTATCACAGTGTTGTTGGCCATGAGGCAAGGGTAGGGATATATATAATTTTTTATTATAATTATTTTGTTTCTCAGCATCGTTCTACATAACTGGTGTTTTATGTTTTAGCACTGGATCTTTTGTTAAGGCAAGCTCAAAAATCCAGCAGTCAGCTCAGAGGTCATCAGAGAACAGTTCAATATCTTCAGCATTTAGGTAATACAAAACAAGAAATTCCGTGCTATTCATTTCCCTGCCGACTAATGCAGGGTTTTCATTAAGAATTCTGGTAGCAGCTGGGAGAAAGTAAACAGGCTCCACGTCTTAATAAATAGTAGTCATTATCTCATAGGCTATCGAACGCGAGCTGGAGAATTCTTTGTAGTAAACGGAGAAGTCTCTGATCTCCGATGCCTAATAAACGCTCTGACTAATGACATTATACCAAGCAACTTGAAATCAAAGTGAAAACATAATAATTAAAAAAACACTCACACACTATATTTGATTGTCAATATATTCATAAGTTAGCACTAAACTAAGTAAAGTATCATTTGAGGACACTGTAACCAAGTGTTCTACTGGAGACGGGACCGCGATTTTACGTCGTCATCCGAACCATGCGAAGGTCTAGCTGTTTGCAGGGCAAAGGCAATACCTTCATTTCCGAGTTATTTGACCCTGAATCCCCTGAATGTTGGTCCGGCCACGGGGAACAAACGCGTGACCTCCCGCTCTGCAGTCAAGTGCGGTAGCGACTGATTTAGTTTGGCCTTGGTGACAGCCCTGGTAATTCAATGATTCATTGCCAACTGGTGTTTTCTTTTGTTGTTATTTCTTTCAGGTCATGAACATTTAAAACTTATTTTTGATTTTTCCGTGTGGGTATTGAAAGCTCATCCTGATGATGGTTTGAAGGTAAGGGTTGATTTGAGCATGTTTTCTTGTTTTCAATGGCAAACTTGGACAATCCAGAGCAACAGACATACACACACCCCTCCCAAACACACACACATCCCAACAGGGACTGACTAGTAACATCTTACATAACTTCTTAATTGTTTTAAACATCCAAAGAACAGTATTTGAAGGAACTGTAATTCAAGAATGAACATATTGTCATCAGAAAATGTTTGCAACATTTGGGTTATACAATCAAACCCCGTTACTACGGACACTGAGGGGGCCATAGAAATTGTCCGTGTAAAGCGGGCAGTTTAGTAGTGGAAGGAAATATTAAAGTAACCCTTGAATCTCGTGTTGTGTCTGTCAGATATTTACAGAGGATTTACCAGAAGTAGAAGGACTTCCTCGGGACAAAGTGCTGGCTCACATAGAACAGAATGCTAAACAATTGACCATTAGATACTTGGTAGGTAGTCTTACTTCCTAGGAGCTACAATCAAATCCCATATAGACAACAGGACATTAGCGTCGTCAAATTAAACCTCCTTACAGGGCTGCAAATATTTTTTTCTCTTGAAAGGACAACTGTCCTCGTAGGACACCATCTTGGTCGGATAAAACAAAATTTTGGTCGGACATCACCAAAAAAAGGTTGAACTTTATATCGGTTAAAACAGAGGCGAGACATACTAAGTCAATGGTGTTTCGGGACTTTGAGATCATCCTAACACAAAGTAAGATTTACTCAAGGTAGATATTTATTCTTCCTTACCTTTAAAATTATTTACGATAAAAAAATTTTCACACAGGTGGGATTTTGTCGGACACTAGCAAATTTGGTCGGTCAATGTCCGATGACCGACTTTTATTTGCAGCCCTGTTTTGTCATAAAGCCACCCGAGTCCACGTACTGTGTCCTCGGAAGCACTCAAAAGTCGCTCATTTTTACATTTCGTATTCAAAAACAGTTTTCTGCTTAACTTGTTTGATGCCAGAATAGTCTAAAATTCATCCAGTCGTTTGTACTGTTACGCGGAGGGAAATCGACTTGCAGTCATCCGAAGGTTTTCTTAACTTTCAAAAAAGAAAGGCTCATTACAGCACACAAATAACAATGAAGTGTCTGCGTTAGCGAGGTTGGCGTCCTTTGAGAATCTGTTGATTGGCCAAGACGTCTGCATTAACGGATACCCGTATTAAGCGGGGTTAATTTTATAGAAAATGAAAGAGACTCTCCTCAGGGACAGACAAAACTGTCCGTGACAATGAGGTGTCCGTATTAAGTGGGTGCCTGTTACGCTGGGTTTGACTGTAGTGCACCATTAAAACTGGTCTTAGCAACACTGTGACATCGATAAACCGGAAAAAAAACTCAGTATGCAGTCCATGTTTGTAATAAATAAAAGTGCAAAATGCTCTCAGCAATAAAAAAGAAAGCCTGCTTGAACAAAGTCAGTTATTTTTGTTTTCCTTCGTCCTTGTTATAATGGAGATAATATAAAGGAAAATGTACTGAAAGATTAACAGCTGCTGAAAGTCAATATTATCCTTAGTTCAACTTTTTCTGTTCTGTGTATGTCGATGAATCTTGATAAATGTGAAAAAAAAAGGAAGATGGTAAACCAAGGACCAAATTGAATCACGCTTTAATAGCCTTTTATCTTTTTCAATGGATTTAGGAACATATAATTTTCATCTGGAATGAATCAAAGCCTGAATTTCACAACAAGCTTATCAACTGTTACCGTGAAAGGGTGCAAGTTCTGATGAGGGAGTATTTAGATTCATTACCTGAAGGTTTGTATTACTGTATTAATAGAGAGCTTTAGATTTGAGGACGAGAACAAGTACGAGTACGAGAGTCAACTTAAAGTTTTTGCGCGTGTTCTAAAAAAAAGACAGTCCGGAAAGCTTCATTTTACTTTTCTGCACCAAAAAAGTTAGTAGAGTTATTTATACTGAAGGAGGTTAAGCCCTCTCCCGATAGCAAAATGATAAAACATCTCACATTTGATAACTTGTTCCCGCCACTACGACATTCTCGCTAAAACCCGTTGTAGAATGATGACGGCGATCACGTTTTCCCGCCAAAAAGGTTCGGGCTCACGCGCCTGCACTACTTAGTATTGAGAAAATCTCGTAGTCGTCCTTGTCCTCGTCCTCGAATCTTCAACACAAAGATTTTTATGTTTGGAGGGCGTTGACGTGTACCACGTAACCATAGTACAGAGGAGACTGAGGTAGAACCAATATAGATTGAAAACCTATACGTTTTTGCCTAAGAACCGGCAAGGTTAATACCAGAACGGGTAGACCGTGGATTCCAAGTCCTGAATGACAAGTGACTTACACATGGTTTGGCCACCGAGTACAAACGTGAAATTTCCGAATATATCAAAGGGCGTACTTCATTTGCATAATTTTACACGAAATTGTTTTTGACTGAGGAGACAGCGTCAGATTTCTTTTGAGGAAAGTGTGCTTTCGTTACTTAGTCAATCTGAGCTATATCAGTTAATGTTTTGCTCCAAAGTCAGCAATCACCTGCCCTCTAAATTTCCGCACCATTCAGGAATATGTTTAAAGGTTTGTCGATCCTGTACCAAGTCACCGGTCAAGAAAGTAGAAGGGTGTTTAATACTTGATGGGGTTATTAAATGTTCCGTGAAGTGAAACTTCCTTAATACGGACACTAAAGGAACAGTGCCAAATGTCCGCATTACAGAAGTGTCCTAATTATAGTTCATGAATTAGTGTGATGTTCGGGACCCAAGTGAACTGTCTGTAAGCATAAGAGGAGGTTCCAGTGTGTACACAAACAAATGCCAAGTTTGTGGAAACTTCCTCCCGTAACCTAACGTTGCCACTAACTTCTCGCTAATAGCAAACTGTTGCGTTAGGGGAGGGGTAGGTGGGAAGGTACCCGGAACCTTAATCAGAATCTCAAGTTTGTTTCTTGGCGTAAATAAGAGTTTTGGAAATGAAGAAATGATCGTCATAGTGAAGGCAATTTATGCAATTGCGTGGAGAAGCGTGAAAAAAATTCAGGACTTCAACGGGGTTGAACCCGTGACCTCGCGATACCGGTGCGATGCTCTACCAACTGAGCTATGAAGCCACTGACGTTGGGAGCAGGTCAATTGTGGGTTCATATGTTCCCGTGAAAGTCACGGGTTTAAACCCCGTTGAAGTCCAGAATTTTTTTTTTCTTTCAGGCTTCTTTACTCAATTGCATAAATTGCGTTCACTGCGACGATCATTTCTTCATTTCCATTTCATTTCCGCAGTTGATATATGATTTATTTCATATATCATTAACAATAAGAGTTTTACTTGTTTTCAGGTGACGAGCCGTTCCCTCCTGGCAGTGAACCAGGTGAACTGGGTGAATTAAGAGGAAGACTTCTTTTCCTCCTGGAAACATCAAAACACTACCAAGCTCAGCATCTACTTACACACTTCCCTGAGAGTAGGTTAACTATTTCGTTGATCAGTGTTACCAGTTTGATAACAGAGTCCGGAATCAGGCCGGGCGTTGTTGTAAAATTCTCTTTGTCAAAATGTTGTTTATCGTGGTTAATGTGTATAAAGGGTTTTGTTTATTGTTTGTCTCACGATTGTCACCAAGATAATGATCGCGACGTTTTGACCGCGTACTGTAGGTCGGCAGGTGATATTGTTCGATTTAGTGAGTAGGGCTGTTTCTACCACCGTGGTTGCCAGTGATTGGTGTATAACGAAGCTCGCTCATCCTCTTTGTTCTTAAGGATTTTTTGGGTTGGTGTCACGGTTGGAGATAGCCTTGTGAGAACAGGAAACACAAGGATAACACGACTCGAGAGGTTTCTTGGGGACACAAAAATCGGTTTCAGAACTGCGCACTTAAAGGAGCTGTGTCACAAATTTAGCCAAATTAGGAAATTACAAAGTGCCCGTTAAATTAAGAGAAACATAAAAATAACCGCTTAAAACTTTAAAGGAAGGTTAAATTAACTTAACAGAAACAACAGATGCCACGCATGGGCAAAACTGAAGGAGACTGAAACGGATTGAAATTAGGTTTTTGAAAACTGTTCAGCCCAACAGTTTTTCAAAGTTGATCCCTACTGCTTGCAACTTCAAAAATAATGCTCAGGAGACATATTTGTTTGTCTCGGATCTCTGATTTTGTCATTTACCTGTAATTTCTTTGCTTACTTTAACTTCCATATTGATTGAGGGCGAGTAATTGGCAAAATTAAACAAAATGAACTGGACTGCCGTGACACAGCCCCTTTAATCTTAAATCTTAAATTGCCTTATCTGGTCTTAGACGGCTTACAGCCTCTCCCTTCTCTGTTTGAGAGGAGGAGGTGGCTGTACACAGGCTGTCCGGTCTTAGACATCGAGTCTTGTGAAGTGACTATGACTATGGATGAAATTCTTTATCATTAAATGTATATCTATTCTTGTACTGTTTACTATGATGTGGAAGAAACTTCTCATTTTTTTTTTGCAAAAGAGTAGTATTTTCCTTATGGATAATTGTGTGCTTGAGTGATACTTTTGCAACGGTTTGCGAGGTGATCTTCACTTAAATTAAGAGAACCGGTGACCACTCAGTTGTATATTTAGTTTTCTCTACATGCATTTGAGAAATGACATAACCAAGGCTAGAAAGAAACAGTATTGTCCCATTTTGTGTTGAAGGATTTCGTGTTATGGACTCTAGTATTTTCTTGCAGCCTTCTATCATGAACGAGCACTTCTCCTGGGTCGAGTAGGAAGACACGAGGAAGCATTAGCCATTTATATTCACGTTTTACACGATGCTAAGCTAGCAGAAGAGTAAGTATTCTACTAGATGCAACGACAGTGTGTACCGTTAGGACATTTTGACCTGTTCATTGTGGAATAAGAATACAGAGAAGAAATAGGAGTAATTCAGACCTATTCTACTGAAGCCAGTATGCAAGTGAAATAAATATTTTTTTATTTCTGAAAGTAACAGTGTTATTTCTTATTCCAGATACTGTCATCGAAACTATAATGAAGGCAAAGAAGGAAGTAAAGATGTAAGTGATTTGTGATCACTTGATACTTGTAAAACTTTTGTTAGTAAATATTTGTTATTCCTGCAAAAGCTAAAACCCCCTTAACGTCTTCCCGCTTAATTAGTGACCAAAAAGAAATTTCACAACATTTTCATCATATTTTATTATAAAATAAAACAGCAGTATGAAGAACTACTACCAAAGAGATCACATTTCATTCGTTCCACGATTAGATTTACACTGAAGGTTCAAAAGTCAAAACTATTTCTTCTCATTATAACTCATATATAGTTCATGGAAAGTTCGGGCGTACGGTATTTACGCGTGGGTTTTGTGTAAACGCGTTACGAAGCATTTTCCATATGGTATTGTGTTTAGTACATACATACTGAGACATGTATCATTTTTCCATCCTTTTATTTCATGTCTTTCCGAAATCCTAAAATGCCAAAATACGCCGCTACACACTACGAAATGACAAAGAAAACGAAGAACATTGTACGTAATGTACAATTGAAGTGAATGAATTTGAGTAAAATAAGACAAGACAAAAATATCTCCGATAAAAAGTGCAACTTAAGCTTACGTCTCGTTCTGTTTTGTTCCCCTTCCGCGGTTTTTTTGATCGGCCCTCTACAGTTGTCTTTATCGACAGTGAAACGTACGAAACTGTACCGCTCCAATGTCCGAGATGTTTTCAATTTTCTACAAGAAAAACTCCACTTTATGGTCTTTTCTCGATGAATATCTGTAGAGCAACTCGCAAAGCGAGGGTGCTTCAAGCTGCACGAACCGTGAAAGGTGGGAATTCTGATTGGACGTATCATTTTTCTCAAACTTGAAAAAACATCGTTCGCGTGTGGTCAATTTAATAAAACTTTTACGGGTGTCATCCATAAGTGTAGCTATTGTTTTCAGACTTTAGGACAATGACTTCACTTGTAAATTGCACTTGTAAAAGTTTTATCAAATTGATCTCTGATTGGTAGGTGTACGTGTCACTACTGCGCATGTACTTGGAGCCTCCTAAGATCAACAGCAAGGAAGTAAAACCGAGCATTACAGTGGCGCTCAATGTGCTTCAAGAACATCACCAGAAGATTTCAACTGCTAAGGTATGTGACGAATGATGCTATTAGGGACTTAAAGATTCAACAACGAGGACGGCAACGAGAACGTCGCTTAAAAAGTGAATGTGCGTTCCTTCAGTCTTTATAGCGATTATTCCTGCGCACTTACTTTGTCAAATGTAGGCGAACCCTTCAGAAGCTGAATTTCAAGGGACCATAGCCAAGCTCAAATAGAGAAATAAAATTTCGTCGTTGCTTGTTTAAGTCCTCCATAAACCGCAAAATTTGGCATTTTCACGTCGTAGTCATGCAAAAACAGGAAAGAAATGTACAAAAAAGCGTGATGCATGTGCGAAGTTGTTGTTTTGCTTATTAAACCAATTGTTAAGTTTTTTTACGTTCTCGTTGCCGTCCGCGTCGTTGGATCGTAAACTCCGTATTGTTGCTGTAAACAAGTTCTCCATTTGGAGATGTTGTGAGAAGTCACGCGCGAGCGACACGCGAAAGAAGACGCGTTTTTGCCGCTCGTTCGCGCGTTGTCTCGCGGCCTACTTCGCTAGTCACTAATAATGAGAGCTTGCCCGCAGGCTAATGCTATAAGTGACTGGGGCCGACTGTGGTCCCAACCGATGTCCTACGAAGTTGTGCAGTTATACGAGAACTTTTTGGGTGGTCGTGGTATGATTTACTGAAACCCTATGGGCGAATCTTTGCTGACGTCATTGTTTACATTTTTCCTCATTAGCATACGACTTAACTCATAGAAGCCGTGGCTCTATATATGAACTAAAGGCAAAAGTTGAAAGAGCTGATTAAGTTGAGCAATTTATGCAATTTTCAGCTCTTTGCAAGCAACATTGAAGGAAATATCAGCCATCAAAAACTGCGAAATTGCTGTGTGGCAAAAAAATTAATGAGCCATACATTCTCTGTAAAATTTCGAGTTTTTAGAAGAGGATTTCTCCGAAACCATTCGGTGTATTGGGCTCAAATTTTTACAGATAACTTAAACTGTTATGTCCTTCCAATATTCAGAGTTTTATTTTATTAGCGTCATTAGATAGTGATAAGCATATGTTAATGAGGCAAAAAGTGTAAACAAACATTCGCCCATATGAACAACAATGCAATGGGCATGTTTTTAGAAACTATCTTTAGCTCTGTTGCGCCTCTTCAATCCATAGAACTTAGACGGGGTTGCCGCTGTGAGAAGTGAGAATAGACGCCAAGTCAAAAGGCTAGTTTCCCAGCGGATTCTTCTCACACCATATGCGCTTTAGCCTCTGCAGGAGATTGACTGCCCTAGCCTGTACACGTATACCACGGCGCTACAATTTTTAGTTGGCTCTCTGGATAAAAAAAAATTGCGAGGCCATGTCCCGCTACTTGCTATATTTTTAACAAACTAAAGCATGTCTTCGCGTGGATTGAATTCCAAAATTAATGGTCGAGTTTTGTTATTTAAGACTATGTTCAGGCATTATAACTGTTTTCCGTCGTCTGTTGCTTCGGATGGCAAGGATGGACATGGATTAAAACTTGAAAAAATTATAAGGTTTAATGCTATGCTTTCAAAAGTCGGCAAAAGCCTCTTTCCGTTTCTGCTTTTGGATGAAATTAGTTTGATATCTTCTTCTTCATACCTGAAAAAAGAGCATTTTGTGTCTGGGTAAAGGCGCAAAGTATCGACGTTAGCACAGAGTTGACTTCAAACAGCAATATCCTTGTAGCTTAGACCTTAAATGACTCACCTTTAGAGTGTTTTTTTGTTTTTTTTGTGTGTCTACAGGCGCTTGAGTTACTTCCCTCTTCCACTGAGGTGCGAGAAGTGTATACATTTTTGTCGAGTGTTTTGGAGGATAAGGAGAAGAAACGCAAAAATTGTCAAGTACTGAAAAGTCTTTTGTTTGCAGAACATTTACAGGTAAATATGCTTGCTTTATGTGGCCTCCCAGGAGAGACTGACAGATAAAACCGCGGTAGCTCAGTCGGTAGAACGCTTGACTGCGCCGCGAGAGGTCGTGGGTTCGATTCCCGGAGCCGGACCAATACTCAGGGTCGTACGGCCTTAGAAATGAAGGTACTTCCTTCGTTCTTCAAACGGCGAGGCCTTCGCGTGGCTCGGATAACTCCATAAAATGGCGGTCCCGTCTCCAGTACGAGACGTAAAAATTGTGTCCTCAATTAGTACGTTTTGCTAAATTCATTGACACTCAGCATTATAAAGTGCATGTGTATTTAGTTTTTGAGCTTTGTCTGGAAAGTCCCTGTAATTACCGGACCCGCCCGTCCAGCTGTTTTATGTTTTACTTGATTTGGTCAAATGGGATATTGTATCAACTATTTGATGAGACGTACCAGTGAAAGTCCTAGAATGTATATACCCTGGGTAGTCTGCCTTTTTGCACAAGTTTGTTGAGAAAGTAGGAAAGAGAAACGCTCGCTACACGGGCTACAATGAACTTAAGTCGGATGCCATTTGTCCGGATGGAATATTTGATGGGCTTGCAAAGCGAGGGGCTGCTAAAGTGCCTTAGCCTAGTCCCATCCGGCCCCATGGTAATTACAAATTTGCATATGTCCTTATGATCTGTTTATATGTATCTTAAGCTAAGTCTGTGTAAGAAACGTAGCGGAAATAGAGGTTCTTACGCAGTCCAACTTTTTGTCAGGTTCAACAACAGCGCATGTACCATCAGGCTCGTAAAATCCTGTTAACAGATGAAAGAGCGTGCCAAGTCTGCCATAAAAAAATTGGAAACAGGTAAGTTATCCAATATTACTTGTCCTTGTCTGTTATCGCAGCTTAAGTGCCGAGAATTTTAGGGACCTTATGCTAAGGGCCGACGATTTGAATAGTGAGGTGGACTGAGTCGGGTGATTTTTCAGGGAAAAATCCTCGTATCGTGATAGTCCCATATTTACACACAAAAAAGTAGAAAAGTAGGCCGTGGAAAAAAAATTGCCCAAACCAAGTTTTTTCCTCCTCTAATATATGTGGTTCCAAAGCTTTTGAGAACATAGGGATGCCCATGGAGTAACTTCCAACACATCTCGGCCCCAGGCTACAACTGAGTAGAAAAAATATTAGTTAATGTTGCAATTTTATGTCGTGCTTCCGGTTTTTAAGTTCACTTACAACCTGCTCCGCGGCAACCGGACGTAATTTGCGTTCCTCTGCGTTTTGGGGCGTCTAGAACACTAAAAAGTGGCTTCAGGTTGCTTTTTACCCTGTGCAAGGTTATGTTTATAGTGCTTAGAGTTACGTAAAACAATGTTTGCTGTTTGAACTGATTTTTGAAGAAATTTCCGTTGTTTAATAACGTTTATTTTTGATTTTCCTAAGCGCATTTGCTTATTACCCGTCTGGAGAAATACTTCATTACTACTGCTGCAAAAACCTGACCTCCCCCCCTGGTAGTGCGCACACCACACCGAGGCACAGCCCAACACCTGAGGATAATATGCTACCAAGATTCTGATCACGTGACGCTTAGTATAGGAATTCAATCACACACTTGTATTGTGACACAGCAACCTCGCGTCGAGAAGAAAATTTTTCTTAACATTTGAACTGCTAAGGAAAAACCAATGTATGATGCAAAGGAAGTTTGGGAAGAAGAACTTGCAGTAATTCCAAGTCAATAGTAGACTCAGTGCTGCCAGCACTCAGTCTACTTTTGGCAGATGGTTTTGTGGTGCGCTTGTTCGAAAGGTCAAGGTCACGCGAAGGTCACTTCGTGATCGCTTGTGCTGCGAGACTGTACGTTTCAAAAGTGCCTGTTCCCTAGATTTATTACGAGACAATTTCCAATTTAGTTAGGAAGAAAAAGCATTTATAATAGAAATATAGTCACCTGGGGATCAGATATTATGATAGGATGATAATCAAAAACTTACTTAATTTACTTTTGGAGAATAGAATTTCTAAAGAGAATTTTGAGATAACATTTAATACAGTCGTTGTGAAATCCTTATCAACAATACCTGTTCATATTTTACTGATAAGGTGCTTTGTGTGTTAACGGTAACCGATCATAAAGTAGTGGTGAATTATCGATAGCCCCACCTTTTAAAAGTTCTCAATTTACGTTTGAAATCTGTTGTTGTTGTTGTTGTTGTTGATGTTGTTGTTTTTGTGCCTTTGCGTAAACTTGGCTGAGAGCTCTGCGCACTGTACGAACTTTGCTTAGTCCGTAGCCTGTGTAAAGCCGCTCCCTCCCCTCCCCCATGAGAAGCGGAACAAGAAGCCCCATCCGGTATGGTGTGAATGTAGCCTCTGCAGTCCATGCCAGTAGGAAACAAGAGTACACAGAACAGATTTGCATGTTCTGCTCAATCCGTTATTTAGTTCAGGACCATCTGTTCCCTAATCATGTTGGTGACCAAGTCAACTGGTCTAGTTAATATATTACGTGTTGGGCGTGTGATAAACCTGTTTATCCATGTCACGCAAAACAAGCCTTTCTCGCGTTCCTATTAACCATGTACCAGTCTGTGGGAACAGAGGGGAGTGTTTATGTTATGTTGTTTTCTCCTTGGTTTAAATTTTATTTTCCCTTTTTGGGGGTATGGTAATGTACGATAATGAGTTAGATATAAAGGAAAATAAATGTAAACCAAGGATAAAACTGAACCACAATATTGACACAACACTGGGGCGTTTCGCGCGGGCGCGAGTTCACTCCGGTTCCCTCTAGTGGCTCTGTATTTGTTTACATGATACCACCACAAAATGTCATACCGGCGCGAGTCACACCGGCGTGAGTTCACCCGGTTGTTGTACCGGAGCGAGAATTTCACTCCGGTACGAAATTTCGCAACAGTATCGTTGAAATGCGAAACGACCCCTCTTTTCGGAGTGAAATCGGTCTGCCGGTAGACTGAACGGGTAGTAGTCTATAGCGCATGGTATTGCCCCCTGACAAACATTTCTTGGGACATAAGTGGAAGCTTAAGGCCGATTTCTACAAAAGCCAGCAGGTGTACTAACTTCAGTGGGATGAAATGATCAGTGAAGATAATTTCTGCTTAGGAAAATTTCTAATAAAAAGCATGAAATATGTAAATTTGCGTTGCAGAAGTTCGTCTCCCTTTTCAAAATGGCACCGTTTTGTACACGGGGTACAGTTTTATCTTGTAAACACAGGACTTCTCAAATCTGCAGCTAAACACGAGGGTTGTTATTCAAAAACAAGTAGTTTATTTTCACAAGTAGCGTATTGTGCAAGGAGTACAACTGGTTTGCTTACATTGTGATCAAATACACGTATTGAAGTTTAAAAGCGCATGAAAATATTTCCAAAGATTCCGTACTTGAGTACAAATATTTTTCATAATATGTTACTTTTACACGTACGCTATTTCTGAGACGAAATCGAAAGTGCACAGTACACTGATGCCAAAAAGATACAATCACAATACACTGAAGTCGAACTCTAATAACCTTGATGGTTTTGATGCTTAAAGAAAACGGAAAAACGTATTTACAGCTAATAAAAGAAAAACTTCGTACCAAAATTTCTGACAGCTATATACTGACACTCGCGAAGCATAAGGCAGGTTTGGTTTCCTCCCGTAGGGTTACACAGCAACGTCTTTTAGACAATCTTTCAGAAAAGAATCAAACGTTTTAATTTCGCGGGAAAATGAAAGTCTAATTGTTTCTTAAAATTGTAGCATTTGTGCTTAACTATTACAATTCTTCCACTAAGACACCCAGAAAGTTCAAAGTTCAGACTGTTTTCTCAGAGACGCTAGATCACGTGTTCAGTATGTTCCTGGGTATCTTGCCCAATATGGCGGTGGTGGTGGTGGTGGCGAGTAGGGAGGCAGACCACTCCAAGGCGAGGCCGGCGGGCATGCGTACTTTGGGTGAAGCTCTGACCTCAGCACGAGAGGTGTGTCGGGATACGTAGGAGAATGACAGTCATAGGATGGTTGGTAACCATGGTAACCACTGTTCAGGGGCCATGCTAAACTGTTGATGAAGGCAAGTTTGGCTCTCCTCTCAGCGTCTTCCGATCGCTTCCTCTTTTGTTTCATTCGTCTGTTTTGGAACCAAGTTTTCACCTGCAGAAGTAGAACAAGAAGATGATGGAGATCAGTGTTCTAAGTATCTTAAACTGAGTTATCTCATGAGCTCCCTACTCGCTTAGTTCCACGAACTATTTAGGTGTCTCAAACTCTGCACAATGAACCTACAATTGAAAATTTCTTTTCCTTCACAATCTCACGATTTTATATTCCAAAGCACTAATTTGTATTAATCATTATTCTGTGTGAGTTTAAATAAAATTGACTTGACTTGATTCGACGCTTAGAGCAAATGCGTTATCCACGTCTAGGCTGTCCGTCATTTGAAGAATCTGCCTTAGTCTGTAACTCACACATCCCTCCAGTCATCCCCGAAATTCGATGACTAAAACTGTCTGATTGTGATTGTGGTCCCTCGTTCCCCTCCCCTCCCCTCCCCTTACATTATCGATGCCACTGTGTTACCTGTGCTTCAGTCATTTGTAGTTGCTCTGCAATTTTTTGTCTGTCTCTGGAGCCCAGATATTTCTGACGGTCAAACACTCTCTCCAGGTGCAACACCTGTGCCACTGAGAAAGACGATCGGGATTTGTTGGATTTAACCTTGTTAGAACTTTCCTTCAGATCTGCCTCTGAATAAAAAAAAAAGTACAATAACGTTTAGTAAGCCCGGCCGAGAAATGTATCACACAATTGATACCAAGAATTCGCTGCACTCCTGTTTAGTTGATTCGCCTCCATTTTTTTCCAAAATTGATGTATGCGATAACATATTAGCTCACTTCATTCCCCATTTGAACACGTAAAATAACTATGGAAATATTTTAACCTAATTCATTAATAGAGCAAGAAATTATAGATCACAGTTTACTGTAACTTTGTAGCGAAATTACGAGACACCTATTAATGCATACACGTGGTTGGCTGACCGGTCGTTTCGCTACAAAGTCATTTCGCTGCATATCGAAGTCGTTTCGCAGCAGATTCTTCTGGCATCAATTTAGAAATCGTTCAGAAAAAAATTGGTTTTAGCGATGTTATTATAAAGATACATAAGCTTAACTTTGTATCAGCCATAACATATTAAACTTGATGGCTCCTAAAAGAGCCGTTGTGTTGTTACTTTTAATGTGCGACATAGAATTTCTCAAGTTCGAAACTTCAGGAGTGCAATTGCGTTTCCGGCATCCCGAGATAATTTAAACTAGCAAGACAAGGTTCGTAGAACTGACTTGGAAACGATTTACGTTATCAGGCAGCTATTTTGTTCACTTGAGTGACGGTTAATTCTGAAGTCAAAGATATTTAACTCAGTTATGTTTTGCAGAAAGTTTCATAAAAAGACTAAACAAATAAAATTTTTGAGAAGCTACAGATAACCTGTTATCCTACTGTCGTGATTATAAAATTATTTCGCTGGCCAAATCCGTGTCTCGAGATAAAGTTGACAGGTGAAAATAATGTACTAATGTCTGCTAATAAACACAATTCTTCGGGTGTTGAATCACTTCTCATTTTAACAGGTGAAATTAAAACAAGGAACAAAACTCGTCATACCTTTCGTTACTCCACAGATTGCTGGTACGGAAGGTTTTTGATCAGAAATCCTGCAGAAGTCGCTTGAATCAGGAGAAGGGTGACTGCTTTCTTTTAAGTGATGATCCTGCTCCTGGCTTTCTGGTGTTTTCACGGTCAATAATGTGTTTTTGAAATCCATTTCTTTCCACCAAAAACAGCCTTCCATTTAACTTACACTTTGTTCGAAATGTGTTGTTTAGTGAGCAAAGAACGATCTGAACGTCTGAAGTTTTCATCGACGGTTTAAATTTGCCGCGCAAACGACAAATGTTTTGATGAAAGCGCTATAAAAGCATGCCGCATGTCGGATACCATTAAACGGCAACCTTTAATATATCAATATATATGCCGACTATTGTTTTTAATCTGTATTTGCAAAAAGTAATTAATTCTCAATATTGTTTATGTTGTGATGGTAGATCTTTTACGATAAGTTGATTTTATTTACCTATTCATTTATAGCTTTAGTAAAGTTTTTTCATTCCATGTTGAATATGCTTTCAAAGGGGAAGTAGTACTCGAAGGCTTATTAACACATACTCAAAATCGTAAAACAAAGCAAAACAAATAAACAAAAGGTAAATAAGCGATGAAAAACGCGGCAGACGCAACTCACCTTTGACTGCAGTCAAATAATTTTTAGAACAAAATGCAACAATTTCCCCTTTATTTTGCCACATGTGACGCTAAAGCGATCAAAATTAGCTCACCATCCTGAGAGAAAACGCCACTTTACAGTGGGTTCGGAGACGGAATAGAGTGGATTGAGAAATGTTGCGTACCTCTGGAAAAAGTTGATTCAGGTGCCTTAATCTTCTCATTCAAAGGGGAAATTAGCTTAATTTTAAAATAATTTTCACTAGCCGAACAAAAGTATAGTAAACATGCCGATAAATGGTAATTACTATTGCGAGAAATATCTTTGTTTGGTTTTTTGCACATCATGCACATAAGTAGGTGTTTGCTCTACGTCGTGGTAAGAGGTCTGCAACCATGGTAAACCTCCTCTTCAGATAGCTCAATACGCGTAAGATTTTAAAATATTAAGAGAAAATTCCATAGCGCTTTAATGACTTTCGTTGCACAACTCACTGAACAAACCAAACCTGGGCAGACTCTGTCGGATGCGATCGTGTCGTGCAGCTCATATCTCGCTTGAGAACAGTTCTATAGTTTGGTGAAATTTATTTCAAAAATGTCAAGGGTTCAAGGCTTGTGTTGCACTCACGGCTCCAAAGTCAAGACAATAGGGACTTTAAGATCCAACGACGCGACGGCAATGAGAACGTCCCTTAAAAAGTGAATTTGCGTTCTTTCAGTCTTTATCGCAATTATTCCTGCCCACTTACTTTGTCAAATGTAGACGAACCCTCCTGGAGTTGAATTCCTAGGCACCATATCAAAGTACAGTAAGAGAAATAAAGTTTCATCGTTGCTCGTTTACGTCCTCCATAAAACGCGAAATTAGGCATGTTCACGTCGTAGTCGTGCAAAAGCGGGTGCACGTGCAAAGTTGTTGTTTTGCTAATCAAACCTCGTGGTTTTTTGACGTTCTCGTTACCGTCCGCGTCGTTGGATCTGAAAGTCCCTAATGTGGAAATAAACGCGAAATTATATTTGGGTCCTTAAGCAAGGGCTGTTATTGTTTTTTTTTTAACAGTACAATAAAAGCTCAGAGGAAAGGGTTAGTTTGTAAAGGAACTGAGGCTGTCTTGTTGTTATTTTGACTGAGTTGATATAAATGGATGACAGAGGGTACTGTATATTAAATATATGTCAGTAGTGACTCTGTAAGAATGAGATGGTCCGACAAGGGAAGGTTCGACTGGTTGGCCGCGTTCTGAACCAAGAATTAAATCTCAGAAAAATCAAGCAAAGAACTTTCCCTTTCTTAACATGATGATGAGTAAATGGTGGAAGTCAACAAACACAGCAATCACATTAGAAATGTTTTGAGTAACGGACCTCTGGCGCAGGGTAACAGTTGAATTTGACTTTAAAACTGAAATGTGGTGCAGCGCGTAGATTAATAAAGCTGCTAAAATTTGGTCTGATCTCTGGTTGGCAGGGCTTGAGCAGTTGCGCGTCTTCTTTCTTTCACTCTGTATTTCGCTTTTTCATGTTCCGCGCTCGATCTCGCGGCTCGTCTTGCCGGTAAATCAGCTAAGGCGGGCAGATTTTGTTCTTGAAATTTTCGTCATTCGCGGGTGCGGTTCTTATATCTCCTTTCAACTTGCCGCAACAAAATTACAAAACAGAGGTAACTCGAAGTCTAAATGATTTTTAAAGGACTTGTAATTATTCAGTGTTTGGCTTATTTGTGCCATATCAAGGTCATTTAAATTAGATGTTTCCACAGTTTTATCGGACATAGAAAACATCTGCAAGTGATTCGCAGTTTTAAGCCTTCACACTTGAATTGTCGTACTTCTTAAACGGTAGCCACGGTGAATTCTTTTGTACCAAACGAGCTCAGCTTTTCACTTTTTCAAGTGATTCGTCCAAAAGAAAGGTCTTGATTGATTTCTTAAAACTATTTAAGGAACCATCATTTCTGATATCAGCAGGCAGTGTTAGAAAGGCAGGCAGCAGGCGAATTTATTTAAGCAGTCTAAAATATGTGTGGATCTGTAGAGTCCTGTTTGCAACATTCAATTCGAAACGATATGTTGTGGAATAAAATTGCGCTGATACAAACAAACTATACCCAGGGGCACCCAACGACGGTTTCCTCCTTAATTCATTGAAAACACTTTTTAGGCTTTTCAGAGTACTTTTAGCTCTCTAGAGATGCATTCTAAGCAGCATTATAAAATTGGTATCACGCTGTTCGGTCATCATAGGAGAAGTTAAGTCTTTTCCAAATTACAAGGGCTTCAGTATTATTTTTCCGAAAAGTTTAGATGCATTTTAACCTATTACAAAAGTGAGAAGTTTTCTGATGCCTCTCTCCATCACGTTTTGAATTCGAAAAATTTTAGGTTTCCCCTTTTTCTACGAAAAATAGCCTAATCTGGGGTCGACTGGGGAGTGAAATTTGAAAAATTGAACTTCAGAAATTAGTAGGGAATTTAGTAGATAAGATTCGAAAATTGCACATGAATAGAACGGTCATCCAGAAATTTTTAGCCGTCCTTAGCAATAGAAAATTCTAGGCAATATTTGCGTCTCCGAACTTTACAGAAAACAGTCTTTGGGGTGCCCCTGTATACCTTTGCCATTTCTACCGCACTACCGTCGGAGAGCTTCACATGCAGGAGGCTCTCCAGCCTTTTCGACTGGTGAGAGACTGAGCGCGTAGGGAGAGAACGTGCGAATGATCTAAACTATAAGACAGCCGCTATTTTTATGCAAAGGTCAGAAATACATTCTACATTCAAGTATATCATGGCATATCTAATCTCTGGTTGAAACTGATCTTTGGGTGAGACTCCAAGAGTATAAACTGTGCAAAGCGTCTCGGTAAAAAAAAAATGCTTTAGATGTAAGAAACACGCTAAGTGTTAAGATAGGGTATAAGTGACACTACAGCTGCCCCGGCCTCAGAACGATCACGCGTGTTCCATATCGGATACAGAAAGATCACGGCCGGAATATGTTACTTTTTAATGAACTATGGACACAGTTGACTCAGAGAAAAAATCCAGTTAAATACGGACACCAAGGGGACACACCATGGTGTATGTATTACTGCTCTGCGAAAAAACATTACGAACCAATGTTGTATTGATATTACTAGAAAAGCAGACAAAGAGGAAGAAGGTAAGATCAATCTCAAAGGGGAGGGGACAATAACTCCAGCAAAAAGCCAAGGAAGTGAAACTTGTGTAGTAGGAGGCAGAAAGCCTCAGAAAGAAAGAAAGGCAGAAACCAATGCAACAAAGAGTATTATGGTATTTTTGAAAAAGGCCTATCAAATGGTTACAGTGCAAGGGTCAAACATGCACGCGAAGAAAGACTGTATTAATCCATAAAAATCTGTCGTTCTTGGGGCAGGGTACAATGTCCATAAAAAGTATGAAACGGCAAACTGATCCTTACGGCAAGGCGATGAAAAAGTAAACAAAAGAATAAAGCACACGGATTGTGACAAGGAGAATAGATAGTGCGTAGATACGCCGTGCCCATAGAAGATCATAGAAACGGCGAGGTTGACGATCTATGACTAAGAGCATCAGTGCCTCAGGACACACAAAAGTGTCCGTTGTTCGTATTGTCCGTATCAACCGGTGTCCCTATTAAGCGGGTAAATTTCAGGGAAAACATATGATCGAGCTTTTCGTCGGGACAAACGAAACTGTCCGTTATATACGGGTGTCCGTTATAAACTGGGTGTCCGTGACTCACGGACACCCAGTTTATAACGGACACCCGTATATAACGTAGACATGCCGGCTTACTGAAGATAAATTTGAACTCAGTGAGTTCCATTTTATCTTCAGTAAGCCGGCATGTCTACGTTATGCCAGAAAACCGCTTTATAAGATCACAAGACCAAATAATCTAAGTCTCGAAATTAAACTTGTTCATGAGGAAACAATGACAACTCAGTCTATTGATAAAGGAAGGGCTCAGAGGGCTTTTTCAACACAAGCAGCTACAAGCCTTCAGTTAGCGACCACATAAAATGTGAAGCCGTGTTTACGGGAGGGGGTCGCTCTGAACGAGAATCGAACCACAGGGGGTCACTTTTTGGTAGAGAATCAAGAGTGTGGTCCAGGGAATTTACCCGCATGTTCCGGGCTCCGAGATAGTCCACTGAATTGAGAAAGCGCGAACAAGGGGGGGGGGGGGGACTTTTCGTGTGCCTTTTACTTTCGTGTCTTCACCCCTATTTGACAGCCTATGAGCATGGCTACGGACACAGCGGACACCCAGGAAATGGTTAACTAGAGTTTGCGCATGCATTTCACGTTAACAGTAAGGACGCTATCCAGTCAGGCGAGACAACCCGAGACAGTTGACCCATGTTGAGCCGATTTAAACGTCCTAAACGGCTTAGACGTAACAATGGATAGTTCCATGTTGCGTTCACATTTAGCCTGCGTGCAACCCCCAACAAAGGAAACAGGGCTCGTGGAGAGGATTTTCAAGTGGGGGAGGGGTCGGAGGGGTGTTCAAATGCGAAAGCGTAAGAGTGAGCAAACTAGAGAGGTCCGGAGGCATGCACCCCCAGAAAATTTCAAATTTAAGTCTTCTGAAATGGCTATAAATGCATCTAAAACTGCCAGTAGTCATGTAAATTTGTGATTATTACATCGGCACTTAAAACAACAAGTTGCAACCTGGCCCCTACGTTAGACCAAAATTTAAATGAATAGCCTTTGAAGAACACACGCAACATTTTAAGTCGGATTCTCTGAAGGTGCCAAAGTTGCCTTTCCGATCAGCTACAAACTCATTAGCCTACGTGTAGCCGCACCCTTCCCCGGACGAAGGAAAAACCCTCTCTCCGTTTTTCCTTCTTCGGGGGGAGGGTGCGGCTGAGAGGGTTTTTCCTTCTTCCGGGGGAGGGTGCGGCTACACGTAGTCTATAAACTCATTGGCAACAGCTAGAAGACAAAGTTTGTCTGTCCTCTGTTCGTGGGTGTTCTGTATTGTCAGATTACTAAACCTTGTTTGTGTGGTAAGTGACAGATCTGGGTAACCAAAGTAAAAAAAAAAAAAACTTATTTTACCATCCGAAAAAGTGGCGGCGGGGGCTAGCCACCAGCCCCAGCCGCTGCTGCGCGGTCCCTGAGAAATGGGACACAGGCTAAAGATCACGTGAGGGACGTGATGACTGGATCATCAGGGGATTGCGATATAACAGCGCAGATTGTCACGCAATCCTACTGAGTCAGTCCCTCAAGGATACGTGCAGAACAAGAACTACATACATCCAGTAGGACGAAAAGGTATGTTTGTAAGCTTCATTTAACCCCGGTTTGACAACCCTCAAATACCTCGCCTTTAAATACGTCTCTCCAAATTCGTTGATCGGTAGAATATCAAGCGGTTTTGTAGATTTCCTTGCACATACTTTGGGCACTGAGCATTTGAACTCACGCGATTACGTGTGCTTTTAACAACTTGACATCGTGCTATTTATTCTGTAGATTGTTTTAAAACAGCGGGCCTTTGTTGCATCTATAAATCAGTAAAATTCTGTCCATTCCAACCCTTAGGGCCTGATAACAGCGTTTATTATACATTGTACTCACTGTCTGACTTCTCATTGGCTAAGAGCCTACAGCTAATTTTGGAAATCAGCGTAACCTACAGATTAGTTAGTTATTTGCGACTAATCTGTAGGTTGCGCACGCAATGCATGATTTCCTATGACAATATCAAGTCAGGTTCCTTGCTAGCGCGTGTTTGTCGTTATTTTAATTTCTTCAAAACAATGTATAACAAAACAATTATTAGATTCAGTTTTTGTGATATCTTAAGTAATCAAGGTCTGGGTAAGTGTTATCAGCCGAGCCGAAGAAGGCTTGGCTGATAACACTTACCTCAACCTTGATTATTCCGGATACCACAAAAACCTCATCCACTAATTGTTTATAATCATAACTACAACAAAATTCACAAATCTGATTGGCTATCAACTGTCCTGATTTCAACACTAATAGGACAGTGTAATAGGACAGTACACATCATGCCTAAGTGATAAAATTGGATAGTCACACCATCATGTGCGCGCTTAAATGGCTTTTTTTCTATACCGGTAGCAAAAGACTCTCGGAATTTCTTGTGTTTTGATTTTAAAAAGCCTAAAATATCACAAATTGATATAGTTATGATTAATTGGTAACAGAACTTCCTGCCTTCCAATTTGGTCTTTAATCATACTTGTGATTAAACAAATTGGACTCTGTTGTCATTTGTATGATTACAGACCGACTTGGACTCCGCTCAGTTCTATACCATTATTTATGCATGAACTGGGGTAGATCAATAAAATTATCTTACTCACAGTTCAAGGCAGCATGTTTGCATCCAATAAACTTAAATTATACAAGAAAGTGCAATTTCTTTGACAATGTAAAAACTTCTTATAATCTCTAAAGTAATTAAGTCCATGACAAGACGTGTTCGTATTTAAAAATTGTAATCGCTCCTTTAGCTCCCACATCACAGTTTTAGGGTTCTAGCTGCACAAACTTAATTTACTTTTCAGTCAAGTAATCAGGGAAGTAATTTTCAACTGACCAAACGGTACCTTAACAGAGATCAAAATTACAAGCGCGATAAGCCAAAGCATTGTAACTGCATGGAGTTATATCCTCACTTTGAGCAAGATGTATAAGCTATTATTCTAGCCAATATATAAAATTGTAAACAATGACAATTATTTTAATTGATATTTTAGGAGAAAAAAATATGTCTCGCGGCATTAATGGAAAGACTCCTCTGTTACATGCCCAAGAAAACCCATCTGATGGAGAAGAAAAATGCCACAGTGACAGTGCCAGACAGAAGCATATCACTGTCAGCAACTCAAAGTCATCGTTCATTAGTCGATCATTTTCGGCTGAATCTGAATCAAGTCAATTTGGAGATGGAGCAACACTAATCTCATATCATGATGTGGGTTACACCGTGTACACTAAAGAGAAAGGGATCAAAACTGAGAAACACATCATCAAAAATCTCAGGTGCAATCACGACCTTGTCTTTAATCAAATTTTATTTTTGTGTGATTAAGCTTCATTGTTTGTTAAATAAAATATTGACATTTTTACGTGCAGTTTATTTCCTCAATGAGAAAAATAGTGACTGGGGTGATTATCAGGTAATTTATCCAGGCTGGATGGAGGATTAATTTTCTTTTACCACTAAGAGACTTAGAATTAATGAGATATGTTTGACAAAAAATATATGAAATAAATATATATTTGCATGTTGAACATAATGGTAGCTCATATATTGTAATAGTCGAGAGAGTGAAACCCTGATATCAAGCCAGCTTTAGTTGTTTTGATGAAATCATGCAGTGAAGCTTCCATGATAGAAGATCACTGCTGCATAGTACCACTTTAATCAAGTCTTCCCCTTCTTGGCTGACCACAACTAATAAAACTCAATTTGTTTGATTTTTATGTTAAAGTGGTATCATGCAGCCAGGACTGAATGCTATACTAGGACCAACAGGGAGTGGCAAAACAACGTGAGTATAACTTTTTAATATATATCAGTCGTATTTATAAAATATGCATTCCCAGAAAATATTCACCCCCCGCCCCCACCATGGAGAGCAGTTTTGCTTTAGACCCCCACCTCCTGGAATTTCCATGGGGGTGCTTGTCATCCCCCCCACCATCTCAAATTTTTGTAATTTGTCAGCTTGGTTGGGTACTCTGGAAAGAACAATTCCATAAAAAATGTTGTTGCACTATATTATTATGCAAAAGATAATTTTTTTCTGTGATAAAATGAGAAAAAATCTTACTATTCATGTTAATACGGTGTCTAATAATCTCAAAGACTTTCTTAGCTAATAATTAACCAAGTGGTTCCTTACATCACTCATGAATACTGACTACACAAATAATGCCGTTCTGCAAAAGAACCAGTTACATTCAAACTAAACACCATGTACACTTTCACTGCTTCCTTTCTGTTAGAACGTGCATGTTAAAACAAGACTTAATTAGAACAAAACCAAATTATGGTGAATCAGATGTGTCAAATAATGCAACAGCTAGATAACCGGAGGTTTATTCATGAGCTGTTGACAATTGTATTAAAAGAACTATCATGTAAGCCCTGAAAAAAGCATATGGCCAACCAGAGATAAAAGATGATCAGTACAAACAAATTAAAACATTTGTTTTGAAACACCGGTAAGGCTACGTACAAACAGACGCAACATTGTTGGCCAACAACTCCCAACATGGTTGGATGTTACATGTTGCGTCTGTTTGCACTCTCTGGTGCATGTTGTTGGATGTTGTTGCGTGTTGTTGCGCAAAGTTTGAAAGCGGTCAAACTTTTCAGGCAACAACTCTCAACATTTCTTTTGTTCTGTGATCGCCGAAGCATAGCACAGCAATGTTGGATCTGTTTGCACAGCTCTTCCAACATTGTTGGGGCCATGCGCGCTCATTATGCATGGTCTCCAAAGTCTTATGGGTTGTATCTTTCCCACGATACACTGCAGGTCCCAACATTGTTGAGAGTTGTTGCACTCATTTGCACTCCACTGCCAACACGCATACAACAACTCCCAATATTGTTGGCGCAACAATGGTGGGAGTTGTTGCGTCCATTTGCACTCAGCCTTAACAGCAAGATAACTGATATTTAGCTCAACAGAGAAGGTGTTATTTATTAATAACCTACCAATCCTACTCGGACACCCTGGAAAAAAACCTTGGGAAGCAACCCCCCACCTCCTCGGAAATTGACTCCCCATTCCCACGGAATTTCAGTTGTCCTTCTGTGGGGGAGGTATGGATATTTTCTGGAACTACACGATAGAAATTTTATTTACAATGAGGACTTGTAAGTCTAAATTCTATACTCAACCTTTCAGAAAATTGTGACAAATTACTGTAATTGTAATAAATAGATTTAAGACCCCTCTGAATGTGTTTGTCCTAACTTACTGTAAATCCTCTATTAAACCCCTGGGGGCTCCTTTATTTCAAACACATATTGTAGGGGGAGGGGGGCTTATTAACTTTTTTGCCTTGAAAAGGGAGGGCTTTTTGGAGACGGGGGGCTTAATAGAGGATTTACGGTATATACCATTTTCACATTCCCCATAATACACCTGTTTATCCCCCAAAAATTTGCATAAGAATTGTGTTCAAATTCTCTTGAGACGACTGTAATAACCAAGAGAAATTGGAAAACAATGGTTACCCAAAATTTTGGGGTGTAAAGAAGGTGTATTATGGGTAAATTGTGCGAAAAAGATGAGTAAGCCCTCCACAATTATAGCCTCCTTAATTTTACACCCCCAACTCAAGTTGGAGGTTGAAGTAGCAATCAGGTACTAAATTTATTATTCACTGCTCAAAGGCTAGCTAGTCCAATGATCCTACATGCCCTTTCTTCTAATTCCCTACCTGCACACAGAAGAGAAGAACAGCTTATGATGAACAACTGAGAGAACCAACTTTGAAGCAAATAACATACTGAAATAAAGAATGATAGTAAATTTTTTGCTTTGGTTAGTTAATGCGTAGAGGTTTTAATCATGCTGATTCAAAGAGGACAGACGACAAATTTTTGTTGCTCAAAATATCTACTGTTCATCAGTAGGATGCCTAAAATGTGTGCAATTCCACAACTGGTTTTGGCTCCATTAAGTCCTTTACCAATAATATTGTAGAACATTTTAGGAGGAGTCACCGACAATGTGTAAACAGTTACTGACAAAGTATATGAGTAGGAAAACAACCCGAACAAAACGCATGCATTAAATAACAAACTTTAGTAAAATCCAACTAGTTGTCTATTATCAGTGCTGCATTCTGATTGGCTGAGCTACTACAAGGCTATATGTTATAGCCCACTAGTAGTGAAAAGCGCCAGCTTTGAAAACCAAAACAATGGCTTTAAGTCTAGCTTTAACTAGCTAAAGTTAAATTTTGTCTCGACATTTTTGACCAACTAGTTGGATTTTACTAAAAGAATTCCTCTCGCCCTCATGGCCTCTGAGTTAATAGCCCATTTGGCCTTCAGCCTCATGGGCTATTGACTCAGGTCCCATTCGGGCTCGAGGAATAATTGTTAAAGATACACATGTCAATTAAATAATAAAAGAGAGCATGTCACAGGCGTCTATTTCATATAGTGAGTAGAGTATGCAGTCAGCATTGGTGATCCTAGCAGCATGCAAAATGCATGTCAGATATGAACTGAAAACTTACCAAACCGGACACCCACTGTTTGTTCCTGCCATAATGTTCTGAGTCATTTTCTTTGAGTCAGTGTAAAGTGGACATTTTTCTTCTGAGACCCGCAGTGCCTGAGTCCCAGCAGGGTACGGCTTAGAGGCTGACTATACTGATAAATTGAATAAAAATCAATCAAACAGAGCTCAATCCACTAAATAATGTTACTTAACTGATTGACTGTAACAGTAAAGTCATTGAAACTGGCAGTCTGCTGACGTACTCACGTGACCATTTGTTGGGCATCATCAATAACTGGGGTAAATTAAGTGTATTTATTTACTTCAATTGATGGTCATCGAATATATTCATGTGTGTGCCATCTTCAGGTAAATATTCCTTATTGATTTGTTTGTTATTCTAGGCTTCTTGACATCTTAGCTGGACGGAAAGATCGCAAACATTTATCGGGTCATGTTCTCGTTAATGGTCTCAAACAACCCGAAAATTTCAAGTGTATCACAGGATATGTAGTACAGGTTTGTTTGCTGGAACAAGTGACCATTTTTGTTCAGTATTATGACAGACAACTCTTACTAATGCCTCTAAAACCTCTGCCTTTCCTTTTTACTGCAGGATGATGTTGTCATGGGAACCTTAACTGTCCGGGAGAACTTGCATTTCTCTGCTTCGCTGAGACTTCCTGGCAGATTGAGTAAACAAGAACGGGAGGAGAGGGTAGAAGCCACTCTCAGTGACCTGGGTTTGTATCACGTGGCTGAGTCGAAGGTATGTTCGTGTACTGCAGAAAAACCTTGGCGGAGGGGAGGGGAACGGGGGGGAGAGCCCAAGGCTTTCTTCTAAGGGCACCGGAAGAATTTTCCACCGCTTTGTTCCGGCATGCGGTACCGTGGAACTGACGAACCAGGTTGAATTTTAACTAGAGTGGTTTTACAGTCTGCCCATGCGTAAAGCGCTATCTTGAGCAAATCCAAAATGGTGTCTCCCAACTCATTGCAGAAGAGCTGTGGGGTGGAGATTGCTCCCAGCTGAGTTACCACGCATGCATGCAACTACGCCTTTTTCATACTGCACAGGTCAGATTTTTGACCCTAAAATCGATATCAAATATATCGATTTTGGCTTTTAAATTTTTGAACGGCTAGGCGCAGGCGTCTAAATTTTCGTTTGTCCACGTTCGCGTTAAAACGTTAGATTTGGCAATTTCACTTTGTAGTCGTACATTGACGGTGAAAAGTGAAAAGGGCTTGGTCACCTTTTGTAGATGTGACAGTTATTTGGATATAAATTATACATAAATTTTGTTTTTTTTTGGCCGATCGCTGGGGTAGTTTAGTGTTTATAAGGAAAAATGATTAGCATACGAAAGGCCCAGGTTCGATTGTAAGCTTCTTTCTTTTTATAAGAAACACTTTCAAATATAGTGCAAGTGTCTCAAAAATGGCAGCGACAGTTTATGAAAGGGACAACTGGGACGCCGACTACATGCACGTGCACAACATGTTTATTATACCAAGCCCCCTGCAAATACCCCGGATGGATCAAGTGATCGCGAAATGACAGTAGGGAACTTAAGCAACGACGAATGCGACGAAGGTAGTGAAAACGTCGTAAAAAAAAAAGAATTTGCATTCTTTCAAACTTTATCGCGTCTATTAGTGGACCCGCTCTACTAGTTGAATGTAGCCGATTTCTCGTAGAGTTGATCTCTTAAGGACTTTATCCACCTTAAAAAAGAGAATGGAAAATTCGTCGTCGTATGTTCACGTCCTCCATAAAGTTGATGTTTCATGGGACGATTCATGTACATGTATATGTAGAGCGGTCCGCTTATCAGTTGTGAGAACTTGGATTATAGAAACCGTCTTAACCTGCTGTGATGTGTGCGTTTGTTTCTGTTTTGGAGTAATGATAATTGTTACAGGTTGGAAATGAGTTCATCCGGGGCATTTCAGGAGGAGAACGCAAGCGCACTAATATTGGTATGGAGCTGATAATGTCACCATCAGTTTTGTTTCTTGATGAACCAACTACAGGACTGGACGCTTCTACAGCTGTATCTGTGGTTGAGCTTTTGCAGGGGTAGGTGAAGACACCCCCCATCCCGCCTTTTAAAATGTCACGAGATGCTTCAGTACCACTTACAAGAATTATCAGGTTGAAACTCTGTCAACGATTAAATTTAGCTTTGTGGACTCGCTTAGTAGTGTAGCCAAGGGTCTTAAAAGACTGAGTGAAAATAAAATATACATCTCCTTAAAAACAGTGTCGTCTGGATTTCGCTATGTCTGAGCTCACTTTCTAGGAAGCTCTATTAGAGTGAACAACTCATAAGAACACTTTTACAGGGATAAGGAGATACAGAGGATCGAGACCCGGTGTAATTGTTTTATTTATTAATTCAAAATAATTGGTACTTGTTTTCAATGAATAATTATTGCGCTCTACGTGTTTAGGGTACTGGACATGCCCTTGCCCCTCCCAGTCAAAATGTTAAAAAGGGTATGGGGCGATTACCGTGACCATGTAATAACCTTGTTGTTTGTGTCTTTGTTAGGCTTGGTCGACGTGGTAAGACAGTTATCATGTCTATTCACCAGCCACGTTATTCCATCTTCAAAACATTTGACACTATCACTCTCCTCTCTGTTGGTGAGTTGGTGTACCAGGGCCCCGCGGATGAAGCACTGAAATATTTTGAAGATATAGGTAAGGTGTTGCGGTCTCCAGAAAGTGTCTTCTTGAAGATTCTCAGCTAATAATACTCTTCGAAAAACAGGATGCTGCAAGACTGGGGCACTAACAGAAGGAACAAAGGAATTGGATTTGCCCACCACAGCGAAAAAAATAGGCATAAAAACGTTGAGATCTGAAGCAGCAAACATGTTATTTTGAAGTGCCAGATGATGTTTAAGAAAGCCCGCTAGTTTTAATGGCACAACATTTATGAGGTTTTTCGGCTCTTCAGTTGTTCTCTTTTCTCTCTCCATGTGGTATTTTTTATGAAGATTTTTAATTACACCTAGATGTTAATTGCACATAGATATCATTCCCATCCAAAATGATTATTAGCCTTGTAGCGAAATAGGCTAACATTACTCAATAAATCAAGTCACTCCACTCACTCACCTCTCACTTGTCCCCATTCTGCGTCTAAACTCGCTGCAACAATGCCAACTATCCGAAAATCTTGCATGGACTGAAACGATTCATTGTGTTGGGTAGATAAAAAAGGAAACAAAACGCTTCGAGTGTCATCCAATCGAATCCAAGGACCCAGCGCATGGTTACTTCATTATAAATTTATAAAATTTTGAAGTGTACTCGTTTACTATCTTTTTGTAGGCTATACAATGTACTGAACTTTTCACAATGCTCTAAACTAACTACATCACTTTTCAGTAGCCTCCTTTGCAGGCTTGCTTCGTGTCGGGCGTTTTTCTCTTTAGTTACTGGGATTTCATGTACCCTAACGGGGAATCAGTCAGGGGGGAGATTGTAATAGTTAGTGTTTTTATTTTAATACTATTATTTTAATACTATGTTCTTTAACGTTTTGACAAATGGCTCATGCAGAGAAGTCCACAGATTTGGCGTTTTCATCAACAAAATCTTTGTCAAGGAATCAGGCCTAGAACTGTGAAAATGGAAACATTAGTAGGCTATTTAGTAACATGTCCACTGTACATTTTTCAAATTTCTCTTGTGCAACGGCAGATAAATTTAAGAGTCGCAACAGATTCTTTTTACTTCTCATTTCTCCCTGTTTTAATGATAAATCGTTTAATTTTTTATTGCAGGGTTCGAGTGCGAGGCACATAACAATCCAGCTGATTTCTTTATGGATGTTATTTGTGAATGTGAACATTCGCTGACTGACAGTTCAGGTATGACTGCAGACACCCTTATTCATAGCAGATCAGTCCTTATTATGAGAAATGACAAAGTTGGTAATAAGATACTCTTCAGGCCCGGGTAAATCGCTATGCAGCGGATGAGTGTTATTAAAAACAATTGCTGCGCTCTAGCGCTATCCACTTTCTGAGCAACTGGCGCAGTCCCGCTTTTCATCAGCTGATCGCAGTGTTGGCATCGGGTCTCTCGTCCAGCTTCCATTTCTCTTGGTTCATGATTGTCGTTCAATCATTTATTAGAGAGAAATGACAATATCACTGAAATTTTCAAACGAATGGTGGAATCAGTTCTATTTACTAAATTTATTTAATACTGTTTGTACAAAGAAATGACCAATTCATTACCTTTTTTAATTATTTGATTATCAATCTTTGAAATCTCATCTGTATATATCTACGCTCTTTGTGGGGAAACCGGCAGAGATATTTTAATTCAAAACAGATCCTGTTTTTTGGGAGTGTCTGTTGCGCACACAAGTTTTTTCTCATCTTATCGTTCTTCAGTTCTGTGTCGTACTTAAGTTTTAGTATGAAACAGTATCACATGTTGGAGCGATTTTCGTTTGTCCTTGAAAAACGTTTTTCGTAATTGTTCGTTATTTGTCTTATCGGCCAGTAGTTACCAAAAAAAAAAACAAATCAAAACTTGGACTTGTGGCTTTACCACCAAAGGGAACCCTATGACTGAAATCGTTCGATTGTCCAATGGGAAGCCTGATTTCTGTTCCCCAAGTTAGTTTTTAATTTACCTTTCTTTCTTCTTAGAAGAAAGCGTTGCGTGCTCGCTAAAAAAATGAACGCAACCGCGCGTATGTGACGGTTCGATAAACCAATCAAATTGTTATAGTCTTGGTCGTTTGTCAGTTTGGTGGTTTGGTTTCTCCAAGCGAGGCGAACGCGGCATCTCGCGCGTGACGAGGAGAGGAGAAAAAATATGCTTTATTTTTTCTCCTCCTCTCGTCTCGCGCTTGGCGCGAAATGCCGCGTTCGCCTCGCCTGGCTCTTAAAGTTCCTGTTATGCCGGCTAACAATACGTTGACGTTTTTCTGTCTTTTTTAGTTTTGTCATTTTGCGCGTGAACGAACAATTTCAAGGTTGAACCAAACTTGCTCTATATCAACGTTATTTCATAGAAACCACGGTTCTTTCAATGGAAGAGGGGCATACCTCGCTTAAACCTAATTTACCAGAACTATTCAAGATGTCAGAATACGCCAAGATTATTCAGCAGACGACAAAACCAATTCTGGAAGAATTCTCTACTAGCCTCCGTTCCGTAGGATTTTCAAAAGAGAAGGAAATAACTTATGCTACTTCCTTTTGTAGTCAAGTATGTTCATTTTAAATCCATTATGAATTATTACGTTGGTCATGTCCACATTTAGGCTCGATTACCGGCCGCTGTTTGGAAAAATGAGCCCGCACTGATGTATGGGATTGTTTTGGGGAAGGAATTTTGACCCAATATTTCCTTTGCAACCTTGTAATAGCCTGTTAAAGAAGAACAGAACAATCCCATAGTACAATTTGACTCAACACCTCAAAATGTCCTATAGAATGCCCAGACTAGCAAATACCATTACATACGGGCAGCAGCTACAAAGTTTCTGGTGGCTGTTTCTTTGTACTCTTGAATTTTGTCGTGAAAAATCCATTTCAGGAAAATAATTGATGTATACTTGAACTTTTCTTTTCGTGCACCTCTACGATACAGACAGTTCGCTTGGTTCCAAAGATACTGCTCAGGAAATCTCTCCTGCCTTTATAATACAGACGACTGTGTAATAATAGACTACGAGCAGTCTCTCTTTTTTCTTGGTCCGTCCAGCAAAACACCCGAGACACGCAAATGACCACGCGCGTGACCGAAGGCGCGAGACGGGAGAGGCTCAACGCTCGCGCGCGTCCACTCCCCTAAATAAATCTGAAGAAAAAGAGAGACAGCTCGCAGTCTGTGTAATACGGACATCTCTCTATTAGTATCGACAGATTTGTTGGCTTAAAAGATGCCAAACTTCACTCACAGTAATCCTTTTCTCTACAATACAGACATCTCTCTATTACGAACACCTCCATAATAAATTTTGGTTAAAGGTATCAAATTTTACACTCTAGTGTAATTTTGACAGTGTGCCCGTTACATCGTCTTCAGTTTTACCTTTAATTTCCGTGCGTCGTTGATACAATCCGGTTCTTTCATTCTCAACTATACTTTTTTTGAATATTTTTTATTTCTTCTCTACCTTGGCTAGCTCTTTACAGTATCCGGACGTGCGGTCAAAAATATCGTGAGAAACCCTCAGACGTCTATCATGCAGGTGAGGGGGTCATTTTGTATTGATTATATTACAATATGGTTTGTAGCTTCGCATCGCCAGGTGCTGTACCTTTCTTAACAAGGCATCTGGTGTCTTAAAGACGATCTCGTTTGTTTTGCATCACTGCAAGTCACAAGTCTATAAGTTGTGGCGTGTGTTACAGTTACAAAAAAGAGGAGGGGGCAGAGAATGGGACTGTTTTTCACCCCTCTCCCCTTCTCCTTTTACGTTTGCCTCGTAGGTGAGAAAAGATGCAGAGAAATAAGTATCATTTTTGAATAGCAGCACAACTTACAAAGTTGCGAATATTTCGTTAGTAGTTTGGATTTCTTTGTTGGTGAAAAGGCAACCGATATGTCGAGTTTTTTCAGGGATCCCTTTAGGCAAAGAAGGAACGTTACTTTTGTTTTCCCTCGGGCGGCTCCAATATTGTAACTGATGGTTGCTCACCAAGTAGCACTTTCTCTAATGTTGTATGTTAGAAAAACGAAAAGTTTGTTCGTTACGTCTCAGCACTTGCTTCTTTAAACTCCAAATTGTCCTGGAAACGCTTAAGTAAATTGGTCTGGAATCTAAATCTTTTTAGTCATCTACTTGTGGTTTTGTTTCCAAAGTCTTGTGGAGTATCGTCCGTATAGTTGTATTAAGGCTATTTGCCCAAGTTTTGTTCTTGGTAAACAATATGAGCAGGGATCCCATCCACTATTTGTTTGAAAGAAAGCATATCAGATACACGATAGAAGTGTGTGTCGGTCGAACTTGCTATCTGAATAAGCTCTTCAATTCTTGGTATCTTATAGCCAACAACCACTACAAAAACTTCTGCTCCTCGAATTCGTAACTGTATTGCTATCCAAATGATCTTTTGTAGCTTTTCCGTTTCATTCAGGTTCCGTTCATCTGGTCCGTTAGTCACCAGTAACACACGTTTCCGACTTCCGGCGCGAACACCCGAGTCAGCGTTCAGAGATAGCACGTTAAGCGTCTTTTTTAAGGCATTTAAGATGTTTTTCTTGCCCCCTTGATACTGAATTTTGCCAATGCTTTCAATAGCAGCCTGGAAAAAAAAGTAACAAAGGCTTTTAATCAGGCCTCTGTTAGTTGGTATTATTTACTGTATAGTAGTACTTGATAGGTCTATCATTTGAGCCAGCATAAGGCCCTGAAGTGCATCAAAGTACTGTTTATTATGCTGATAAGGTGGCCTTAACGTTTGTACGGTCCGCTGTGAATGAACGTATTTATTAAAGTGGAATGGTTATGAAACCCGTTAGATTCCTTTTTTATATTTTTGTTAGCTTTTTTGTACCTGACCGAACACGAGCATTCCCATCGTTTTGAACTTTCTGACCAACGGAAACATTCCATTGATTTATTCAGTCACAATTTGTGAACAAAAAACAAAGGATCAACCTCCTCCTCCTCCTCCTCAGGCGCTTCGTTTTTCGCATGGTTTGGGAAAGAGGCGCGCGCGAAACGCGAGTGACTGATGACGACGCGCAAGGGACCAAGGGAAGGGTAAAGCGCTGTCTCGCCTGTTTTCTCCTTCCCGCCTTCTTTTACGCGCCAATTTTCATCGAGAGAGAGACGTCTGGGTACGGGGCGGACAAAGGGTTGTAAACGGTCAGGGAGCTTCCAACATGAACTACAGCCTCGTTACTTTCAACTGTGATGTTTGACAGATTTCATAACCAGTCTCCTCTACACTAACTACGGAATGAAGTGTGATCCGATTCAAATGATTGATATTGAGCAGTACTTTGCTCCGATTATTTTTCTTTACAAAGGTTCCTGACTCAAGAATTTGTGAGTGAAATTCAGTGTGGGCATTTAAATGAAAGCTACTAAGCAGTACTTTCCTCTGTTTATTATCCTTCACCAAGACCGCCTAATTTCCAAAGAATGAACTGAATGATCATTTAAATTTGTGTTAATTGAGCCTCTGTATGAGTATTTCCGACGAAATCGAAGTCGCGACGATCGCTACCATTTCAATCAAGTTTGACAACGGCAACGTGCAATAACGGCAAAGAAACCCGCCAAAAAGTCTGTTGCACGTTCATTTTTTTTTTGCTAACAGTTTTTCCCGTTTCCATGGTCGTTGTGGTTGTGCTAAGCTCACTAGTGGCATTGTGCTATTTTAGTCTGTGATTAACACACCCTATTGCCATTATTAACAACCTGTCATAACCTCAAACCCTTAGGGCCGTTTATACCTTTGTTTTTCTTACCTTGGTGGACTTAAAATTAAAGTTGACGGAAGCATTTGTGCTTATGGTTACTGCAGCAAACATTGTATCTGGGTCAAATCGCGTCACCAGACCTTGGGCTGCGGTTAAGCTGAGATTGAAATCGGCCTCACTTATGGAGTTGGATGAGTCGAGAACGAACACAATGTCGTGATATGAAATATATCGTTTGCCTCTTGAGTCATCTTGACGGTCAAGGAAGTATCTCATCAGTTTTTGCCGTATTTCCGGGATCGGTGGGATGGTCTGAAACACTTAAGACCAGAAGAATTTTACTTGCATAAATCCTTTTATTTGTTATTTCACTTTCTAGCCTCGAATCTTTATTTTTGCTGTACTCAGCGCATTTGAGTTAACAGCATTTATGTTAGCAAGCAAAACGTGCAAATGCAAATAACTGACAAAAAAGGTAGATATTAGAATCGAAAATACTTATCTATTTATAATGAACCTCAGTCTTAAAACGCTCGGTCCTGACCCGGGGGATTCTAAAGCGCTGGCCACGGACCGTTATTTTTATAATAAAAAAAACTTCTTTTTCTGTCTTACCAATATTATATACAGTGAAATCTCTCCATTAAGGAGACCTGGCCATTCAAACAGTCGAAAGAAAAACTAGATGCGATCTTTGTTTAATGCAGCTGCCTTTTTACGAAGGAAAATTCCATGAAATTAAGGGACTCTTGTCCTGGTCTCGATGGTGTCCTCTAAATGGAGGCGCTATAATGTCCAATCTTTGTATCCACTACCTCTATTGAAGGAAAACCCTCTTTAAGGGACTCTTTCCCTTTCCCGAAGGCGTCCCCTGAATAGAGGCTCCGCAGTACTTACCACATGTCTTACGGCTAATACGTAATATATAACTTTATTTACAGACATACGTTATGTGATAAGATCACTGCAACAGGTAGCACAGAGCGGCGTGTTATGTGTGCCAATTTGCTTCTCACCGCTTAGCGAGCGGTGAAGGTGAAGTAGATCCCACGTTAAAATTCTCTATCTGTGTGTGCAAGATGTGAATTCTATTGCTCACTCATTTTCCTCTACATGGTCCTCGCAAAGTATCTCAGAAAGTGGC